AAAAAAAAACTCGCGACGGACTACATAAATGCTGTGCTTCGCACCGCATTAATTACACAAAAATATTATTCTAAATAATCCAGTTTGAAATTGAGGCGAATCTTGCACAAATATATATATTATTTGTTCTGATAGTAAAACTGCGACACCTTTAATGTTTGGAAGAACTAGAATGGTTAACATCTTCTCGAACCAGTCACATGTTTTTTCTCAGACAGCTGATTACTGCTTCCTCATCCTAACGTAACGTCTGTGTTCAGGTTTGTTGTCCAAATGAATCTATCATATGGAATTGTTCTCGAGTATATTCTGATCTACAAAAAATAGATTCTACCTTGAGTCATTCATCCGTAGCCTTATGACTTGATTTTATTTTCACACAATTAATTAACAAATAACGCTTATATTTATAGATTGTTTAAGAATGCACCTAGAAAAAACAACATCAACAACAGGAGAAACACCGATAGAAGCTAGAGATCTTATGTGCCCGATTTGCATGAGTAACACTAATAATTTATCATCTAAAAAAAACAATTATAATTATTGCTTTTAATTTAAAAATAGCGATCGCTGAAGATCCATACATAACATCGTGTTGTCATCGAGTATTTTGTTCAAACGATGCTAATTCAAGTCAATATGAAAATGGTTGTCCATTATGTCGAGATGAACATTTTTCATTTCAACAATCTGCAAAACATAAATCAAAGCTTGAAGAACTCACAATGAAATGTTCGTGTTCCGAACGAATTCTTCCACAAGAATATGACCAACATTTGGAACGTTGTTTAAGTATAACATTTACTTGCCCTCATAAAACCTGTCAAGAGAAAGTAAATCATTTATGAAAACATTTTTAAAACATAAACTGCTTCATTGTTCTCATTAAAATAGAGTGATACGAAAAAATATAATGCTCAAGAACTTATCAGTCATCTTGCTCGAGCACATTGTGATGAAGTGCCTGTTCTTGGCTCAACATATGTTAATAAAAAATCACTTGAGCAACATAAAAAAGCATCAGCTAAATATAATGATCTTGTTGCAACATTGCATGCAGAACTTTATCCTAAAATGATCGATATGCAATTGAAAAGTTCACCAAATATTAAAGAAACTTCAACAATATTTAAATGTCCATCAGGACATTCATTAATCGATGCTAATCGTGCCAAACGTAAACGTAGCGATGGAAGTCTTTATTCTTCATCGGGTTTTAGTTGTGACATATGTCATCGATCATTTCCAAGTGGCCAATCGTGGCATTGCTCATGTACTCGAAGTGGTTTTGATAAATGTATTAGTTGCATTGCTTTTCAATTGTATGATATTGATAGTGACGTATTACAATTAGCAGGTCAAGATAATGAAGAACTACGTAGTTATAGACAACAAGCATCACACGATACGGTACATTTACCACGAGGTTTATTTCGTTTATTAACTGGAAGCATGGATGATGATGATGATGATGATGATGATGATGAAAGTGATGATATAGTATTAAGACATGGTCCATCATTTTTACATCATCCTAGTACATTTGAAGAAATCAATGATGATGACATCGAAGCTAATCTTCGTGAAGATTAATCAACAGTATTATTAATGACTAATTTATTTTTGATTTGAAGATAAAAATTAAACATGTAAATTATTATTTATAATTTTTTTTCTTTGGACCTAATCTAGCCGATTGGTACGCCTTCAATTTGTTTTAATCATATATATATATAAGGTGCACCAAGGTCAAAAATCAAGCAAGAGAAACTTCGTTTTATTATTACATGGTTGGATAGAACTTGATGAGTAGATCATGAATATCATCTTTAAAATATTTCTAGGCTTCCGTTTTGGTTGANTTACTTGATCGGGGACTAAAGCTTACAGAATTACCCTCTTATTTCGACGTTTTGGCTATCAAAACTCAACTTCCATGCAAAATAAACATCAGATTCAGAATCAGCACAAAAAACAACATTGACTATCATAAATTTATCAAAATTCCAGCCTACTTCCCCTCAGTCATTTTTTTCTTGATTTTACCCTATAGTCCTCGACTGGTAAAATTTTGATAAAAATTATTTTTTGATAATTTTATGATAGCCAATGCTGTTTTTTGTGCTGATTCTGAATCTGATGTTTATTTTGCATGGAAGTTGAGTTTTGATAGCCAAAACCTCGAAATAAGAGGGTACTTCTGTAAGCTTTAGCCACCGATCAAGTAAAAATCGATTTTCTCAGAGGGGGAACAATGTTTTTCAAATTGAATTCATATTTCTGTTCGCTATCAGTTCGCGGTTCGAATGACGTAAGAAAGTCCGAGAATCGCTTTGAAGAAAAATAGTTGACGATTTTCTGAGAGATCAATTTCAACGTGTTTACATGGAGACCTAGTTAAGCTCCTCAAACATGAAACTTATGCTTTTTATTGGTCAAAGTTACATCAGTAGATTCAGATTTTCATGCTGAATTCCATGATGATAGTTTTCTGCACCTAGAACATTGTTGAACTAGGTAAATTTCGAGTTTTCTCGGAAAAAGTGAAATATTCGCTTCTTCACGTGCAGTTTGTATTTTGAAAATTTCTCAACCAAAACGGAAGCCTAGAAATATTTTAAAGATGATATTCATGATCTACTCATCAAGTTCTATCCAACCATGTAATAATAAAACGAAGTTTCTCTTGCTTGATTTTTGACCTTGGTGCGTCTTATATACGCACAGTTTTCTTTTGCGTAAACAGTTATAGATAGAAATCAAAGTAAACCTTGATATTTATTTTAGCATGCTTTATTCTAGTACTAAACTTCGCAAATATACCTTGCGTTGGATGTAATTTAATTTAGCTTTAAATGATTTCTCATTCATTTGCTAATGATTAATAATGCATAAAAAATGAACTATTTCTATCGCATGTAATATGGTGATTTAATTATATATATTTTTTCTCTCTCTTGGCAATAATGGTTAATTTATTCATGAATCAATTCAGAAATTTGTTTTTGCATGATTAATTTAATTAGATGTTATTATTTGAGAACTTGAGCTAATCAATGAATCATAGAAACAATCGATCAGACTCACTTTTTTTACAACGCTTTTAAAATTTCCTTTTTTCTTCTTTCAACGAGTGTAAAGTAGAAATGGCACTTGTAGTACTGAAAAAGAAAAAGAAGAAAAATTGTTGTCGACTACTAAAACCATTCATATTAATGGTAGGAAAGGAAACGCAAACAATCAAAAAACAAGAACAACAATACAATGCCATTGTTAAATGAGAACAACATGGAATTGGAATTAGAGAATTTCTATGATGACGATGACTATGCCGATGACGACTATGAACGTTTTCATGGTTTACTGATTCGACGAAAGACAAGTTATTCTACTCAAACAGCAAAATCTTCATCGAAAGCAAAGCTTTCTGCTCGTCAACAAACTGATACCATTCAAGTCGATCGAGCAATAGCATGTGCGTTAAAAGCACACCCGAAAACATTTAAGTTTACACAAAAAGGTCTACAATATCTTCCACCATCTATTAAACATCTATCAGTTTGTGATGGCTTGCGTGAACTTGATCTATATGGAAATCAACTAAAAGCATTGCCTGATGAAATTGGAAAATTGAAATCTGTTGAAATTTGTAATTTAGGTGAGATAAAAAAAACACATCAAGGTTTATTTTCTTCAATGATTGTTTTTTTGCGATGCGGACAGCTATTAAGTTTCTTTTTTATCATGATAAATATGTCAGATCGACATCAATCTTTTGTTTTCTGATTTCAAAATTAGCTCTGAGAATAATCATAATGTGATTTGTTGTACTATTTAGAAAACCGATTTACGACGACACTGGATTAAGTACTAAAACTCGAATCCAATGTCGATATTATCGAATATTAGCAATTTAAACAAGTACATCAACGCTGCCTTTTTTCTAAAAATCAATCGTATTTCTTCTGAGTAACACTCATTTCTTAGAATCCATAGAAAACATTGACCTTCAAATATATCTACTAAATCCAGTCTAACTACACTAATACTCACGAATTTTCTAGTACTATGTAATAATATTGAAAAACAAACGCTAATAAATACCGTTTTTAAATAATTTTCATGCACAATTTCTCTTTCTAGAAACATTAAAAATATATCGTTAAAATAGTTTAACGTCATATTTATGTATTTCTAGAAGAAAGAAATAGAACACATGTCACAGAAAATGGTATACTTAGTTGGATTAGAAAATAGGCCATGACTTTTTCTCTTAATATGACAGAGCTGAACTCGATGCGAATTATTGAAGGCCAAACTTTCTTTTCTACACTTCAAAACAAGTGAATTTCAGTCAGAATTTTGTTTTTGTAGGCCTTGAAAAGTCAGTGTTTTACATGCTGGCATAGATTTAAAATGTCTTACTTAATATGAATTTTGAAACATGTTTTCCATTACTGTCATTTGACAGTGACAGCTTGCAAGTGAGTTTTATCGACACTATTGATTATTCTATACTTCATGTTCTGTTATCTGACAAGAAAAATTTGTCAAAATCGATGTGACATACTATTAATAGAAATCAACTAGAATATTTTCCTCAAAATCTATTCTCTTAGATGCCTACAACATATCGTAATTTTAGATGTGTATGTTCATCGTTTTTTCACTGTAAATTATCAGTAGAATGTAAAATATATTTAACATAGACAGCTACCGTGAACAGTTTATGACAAATTTATTACACTTCAAATAATTATTCTCGTAGATCCTAATAAAATAAAATTTATTAGCGAATGATTATTATTATATTTGAATAAACAATTGCTCTTATCTTAAATAATCATATCAATATTGTTTTCATTATCATATAGGAAACAATCATTTTGAAGATTTACCTATTGTTCTTGGCTCGTTACCTCGCTTAATAAAATTACTCTTATTTAACAATCATCTCGGTAATTTATCCTTGTCATTATCATTTTCGAAGCTATCTAATTTACGTATTTTAAATTTAAACAATAATGCTATAACTCAAATACCCAGTGATATTGGCATTTTAGTTAATCTTGAAATTTTAACTATCGAACATAATCAATTAGTAGAAATTCCCCGTGAAATAGGCTTATGTACACGCTTAATCGAACTTCATTTTGGTTATAATTGTTTAACAAAACTTCCACTTGAAATAGGCTATTTAATTGACTTGAAAAAACTTGTTTTACATCGTAACAATCTTCTTGAATTACCGGAAAGTATAACAAATTTAAAAACTTCATTAAAGTTATTAGATGTTGCTTGTAATAATCTACGTATATTTCCAAGCAAATTTCACACATTACATTTAAAAGAATTTTATGCTGAACACAATCCTCTATTAGAACATTCACCAATACATTCCATACAAGAAAATGAAATATTAACACTGAAAGAACTTTGTGCACGTCATTCAATGAATGAATTACGTAATCCAACATTTGATTTTCAACCAACATTACGCGATCGTATACAACATAATAAAAAAGCTAAAGATATTTTAATGCAATGTACTGAATGTCAATTTTGTCATAATTATTTTTTAAATACATGGTTAGAATGTGTAGAATTTATTGATGTACAACGAACATTTAAAGGTGTAAAAAATCATTCTGATCAAGTAATATCAGTTATTCCTCAACGTGCACTGCTCTGTTCGTATGAATGTTTCAATAGCCCAGGACACAATTACTATGGTGTTGCTTTTACATAACTTCAAACAAAAGACACAACAATTATATTTATACATATATATGTGTGTGTGTGCTTTATTTTCAAATCTTCATCTGCATTCGTTGACTTTTTATTTTATTTTTAATGAGAATTTCATTTCATCGCACATCGTTCTTTTTTTCTACACGCACCATAATGTTGACAATAAAAAGAAAAAAAGAAAACTAACGAAACTTTGCTTTTGTTTAATCAACTTCCTAAAATATAAAGAAAATAATCATCGTTAAGTAATTCCAAAAATGAAATCTTTTTAATCGTCTTACTTCAATTGTTGGACCTGCACTACCGCCAGCACCTTGTGGACCACCGGCACCACCTGGAAAGCCTCCTGGAAATCCACCAGGCATACCTCCAGGCATACCGCCAGGCATACCACCAGGCATACCACCACCAGCTCCACCATAGAGTTTAGTCATAACTGGTGAGCATATTTTTTCAACTTCTTTTAATTTATGATCGAATTCTTCTTTTTCGGCAAGCTAGAAAAAATAAATAGAATAACTTGATAGAACAAACGAGCATGAAATAGATTTGTTGTTCTTACTTGATTTGCTTCCATCCATTTTAATGCTTCTTCAATAGCATCAGTAATTTTCTTCTTATCATCAGCATCGATTTTATCTGCTAATTTTTCATCAGCAATGGTTGTTTTCATATTGAAACAGTAAGACTCAAGTGAATTCTTAGCAGAAATACGATCACGTTGTGTTTCGTCTTCTTTCTTATATTTCTCAGCATCAGAAACCATACGTTCGATTTCATCTTTTGATAAACGTCCTTTATCATTTGTAATGGTAATTTTACTTTCTTTTCCTGAACTTTTGTCCATTGCCGATACATTTAATATACCGTTTGCATCAATATCAAATGTAACTTCAATTTGTGGAACACCACGTGGTGCTGGTGGAATGCCCGATAATTCAAATTTGCCTAATAAATGATTATCTTTAGTCATTGCACGTTCACCTTCATAGACTTGAATCAATACACCTGGTTGATTATCCGAATAGGTTGTAAATGTTTGTGTTTGTTTTGTTGGAATTGTTGTATTACGTTTAATTAATGCTGTCATAACTCCGCCAGCAGTTTCAATGCCCTTTAAATAATAAGAAATTTTAGAAGAAATTTATTTTTTTTCTTCTTTTGAATTAACTTACCAATGACAGTGGTGCAACGTCAAGTAAAAGTAAATCTTTAACATCTTCAGATTTATCACCTGTTAAAATGGCAGCTTGAACAGCAGCACCATAGGCAACGGCTTCATCTGGATTAATTGATTTGTTAAGTTCTTTACCATTGAATAAATCTTGTAAAAGTTTTTGTACTTTTGGAATACGTGTAGAACCTCCGACAAGTACAATTTCATGAATTTGTGACTTATCCATTTTAGCATCACGTAAAGCTTTTTCAACAGGTTCGAGTGTTGAACGAAATAGATCAGCATTAAGTTCTTCGAAACGTGCACGAGTGATGGTCGAATAGAAATCGACACCTTCATGTAAAGAATCGATTTCAATTGATGCTTGTGATGATGATGATAATGTACGCTATATGAAAAACAAATGCAACGAACTATTTTATTATTAAATAAGAATTCGTATATACCTTAGCACGTTCACAAGCGGTACGTAATCGTCGAAGACCACGTTTATTGTCTTGTAAATCTTTACCATGTTTGCGTTTAAATTCCTGAGTAAAATGTGAAACCATTCGATTATCAAAATCTTCACCACCCAAATGTGTGTCACCTGAAACAAAATAAAAATGTTTTGATAATTGAATTTAAAATAGAAATAATTTTTCTTACCAGCTGTTGATTTAACTTCGAAGATACCTTCTTCAATGGTTAAAATTGATACATCAAAAGTACCACCGCCCAAATCAAAGATTAATACATTTCGTTCAGCTGAAACTTTCTTATCTAAACCATAAGCAATAGCAGCTGCTGTTGGTTCATTGATAATACGTAATACATTAAGACCAGCAATAACACCAGCATCTTTGGTTGCTTGACGTTGTGAATCATTAAAATAAGCTGGAACAGTGACAACAGCTTCGGTTACTTTTTTACCAAGATAGGCTTCAGCTATTTCTCTCATTTTTGTTAAAACCATCGATGATATTTCTTCAGGTGTAAATGATTTTGTTTCATTTTTATATTCAACTTGAATTTTAGGTTTTCCGCCATCATTGATTACTTTAAATGGCCAATGTTTCATATCAGCTTGAACTGTTGTATCATCAAATTTACGACCAATAAGACGTTTAGCATCAAAAACTGTATTATTAGGGTTCATAGCAACTTGATTTTTAGCTGCATCACCAATTAAACGTTCACTATCAGTGAATGCAACATACGACGGTGTTGTACGATTTCCTTGATCGTTAGCAATAATTTCAACTTTTCCATGTTGGAAAATACCAACGCACTATTTCAAATTAAAAAGAAAACAACGAAAAAATTAATGTGTAAGAAAGCTAATTTTATGTTTAACTTACGGAATAAGTTGTACCTAAATCAATTCCAATTGCTTTACGGACATCAGCCATTGTTCTAGTTTTTATTTGATGATAGTTAAAAGAAAATGTGCTGTGAGGAAATCTACAAATTAATATAAAACAATGTAGTCAATGATGAATTTGTCTGGTTATGTATGCTTGCAGGCCGCCTACTAGCAGCTTACTATATATGAGCAACGATAGTTTGTGTGTAGAAGCATAGAAAAAAAAAGAAAAGTAAACGATGGACGGTGAGATTCCAGATTGTTCGAGAAACATCTCGTAGAATCTGAAGAAGAAAGAAAAGAGAATGAAGAAGGAAAAAGAAAGAACGGACACAAATATCGAGAATGAGAGAAGGAAAAGTGGGTAAGAATAAAAAGAAGGAAGAATGACTATGTCATGTATTCTGCCCTCTACAACAGAGTGCGTATTACGTCATTTGAAATATCCAGCCTAGTGTATACATACACGTAATGTATACGCACTAGAAACACATAGCGTTGCTTAGTAACTGCTAATTAACAATTAGAAACTAATTGAGTGACATTATTGATAATTTATTGGATAATAAGTGTTCAAATTTCTCGATGCAAATTATCATGTAGCATGTCAAATAAAATTTTAATATCTCATTGGCTATAATTATTCAAGTTTACAACGAATGATTAAAATAAGAATTGTCTACACTCGTACACAAGTAAAACGATATGAACAACTGTTTGAGATCATTTCGAACAAATATACAATCTTATAAAGACGTATTTCGTGACAAAGATGACAGAAGTTGTCTCGTGGGATAAGAAATCATTCATTATTTATTTCAATGGATTTTTAGTCTTATGATTATGATAAGAATGTTTTTATTTTATTTTTTTTTATAATAACGAATAAAACTATTGATCATCATTGCTCTCCAATAATCACTTTAAACATGAGCGAATGAGCACAAAAGAAAAAGAAGAAAAAAAATGAGAATGATACATATAAGTGAGAAGGAAAAAAATCCGATCAAGGTGCTTTTAATATAATACTCAAATAAAGAAAAAACAGTCAATTTGCAAAACTTCCTTTTTTTTTTATTGAGAATGGAATGTAATCTTTTTTCTTTTTCTCGTTTCTTTCCGCTTAAAAAAAAGACGAAACAAACGAAATAATCTTCTACGAGCAATAATTCGATAGTGAGAATAAATGACAAGTGAGAAACATGCATAATCGAGAATAATAAATATGCCGAGATTGATTATGAACAGAACAAAAAAAAAGAGAAGCAGAGAAATTAATGGTAGCACTGTTCAGGAAATGCATTGAGTTCTGCTTCATCACTTATTGGTGTCGAATCATTAAAAGAATAATTAAGTTTAATGCGCATGCGAAGTTTTTCCTTATTTGGATTCAATATTTTTATTGTTTGACGAACATCGCCTGAATTATTGGATGGAATTGTTGTACCAGTTGGAGGCAGTAACTCAAGATTAAATGTCTAAAAAGTAAATGTATACATATATGTATATATTGATGACAAAAACGTTCTTAAATATCTCGTAGGAAGATACCTTGAGATATATTTCTTAGGCAAATAGCTTCTATAGGCTAGGATGAAGATTTAGTATGACATAGTCATTGATCATGCATCTCAAAAACTAGCAGCCAGGTTTGAATTTTTAAACTCCTTGTAGCTCATTTTTTTCTTTAACTTTACTTTGGGTACAGCAGCTTTGAAAACAAAATTTGTTATTGGTATTTTTGCTGAGTTCGTTGCTTGTAAATGAATAAATAAGTTTTTATCTTTTCTTTCAAATTGAAATATGATGCGTAGACCATTTTTATCAATAGCTGTCATTTGTGGAATAGATGAATTTATACCTGCAATAAAAGATGTTTTGAAAGATATACATAACAACAGTATTACTATCTACCATTAGAACTGGTCGTTTGATTGTTTAATAGATTATTACCAAAAATATCATCAATTGGATTCGATGATAAGATTGGCTGTTCAATTGGAGAACTTAATACATCAAAAATATTATCATGAGTATATAATTCATGACTGGTATGTGTTGTGGAAGGTTCATCGAGAATTTTTAATAGATCTGCCTGTAATATTGAAATTATTTTAAATGAAGAAATATCATATGTATCTTTCTTTTTTATTCTTACCACCGGCTCTTGTTTGACATCCGATGTTGTTTGAAAGTTAGGTTTGCTGGCCAAAGAAGATTCTTCTTGTTCATATGTTTGTTCTTCATTATTTGTAGTTGATGTTTGATTATTGACAAGAACAGGCATACGTTCGACAATACTCGACCTTTGAAAATCAATTACATTAGATTCATTTATGTGCATTCATTTCGTCCTTCATAAATATCGATCCATTCTTTTTTAAAGGCATTATCAATTGAAAGATATTTTTCATTCGTTTATTGAACTACCATTTATTCGAAAGTGTATTGACTGAAGTCTTCGTTTTTGGAATAGTTCAAGAGTATTCAATTGCAATTTTCTTCAAAATGTCATTCGAGGTTGAATAGGAAAAGATGTCATTCTCTTTATGGTGGTACTCAGTTGAAAATCAAAGAATTTTTTAAAATTATACTATCGAATTGTTTACTCAACGTGAATTGAAAAATGAAATAACCGTATTTCATCCTGACGTTTTGCCAATAGATAGATATAGCTATCAGCAAAAGTTGGCTTCTATAATAGGCTCATATGGTTGAACTTTTCTCGAGTCTAACCAAAACATTTTTATACGTTCACACGTCTTCTATCGATTTAGATAGTTCGTTCAAAATAATACAAGATCTAGCAACCATCATCAAGACATAAAAGTATGAATTATGCTTTTTCATTGATCATATAAATACAATCATCAATGAACTTTTACCTGATTTGGTTATGTTTAGTAAAAAGTGATGTGTATTCGACTGCACGCGTTTGCAACTCTAAATTCATGTTACAAGCATAAACAGTCATCATGGATTGTATTTGGCTAATAGAAGAGAAAAAAAGACACAAGATAATCAATCATATTTATCGTAGTTTAGTATATTAAACATACTCGGAACAAGTGGGAAATCGAGTACTTAATTTCATTAGCGCATTTATTGCATATTCACGTGTAACAACTGTACTTATTGACCAATTTAAAATTTTTTCTAATCTATTAACTATTTCCTCTTCTGTAACCTATAAAGAAACGTAGATAGAAAACAAGATTTAACTAAAATAAAATTTACTTGTATATTTTCTTCGTCTTCTGCACGTTCATATTGCCCATTCACGCATAAATCTCCAAATTCACCTTAGAGAATATGACGAACATTTATAGAAAACGAAAAATATGTATTGTCTTTTTATTACCTAATGTCCAAGATGCGACTTGAACAAGTGGTTGTTGAGTTATATCATTTCGAATCATTTTAAATAGTTGTTGTGCTGTATAACCGTGTAAATCCGGCGATGATGATATAATACCAATCAAACTTGATACAATATCATCACGAACACTATTGCCAGCCTTCAGAAGAAAACAAAAATGAACAGATTTAGCGATTGAAATTACTCTGCAATATATACCGTTGTAAGAACTTTAATCATTTGATCGACATGCCATCGTTTTGATGGTGCAAAACTAAATACAATCATACAAATAGATATAGTAAAACGTCTTATGATCATTACCGGTCCATAGCTAAGAACATATTAGATGTACAATCAGCTTTGAACTCTTGTTCACAAGTTGCAAGAAATGTTAACATTTCATTAATCATTGTTCGAATATTATTCGAATTAATAAGTGCAAAACATAATTCCATTGCACGTCTAAAATTATCAATAAATTCAAGATTCGTTTTTTGGCCTCTTTCAACAGCGCTCCTTCTACCGTTTAATTGATACATCAGCATCTTTGAGACAATCAACAACTGTTGCACGATGTCGTTGCACAGCACTATGATCAGCCTGGACAACATGTAAAAGTGTATTTAAAGCAACATAACGAATATTTTTATCGGTATTGAGTAAAAATCGTCCTAATATATTAACAGCTAAAACCTTCAAAAGGAAAAAGAACCAAGTAATTTTCATGTCTGACAATAAATCAATAAGTTAAATCATACTCTTAATCCAGATTCGGATTTAATATCCATAATTGTTAAAACCGTTTCGTATAGAATAGCATTGCCAACATTTTTGCTATTTTCGGTATTTGTTGATACTTGTGCTAAGATATCATTCATAACTTCACTTGCTTCTATGTCATTACGACCTAAGATACGCATTAAGCGTAGAAGACGTACCTAAACAAATGTTTGTTTTATGTCACTGAAACAAAATGAAAATAATTTTACTTGTAAAAATGGGTCGCTTATGCCTGATACATCATGTTCTGGACTATAACCTGACATAATTAAATTTTTTAGAATACGAACAAGATTTGGAACTAACTAGAATGAAAAAGTACAACAATCTATAAAGCAAATATAAAATACAACTTTTCGAAATATTTGTAAAGCTTGGTGATTTTGTTCACACATTTCACTAATAAGAGTTATAGCAGCAAGAAGAACACCTATGAATGAATATTTGCGATTTCTTTTTTATTATTGAACAGAAAAATAATTTGAACTAACCATGATTTTTTTCACTAAGTAAACTTCGAACTGAATTTTGAAAAATATCAAATTGTTCAGGAACTTTTCGTATTATGCGGACAGCACAAAGAACAGCCTATTAAATTGTTTTATAGAAATAGTTGGAATTAGATTGAATTTACTTTTTTCTTTATAAATGGATTGGATGATTTTGTTAATTTTTCAACTTCGCCACCTAAATCACGACTCATCTCTGGTGAGCATATTGAACCTAATGTACATAATGCTAAACCAGCTATATATTGATTTGAATGATTGAGATCACTAAAAAGAAATTGAAAAAGAAATAATTAAATATTAATCACTTTGAAATAAGATATGAACGAGCTTATTGCTTTTCTCTTTCGATTCCACTGGATAACAAAAAATACTACAATCAAGTGAATTAAACTAACAATCGAAAGTTTTTGAGAAGACAAGTTCTGTTTTCTAAGTTGACCCGATGTATATTATGTGTAGATTTTAAGGAGGTATTCATTCAAAGATTCTCCTTTTCTTTTCTTCTTTGAATACCACAGAAACAAATCTAACTAAAGTTCTTTGTTGTGCAAACTTTCTACTCAGAATTCTCAAAAAGTCATTTTTTCTGGGAGCTTTAAATAGTGCTACTACATTATATTAAGAAATATTCTGAAAATCCAGCATCTCTCCGACTGTGGACAACAGGTGTGAGCTATTCTCAAGATATTTTCAGTTAGTTTAGATTTACAATGTGGAAAGAAATACTTGGCTAGCTGTAATCTTCTGTTAGTCTAGTGTTGATGAAAATAATCAGTCTATTCAACTAACGAACATGCCATTTTTCTGATAACATATCTCTGTAGAAATTTGCAGGCTCAGCAGTGAAGACAAACATAATTTGTTTCGGATCAGTTTAAATATTTCAAAAACGATTCATCTCTTACACAATAGAACTTATATTCGAAATAAAACCTATCTTTGAAAAGATATACATATTTTATCCAATGATGATGCAAAAGAATTCGTCCATATCGTGACTATTTTTTTAAGTTAGACTCATAATTTAACGGATATTTTCACATTATTTCATAAGAGGAAATTACTTTTTTAGAGAATTTGTGATAAGCACATGAATGTCTTGTCGTTCATCGAGTAATAACATTGCTCCTAAATAACCAATACGTTTATCCGTAAAACGTGTTGATGCAATCAGTTTCAGACATTCAAGCTAAAAGAAAAATTAACTCGAAATTCTTTTGACTTCAACCAAAAAAAAGAACTTTTTTACTTGTCCAAAATGTGCTGGATAACCAAGTAATGAAACGTACAATAATTTAGCAACGTTACGACATCTCCATGTATTATCTTCATCACGAAATGCATCTCTTATATAGGCACATTCTTTTTGTACCACAGCACGTTCTTCTGCGGCTGTTTTAGCTGAACGTATTTGTCGGATAAGATCACGAAGTCGAACAGGATTTGACTAAAATGCAAAATACTAATTTTTAAAGAAGAACAGATAATATTTCTTTTTGTACCATCGATAAATCGGGAAACTTCATTGCCTTTCTTTTTGTTCGAACTTATTTATTAGATATTGTTTTACATATCTTATTAAAAATCAAACGTGAAAAGAAAACAAATATTATCTCGTTTTGTCTTATGATTCATTCAATAGGATCGATTCAACCAATAAAAAGAAGAGTGATGTTGTTCATTGATTAATTCATCAATCCTCAATCTTATCTGTAAGAAAAGATGGCGCTATTCGAATGAATTTTCATCAAAATAAAATATTAATACTGACAAACTGAATATAGTTTTGCTCTAATAAAGCAGTAAATTTTATTATTCTAATCAATTAACAGGAAAAAAGAAGCAGAACAATAGTTAGATAATTGCTTCTATCGAACACCTCGAGACAAATACATGTACGAAAAAAATATCAATCAACAATATAGAATTCGATCGAAATTACTTTTTTTTTCAATCCGAGTTGTAAAATCGTTAAATTCAATGTAAATAAGAAGTAGGAGTCATTGATCACATATTCTTTTCGTTATATATATATATATATATATATATATATATATATATATATACGTACTTCGGATTATTTTAATGTAATGGTAAGTCGTAGAGAAATTCAACAAGCAGTAGTTACGTGTACGAATTTTTTACATAACATATTCATTTTTGTTCTCACAATGCAAAGGTATAGTAGAAAATTAAAAAAAACAAACGAGAAGCATTGGGATTCGATTTTCTATCGAAATATACATTTAGAAATATTCGTTTTAAAAGCAGCTACTGTTTTGATGGAACACAGAATAATATTTACAGAGCAATTTGTCTTGAAGTATGTTTTTTTTTATTTTGATTAGAACTATTGATATCAGTAGTGTCACTGTTTTGTAAACATGAGCATGAAGAACAAAGTTAATCGAGACATGCATGTAAGTTGCTTTTTGTTTTGTTTATTATGATACCAGAATTAAACGCTACAGCAATTTGATTAAAAAAAATGTATCTATCGTAAGAAGTAATATGCGTTATGCAATAAGACAGTTAAGAGTAAGTCATAGTTATTGAGTGATTCAAGAATTTTCTCACAGCTTTTTCATTTTTAATTGGCAAATGAAGTCTATTGATACAGTTTGCAACTACGCCAATTTAGAATTTCTTTGGATTATTTCGAATCATTTTTAATTGACCGACAAATCAAACTGTTTGTTTTTTGAGATGATTACATCAAATATTAAATTTTCTTATAAATGCCGAATGAAGTAGAATAAATGAATAGTGCAGTATTTTTCTAATATTTCATAGAAAGTCTGTTTAGCGAAAGAGACAACATGAATTCACTTGAACAAACCTATACGAAATCAGAATGTAGATAAACCAGAGATAATTATTATTGTGATAAAGCAATGGTAAGAAATTTCAATCAAACATTCGTAGTGAATCTGTACACTTCTTGAAGTTAATAAACGATCGCTGAAGCCCTTAAAAATACTAGTTTATACACAATTGACTGTGCTCGAATTAATATTATATGTCTAGTGAAGGAAGAATCAGCTCGTTTTGTTTGTTGTAACTGATTTGATCTTATCGGTGATACGTAGGATAAGATGAATTAGAAATCTATTTTCTGGATACTAAGGATCAAGTTTACTAAGATTTGTTCTGTGGTTTTAATTCCATCGAGAACAAAACAAGTATGTGTAGAAATAATTCAACGGCATTGTTCTACACTGAATCATCATATTATATGTTAAAAGAAATTGTGAATTCAAAGAGCAATATTTGCTTTAAATAAATAATCTCTTCTCAAATACAAAGACATGCTTGTCTATTGAATCTATAACAGAAAAGGAATGTAGATTTTACACGAAAGATATTTGCTAAAAGAATTATGAAGTTTGATTATGAAATCAATTTTTTTTCGTTTGCAAAGATATAGATAATTCAATTTTCTTGATTTTCTAATGCTAGAACATATATATTTTTACTTCGATGTTTTCAATGAGTACTTTCCTATGATTTCACGTTGCATAGTTTTTAGAACGAAGTTCAGTTCAAAATTATAATAATAATAAATGGTAGCGGTATAATGTGAGACTCATATTTGCTTTGCTTCATTTGCATCAATTACTTTAGTAGTTATCAAAAATTTCTTTATAAAATATTCTTGTAGCGTTCTATAAGAATATTTTGTTTACGTGCAATTCAGGTTGTCAAAATGGTACACTAAACTTCGTTGAATTATTTAACGTGTCACATGCATTCAAAACCATGATTTATTAGTTTCTTCTTCTTGTTGCTGTTGAAATATTCTACTTTTAGAATGATATTAAGAAATACGTTCAACCTATTTTTAGTATCTTTTCTTGATATAAACATAAAAATGTCTTTTGTTAGCACGGAAAAAATAAGTTGACATTAAATGAATTAAATTATTGCATCCTCAATAGTTCTCCTAGTCTATATTTAGAATCGAGAAAAAAAGTGTTTGTCTAATTGAATTCTTTTTTCAAATGTTACATTCAAAATAGGTGTCAAGTTCTATTATTGTACTAGAAATTCTTTCATGATTGATGATGAAAGAGATTTGTAGAAATATTTGATAATAAAGCATGATCATTAAAAATGTATTTCCGTTACTTCATCAAGAACTTTTTTTATTATCTATAAAATGAAAATCATAACGAATAAAAATGACTGGTATGTCAAATTTGGCATTCATTGATAAGAAATGAGCTACGCTAAATGATACAACTTATAAGCTATGATAAGTAGATATTTTCGAATTGAAATCATATTTGTCATGTTCACAATCGTTAATCTTCATTTTTATTTTCTAATATGGAATCGTAGGCTGTTGGTTCAATTCGAAATTATCTATTCTTATTATCAAGGTCTGATTGAGAAGGAAGTCGTAACTCAGCCATTAGAATTCTAGGTTTTTTTTTTATCGAGGTGTAATTATTTTAAGAAGTTTATAGAGAGAATGCGTTTTTGACCGATTAGCTTTTACTTTTACTAATGAAGCAGATAGCATGAAGATTTTAATGTTTTTGAGTTTCTATCGAGAATAAAATCGTCTTAGGAAAAAAAGAATTTCATACATCTATCATCGTGATTAGATAAAAACTAACCAACTTCAAAATGATGGATGTTACATTCACATCTTTATTAATCAAGAATACTATGAAAACTACTATGCTATTAGATTATGTCTCGAGTACAAAATATCACTTTCATCCACATCAGAAGAATCTGTCTGTAAAAGTTAAAAAGAACAAGAATCACTTTGTTCTAGACCGTCTATCTTAGATTAGTTACGAAATGATGAAGAGAAGTTCGATTTGTTTTCTGACTTTATAACTAATTGAAAGTATTTCACAGTTTTCGAGAACTGTCTGAATTCGATAATTGATTATTCTACATGAATGGTTTCTCTGACTTGAAAACAGTCGGATTAGAGGCTTAAGATCTAATCTTCATTTCGAACGAATAGCTGAGCCCATAAGTTGAATCTCTGTCGAGATTAGCAGAGAACTGAAAGTTTCTTTTTTCCTTGATTTCATCATAAATATAGTACTATCGTAGATTGTTCATTGGGAAAATATTCCTAGCTTAAATTGATTATGAAGAAATACTTGTTGTGGCTAGATTTCCGGGTATTAATTGTTGAAAACAAACTTATTCGCTCGAGAAAACAATAATGATGCTTTAATGAACTGACGTTGCGTGAGAATAGTAGGCATCTTGTGATCAACTCTTTTTATATGAGTTTATAAGGGTCAATTTCTCGTTTTCACTCTATTCATTAGATTTTATAACAATATCAGTTCTGATTATTCTGCACAGATGTGCTCAAACTGAGTTTTCATAGATTTAGCATTATGATAAAGCCAGGTATTCATCAAGTCATTTCACATGAAAACTAGCTGATGAACAAGTTGGATTTTTTATTCAATTTTTACATCTCGTTGAGTCGGAAACTCTCACATACTTCCCGTCAGAAGCTTTGTGCCAAGTTTTTCTTATCACTAGAATTAGTAATTTATGATTACCAACATTAAGTAGATGAAGATGAATTCTCGTTATCAAAATAACGTTTAAATATGTTTTCAGAATACTTTCAGGCTGATTACGTTCGGTAATAAACTTGTTTTGTTTTCGGTCTACTATCCATGAACACAAAATATTATTACATGTGTAATGCAAATAGTTGAAGTATCGTGTTTTTCCTTACATATACGTAAGCCGCTCTATTTAAACTTCATATTATTGAATAAAATAAACTATAATGGCCTTTCTTCCCTCCATAGTTATAAAATCTTTGACAATTCTCTATCTTACAATTATTAACATTTGTCAACAAAATCTACGCCAATTATCTAGTAATACTTATGTTTCGTTTCAGATCAAGAACAGTGAATAGAATTTCTATGGACGAAGTATAAAATTTGTACGAGATAATTTATTTTCAATTAAAAAAAAACTTATTTTAGCTATCATTTGATGAATCTGAAGAAGAAGCAAAAACTGCTGAAAGAAATTCTCCAACAGTATCAAGTAGTGATGATTTACGAGAGCTATGTTTTGTACTCGACGCAGAACGTAATAAAATGCACGAATTAGCTGAACAATGGAAGCAATTTGGTACAAGTACAATACATAAACTTGAGTGTCAAATAGTTGACTATCAAGAAAAATTAAGTGAGCTCGAACAGCGACAAATATTACTGTTAAATGAAAATGAATCACTTAAATCTTTCATTAATCAAACGATGATGAATACAAATGAAACTACTTTAAACGATGTAACGATAAAAACTACTTCACCCTGCGTTTTTAATACTATTTTATCTACGTTTTAGAAAAAAGTTCACCAAAATGTGTCGACTCAAACACAATTTGAGAAACATGAGTCATCACATCATTTATGTTTTCATCGGCCAAAGCCAATGCATGATCGTTTATCAAGCGCACCATCCAAAGTTCAACTTAAAGATTCGGTTAATAAATTAACACGCCAAATATCAAGCGAGGATCCACTTCAACAACAGATTTCTATTCAGAATATGTTTGACGCAATTAAAGTAAATAATTAACTATATCTATTTTGTTTTTATTTCTATAAATATTGTTGTTTGCTTTTTTAAGACAGCTGAAGTCTATGAATCAATTGAAGATATGGTTGGAAATAATGATGAATCCGAGAAAAAATTACTCAAAGAATTCTGTAATGTAAGTTTTAACAACGTTCAAATAGAAAGAAAAAGCATTTTTTTCGCTATAAATCAATGCATTTTTATTCTCGGTCAATGACACAGGAAAAGGCATCGAGTTTTTTTTCTTTCACTTCCTGTGCAAATATTTTCTTTTTAATTTATATTGGTCTTCAGATTTGTTTTTCTTATAAATAATCCACGTTTAAAAACTTAAATTATCTGTTATAATTGAAGATTGATTAGAACATGCTGTTCGTCGTTAAAAATAGAAAGAAAGATCTTTCTTTTCTTGCATACTGATAATAGTTCTAGAATAATTTTCCTTTAGAAGAACAAAGTGAACCTTCGATTTTAAGTTTATTATGTTTGTAATGTGTATTTTTCTATTTTTTTTTCTTCTAGCTTATTTGGAAATATCTTGAAGATCGCTCAAAGCCGAAAAGCAGCTGTTTACTATAATCAATACACCACCATGCACATTGCTTTTGTTTTTTTTAGTTGTCAGATAGCACCTACAATCTAATTGATTTTTTTGATTTTGTTTGAAATTTTAAAATAAAAAACTATTCATATGAATATTCCTATACAATAAACCAAATAAAAATAATGAACAAACAAACATGGGTACAACACGTGATGATGATGATGATGATGATGAAATAATCGTATATTGAGTAATGACTGCTTTAGTTTCTATGATTTCTGTTTGTTGACTATTGACTGTTGAGCGTGTTGTTATTTTTGTTATCTTTATTGGTACTTTTTTTGTCGTCAAAATAGCATTAGTAGTAGTAGTAGTAGTAGTAGTAGTAGTAGTAGTAGTAGTTGTTGTTGTTGTTGTTGTTGTTGTAGTAACAGAAGTAGCAGTTGTAGTAGAAATGATTGCATTCAGTATAATAGAAGGGGATGTTAGTGATGACAATGATTGTAAGTCTTGTTGATTGTCATTTTCCATGTCAATATCGTCATCTTCCATGTAATCTTCATCATTGAATTCATTGAATTCATTTTCTTTTCTCATATCATTTCGTAAATCATATATAGCTTGTTCAGTTAAGGGTAAATTATCATGTGAACGCAATACTAATGACGGAAATATCTGATGAAAAAAAAATATAGCAAGGAAAAATCCATTTATGCTCATATAGAAAATTCTGTTCATTTTTCTTACATTAGCCGCGAAGTATGGCGAAGAAGATGATGATGACGATGGTGATGTATTAAGAATAGCATGCATTTGACACTGAATTAATCTAAAATCGATAATAAATTATAGTCTATATTACTTTTGAAAGATAAACAGAGCTTATTTTACCGTGTTGTTCGAAGGACAAGAAAGATGAGTTTCCATAAATGACAACAATCAAGAAGAGACGAATGAATAGTTGGGAATAATTGCATTTTCTATTTGTTTATCAATATAGAGTCAACAATGTATAAGCATCATATATTGATTGAATATAATACGACTTGATCTAAACAATTCAAGTAAGGGATAAGAAGAAATATGTCATGACTGATAGGAAAGAAGAAGACTAAAAAATAGCAATAAAAAACAAAATAGAAGTAAAGATTGTCATTTAAGCTGACACTTTCGTGTTGCTCAATCCAAACATAGGTTCTAGAACGTAATCTCAATCAAAGAAGCAATGAGCAATCATCAAAAGAAGAAGAAGAAGAAGAACACGAAGGGAAAAAAGAATTACACGTGAATGCCAATTTGTTCGGGCCAGAACTTCTTAAATAAAACACGAAGGGAATACATCGCACTATTACGTCTAAATTAGTTAAAATATAGGAACGGCAAGTATTGTTGACAAAATATTATTCTGCTGGATTTTTTTAGTCTTCGCTGAGGTCTTTTTTTCTCGTAAACACTTTCTCTTGTTCTATTTTTTTCTTCTCTACTCAATAATATATTGCTAGTAATATATCGGTACGTGTCTGACCCGTTACCTCATGATTTGTTGATAGAAACGCGAGTTAACACCTATAGAGTTTCGTGTTAATAGATTTTTTTCCTCATCACATATCGATCACTCATTCAATCTTACACCAAAGAACTAATCTTGAGGAAAATATTGAGCGTCACAGGGGATCGTTTAGACGTTCATATCGACCTCTCAAATCACCAATTTCTGTGCTCGTTTGTCCCAAAAGCACCATCTTACTTTGTCATGTCTCTCCCCCCCCTGTCTCTCTCATTCTGCTCTTCTTGTGCATTTTTCATTTCCGCTATTATTATGCGAAACGACGCATAAGGGGTTCAATGACTGTGCGGCGTACGGTGTGAAAGCATCATTGTAATAAACCCGTTGTATTAAGATGCGGAAAATCGTTATGACCAATTCTTTCTTTTTTTTTTGCTTCTATATTTTTTCCTTTTCCTCACACATGAAGCAAAACTAGAGAATATTTTCCATGGTTTTTTCTCTCTTGCTCTGTGTGTGCCTGTCGTTCTACAGTGTAGATCTATGATGGTGGCTATTACTTATTAGAATCTCTTCAGTGAAAAAGGAGACGGAAGATGAACGCAGAAAAATAAGCGAAGTAGTAGGATGTGATTGAAAAACAATAAGATTTCAATGGGTCTATTTGATGAATGGACGTGACATTAACCTGAACAAAAAATGAAATGATCATGACATTCATAAGAACAGCATACAAAAAGAAAACAAGGAAAATTTCAATCTAAATGATCGATGAGATTTGACGCAAATAAAAAGATTTGATAAGATCAACTTGATTGCATGTATTCTATATTGAACAAGTAGCGCTTGAACTGAATTGGCAAAAAATTATGAATATAGAAAATCAATGCTTCTGTTGGTTATTATCTTTTGTATGTCTTCTTTTTAAATATATTTATTTAAATCACAAGAGAAGATAACCAAATTATGCATTGATGTTTTAATCGAAATATTAGCAAAAGACAAAACAAAATGTTAACCGCTCATGCTGCTTTGAAGTTCTTGCTTAATAGCAGCCAAAAATGCTTTCATACCAACATATGTTTCATGGCATACACCAGGTGCTTCGCTTGGTGGTAAAACAAAACCGGGAGATGCTGCATCAACGAATTCATAGGAGAAATGAAAAAAAAACATTATTTTCAAAAGAAAAAAAAACAAAAATGTTTTACCTGATATCGGTGGAAGTTCGACTGTATTTGCAAATGGAATTTTCAAATCATCATAAGCCCAGTCAATAGTACTACCACTGGCAATATCTATAACAAGAAAAATAAAATTTGGTTTCGTCAATCATCAATAGAAATAGCATACATAACAATTGAGCGACACTACCAATGGCATATGTTCTACCACTGTTGACACTTTTAATAGCGTTTGCTCCTATTTGTGCTTTGGCATATTGTGAATTATAATTTGCTGGAAGGCTTGTATCATAACCGTACTAAATATTTTTCAATCGAAAATAATTTCAACAAAACGAAATAAACTCACTGGTGTACTAAAATGAAATTATAACACAAAGAGTCAAATAGAGCAACGCAAAAAAAAATGCTGTTTACTTACAACCACCATTGTCCATATGAATGAAATGACATATACATATCCCAGGTACCAATTTTAGATTGAAGAAAATTAATAACACCTTTTGTTTCAGGTTCACTTCCGGCGGATCGGCCTTTGATAGAAAAGAAAAGCAAATATCTTAATAAATATCATAGTTAATTTCTCCTAGTAATTACCAGCATACGTATCACTGCATTCACTGCTACTGGCACCTCCTGAAAGGAAATTAAAAATTGAAAAAGATGTTTGTTAAAATTATTTCCTTTATACCCGTCATCCATCTTCGTGGATAATTACGATTGAGATCAACACCGTAACAACTTCCAGTAGTACCTCTCGCACGACTTTTACGCCATAATCGACTCTAAAATTTGATTACTGTTATAATCAAAATTCATCTTATAGTATAATGAAACTCACGGTTGTTCGACTATATTGATATCCTTAAATAACAAAAAGTTAATCAAATCAATTTATTCTGTTGAGGATTTCTTACCATCAGGATTCAGTGAGGGTGCAATATAAACATTCCAATAATTGAGTAAGCTTGTAACGGTAGCATCATTTTTGTTATATTCATCAATTAATTTATCAACCATCCAAATACACGCAGCCGGTGTGATCCATTCTAATTTTTGTAAGAAAAAGAAATGTCTATTTTAAGAGTGCTGTTTTTTCTTGTCTCCTACCTCTTGCATGAATACCACAATCAATCCAAATATTTCGCGTTGCTGCTGGATTGAATTTTATTGAAATACCTTGTATACGTCTATTTTCATATGTTTGACCAATATCAACAACGGTAATGTGTTGTGAATCAGCCTGTGCTTTATCTGCAAGATATGCTACCATTTCGTCATAACTAGCATATGTACCGACAATATCAGCTTTGGGTTGTCCCAAAAACCGACTTTTAAGTTGTCTTTTTAAATTTTCTTGGTCAATTTGTTGTTTTTCATCATCAATAGCAGCTTGTACATCATCAACAATAACGCGGAATGGCAATGAACGTTGTTTAAATTCTGAAGCGTATTGGTCAAATTCACTTTTTTTTATACGAACATCAATCGGTTTGGTTGCTGTTATAATCTCAGTCCAAAAATCAAGTGAACCATTTATTTCCAGATCTTGTAGATATTTGATATGTTCATTATTTAATGGTTCTAAACTAACTAGTTTATCACCAATATATTCACGTTCGGCTTCACTCCATACAACTATAGATATTAGAATGAAAACAAAATATGATAGTCGACTCATGATGAAAACAAATTGAAATCAAAACAAGCGATCAGAGTACAGAGCATTATATAGATATTACTAGTGTTTTTCTCTTTTGTCATCCTTAATCTTCTATTGATCAAATATTATTGTATATATTTTAAAAGAAGCACTGTGGGTTAAGTGTATTTTTACCAGATGTTCGTTGATGGTTTAAGCTCCGCTATGTTTTTGTATTTTTGTTTTTTAATTTAAGTTTTTTTGTAATTTATTTTCAAGATTTAAGTTTTTTTGTAGATAACAAAAAAATAAAACATGAACTTTTCGAAAAGCAAAAATCTCGAGAAATATTACAATAGATATACAGCAATTATTTATATGTTTGCATCATCAGAAACAGGTGCTACAGAGACGTCTGCACCCAACGGTCTATTTGAAGTAGATTCATATACAGTTACATCATCATGACTGGGCAATAATTGAGATCGTTCACTTGAAATAGGTGGACGTGATACACATAGGCGAAATAAATGCTCCCATACACCATTATAGATACCCATACCAATTACCAATATTATAAAACCTAAATCAATAGAAAAACAATAGGATTAAAACCTGGTCTGTTTTTTTTTTCATATATAAACTGATAAGAAAATCTAACCTAATACTTGTAATGAATAAAACGCTTGCCATTGTAATGCCAACGATACAATCCAAATAATTAATGTTCGGCCACTATCGAGTACCATACGTGTTGTCGACGATAGTTCTTTGGTTACACTTACACCAGCGAAGTTAAAGAATGCGATAGATAATACATTTCCTAAACGAAAACAAAACGTAGAACGAGAGGTTCTCATTTTTCTAGTATATATTTTCTTACCAAAAGTTGCAAGAATAATAATCCAATTACCACGCATTTGACAAAATGCTGATAGGACATCTTCAAGACGATGATCAGGGCCAGAATTCGATGTTGGAACAATAATAAAATAAAACTAATACGAAAACAAATAGCAGGATTACAATCAATCAATCAAAGAAAACTATTACCGGTATTAGAAGAAGGCCAAGAGTAGAAAATCCAAATATTCCCTCCCAACCAACAGCTTGCAATGGTGGAATGTTATATTTACCAATAAAACGTTCTTCATACACAACCTATACATGAAATAAATAATAGTATTTTGTTGTTCGCTTATTTTGCTTTTTATCCTTACTTGAAAACTAGTAAATAACATTGCAATAAGTATAAGTGCATCACCTGCAAGTTTCTCTGCATTGGTATGATTTCCCTCAGGTTGTTTTGAAAAGATAACATCCGATACACCAACAATAGTTAGACCTACGACAACTGCAAAAATGCCAAGCCAATGTTTCCATGTTAAATTCTTTCGAAGAAATAGAACACTAAAACAATTATTATGTTTCGATTTGTATTTTTTTTGCCTTGTTCTTCACATTCAATTACCTAAGTATAGCAGTAAAAACCATAACTGAACCTCGTAACATTTGAAAGGAACTTGCACTTGTATAATTTAATGCAATATACGATAAACATGTAGAGAGCATATCGCATATTGATGCAACCCAAAAAATAAATGGATTAAATGTCTGTTCACCATCAACTAGACGTGTATCTTTTTTTATATTGATTGGCCAAAAACGAACTATGGGAGATGCAGCATCGCCTTTGTATACCATTCGTTCAATACGATAACGTGCAGTCGAATACCAAATGAATTTAAATACTAATAAACATAAAAATTCACCCAAAAACATGCCAACACCCTAAATACATTGTATTGTTGTTTTTTCTGCACAAATGATAAGAAAAATTGACTTACTTGAAGAAACGGATGTTCAAATGTAACATTTGCACCTGAACCATCACAAAAATGAGATGTTTGTCTAAATAAAAGGCAAGAATTAAGAAAATTATAAATCAATTGAAATAATCAATACCGATCAGCCCATTTTGTTGATAAAGTATTAATGCTTCCGGTTATTAACATAAGTCCGGCTAAAAATAATTGATATGGAGTAAAAGCCATTTTTATCTACAAAAAAAAAATATGTATAACTTTCAATATTTATCTATGTTGCCTTTGTTTTCGCTTCACTTCGACAACTATTTCATCGTGCTAATCTTCTCTACAAAATAATATTAACAACTGATAGATTCATTCTAGAGATACGTGTCCTGTATTGAGATGATGATTCGAATTTATTTTATTAGTATTTGTTTTCATGAAACACAAGCAGAACGCGAATAGACGAAAAACAATGACTCAGAGTTTATATTACTATTTATGTTATCGAATATACTTGATTTTGTTTCTATCATTATCGGGACGATTATAATCATATATGAATTTTCGATGATTTCGTCGAAAATAATGCATTAAAGATAAATAATGAATACGAGATTGATTATTAGAATTCTTGTTTTTAATGGGCAACGTTTTTTTCATTTGCTTCGCAACAATTTTTCTTCTATTCAAATGATTGTCACTGAATAGAATATAACTACAATGCTAAGTTGATAAACACGTATGTTTGATTGTTTTTCTTTAAATACTTACATAAATATAGGTAAAGTTAGAAAATGAAGAAAACAAGCAAGAATAAATATTGAACTAGGATAAGTGCTTATTGTATATGAATAAAGAATATTAAATAACAATGATCCAATTAATGCATCAATCGATTCGAGTGATGCAATAATCGAAAAGATTTTACCTGAAAAAGCCGAAGATTTACTTTTTTTTCTCCCGAGAATAATTACCAACAAATACCTTCTTCATCGAGGTTACAAATTTTCGAAATATATGATCGAATACCTACAACAACATATGATGATAACATACCAAATAATGGTACTAGAAGAAAACAAAACGAACGCTTATGTTCAAATACAAGAACTTTAATCTGAAATTACTCATAAATATAAATGTTTTTGAATGATTCATTGCATAAAGAAAATCTGTTGTACATTTCGATAGTGTACCAAGAATTGCACATGTCATATCACTGATATTGAATAGATATCGTAATATTGGCAATAGAAATAATAAGCCAAGGCCAAGACCAAATGATTTCAAACCACGGAATATTCCATAGAGACTTTGCGAGAAAGACAACGGCGATTTTTTTAAATAAAGATAGATGACTGTTGATTCACCTGAATTTTCAAATAGACAACTGTGTCAATTTCAGAATAAAAACAAAAAAAGAATAATTTGCAAAATGCCCTTAATCTATTTCATTTACCGATGCTTGTTAAACTAAATGGACAAAGTTTCATTTAGATACAAAGATATGCTTGATTAGAAAGTTTTAATATCGTCTCGGGATTTATAATATTAAATGAGTTGATGAAAAGTGACGAGCATCATTGATTCTTTTTCTTATTGGATTGAGTATTGTTGAAGAAACAAACCCGAGAAATTACGGCTATCTTTAACAAATTTATATGATCCGTACTGTTTTTTATGCAGGAAATGTTTGATTGCATTAAGTTTTATTTCCTATATGAGATATCAAACATGAAAGTTATATTATGTTTTTACGATTTCACTTCGTTGTTTTTTTCTTATTGAGTGCGTTTCAGATAAGATTTATTAGTTGATAAGTATAAGAATAGGTTTTTTTCTTTAATAGCTAAAATCAGTTGATATTTAAGCTCGTAAAATGCATATTATCATTTGAATTTGTATAAAGATTAGACACGATTTTAGTTACAAAAATTTTTCTTATCAATTTGCGATTCGATGGAAGAAATTTAAACCCCATCAATACAAGTTTTATTCTATCATTTCAAAACATGAATTTTAACTGCATTTAATAAAATTGTAGTCCGACTGGTCTCAACTGGAAGCAAACGACATATTTTTTGTTTTATTTTCAATGTATTGCTCTACAATAGAATGTTAAAATGGAAAAAACAATTTATTTCATAGGTCAGCATAAAGGAGAATATTTTGCTGATGCCTATTTAGAGTATATAAGATCTGATAATATTCACCATCGAGAAAAAAATTTAGAAAAACCTAAAAGAAATCTTTTCTATCAAGATAAATCGTGCTTTTGAGATTCCGTTTTTGCACAAAAACACTCATGATCATGACTCATAAGTAACTTACATGCTGCATAATAAACCAAATATTGCAAGAAGAAGATATTTTCTTTGGTTGAATTCTCTTGGTTTAAATAAAACACGAAATGCATCTCTTATATCATTATAAAAAAATAAGGTTTCATAGAAATTTTTAAATGATTTAATATTTTGCCTTGTTGGAATAACTTCTTTAACATAAAATGTAATATAAATAATATTAATACAATGAACAAAAATAATAAATAAAAAACAATATTGAAAATTTGTTAAATCAATTAATATTCCACTCAATATTAAACCAATTGTTGAACCAAACATCAAACATGATTCAATAATTGCAATCCGTTGTGTACGATTTTCTATTGTTGTTATATGCGAAATATAATTATAGATGACTGAAAACATGGTTGATGTTGAACCAAATAAACTAAGAAATATGTTTGATAAAAATAATATTTCTATTGATAGATTATATTTTATAACTGATACAAATAAATTCACTATGGTCGATAATATACAACCAATACTTGCAAAAATCATTGGAATTTTATGAGAATATTTATCTGACCATACACCACACATGATTGATATAAATATTGACGGAATCGAATAAACAAAATTAAAATACATAACATAAATAGATGCATGTTTTTGTATAATATCTTCCATGGATTTATAAATATCGATCTTATTTATTCTATTCGTATTCATCGAATTACATAACGATATATTATATAATTTATAGCAAACTTGTCGATAAAGAAGTGCTTCATCTGTAGGAATATTTATGTAAACTGCTAACATATAAAGAAAAACAACAGGTTCAATGCTGATGGATTTCCACCAAGGAGCAGACTTTTTCGATGTAAAAAATATGTTTACTTTTTCATTTTGTCTTATCATGATTTTCAATCAGATCGAGTATCATAGACATGTGATGCGATCTATACATTGACTCAATCAATCATCAAGGATTCGTTCGTATTTTGAACAGAAAGCTTTCGCAAGATCAGAGGTCGCTATTCAACAGAGAATAATCGTGTATTGAAAATATAGTTCTTTTTTCGTGGCATTAATTTTAGTGTCAACTTTTTATCATTTCTAAAGAAATAATATCGATTGAAAATTATCATTTAAATGAATGTAAACAAATTTATATTCACATTCTAAGAAATCGTACACAAATATTCTGATGAATGAAGAAAGAGAACTAATAAAATCATGAGAATTTTCACTGTAAACCTTCTAATCATATGTATCATATTTTTTGAAAACTAAGACAAACCAGTAGGCCATGTTGCCTTTGATATTATATTCTTTCTCATAATTTGTCTTCTTCTTCACTATGTTCTCATATTTCTAGCCGTATCGAGCATCTAAAAATATGCATGTCTTATTATTTTATAAAAAATTATGAAACAGAAGTAAAAGATGAGTAGAATTAATTTCAATGATTTTCTTCTTTAAATCTTTACCTTTATTTATGATGAAAAAGAATTATTTTTATTCAAATTTAACGACGTATCGTGAAATACTTGAGAAAAAAAGAAAGCTAAATCTTTCTTAGAATTTAAAAAATGTCTCTGAATATTCGTTTATAATAGGGAAAGACTGTTCTCACTGGCGGATCTACCAGTTCGGCTACCCGGCGCTGNCGAAAATAACTGAAGGGAATCGAAAAACTATAATTGATTGTCATCATCTTGAATATTACGTAAGTAGTAGATCAAAAAATATAAATAGCGTTTGTTCGTTTTCAGCTTCATTTCTGTCTTTTTGAAAGTGCCACCCGAAATGTTTCTGCGGCTCTTATATGCACCAAATCATATCTTTCAATAAGAAAATAAATCACAAGATGTTGGTGTCAAATGTTCGAAAACTGTTTTAGTTTAATAATAAAAATTCCACAAAATAATCATGAAAATAAGTAATTAGAAAAATCTGGTTAACTATAACTAATTTGCATCGATGAATTCGTTAAGTTCAGTCGTCGATTAGTTTTTAGATTTTATTGCGCAACTTTATTTCTAAAAAAAGTTGATTTTTCCATGAAATTATAGATATATTGCGCAAAAATTAAATAAGCAATGGAAAGAAAGCTAGTACTTCGATTTATATATTTCCTCAAAAAAAATTTCTCTGTGTCGTATTATATAATTTAGAAAGCGCCGCCCCGCCTAAAAATTCCTCGATCCGCCACTGGCTGTTCTGTCGGTTCGATGAAAGTAGAGATGCATACTGTTACAAAAATAAGAGTTTTGTTGTCATTGAGAAGAAGCAAAGCTCAATTCAAAGAGAACTTTAGTATTACTACGTTCCACATAAATTCACTGCAAGATCCACTTGTGTGAATTTCAGATTAATTAAAGCAAATATGGGTTCCATTCTATTGTTGCACCAATAAACAATAAAGAGAACACAAATTAATGCCATTGATGAAAGTCAAAATAAGCAAGAACAAATGCTAAAATAAAACTAAATTTCGATCATTTTTAAATTATCTATTTTTCTGCTTCAATCGTGTAATATAGTTTTATTTTCTGTACAAGTCACAGACTTAATAGAAATATAACACTAATCTATTCAACAAATGTTGAAATTGAATTAGCATGACATGTAAAAAGTTTTCTGAATTCTACATTTATGAAAAGCATATAGCATTTTCTATGTACATGACATCCTTATTATATGATAGTACTTTGAAATCGTAGAAAAGCAACGATAATAAAGGAATTTATTTTTGCATTTCTATTCATCTGACTTTTTTCGGTGATTTAGCAATACACAATCATATTAAAATCAACAAATAGAGAAGATTAATCGAATTGAGCGAGTTTGCTTTTATGAATTCTGCTAAGGAGTTTCTTTATTGTCATAAATTTCAAATCAGTCGCTGTCTTTTTGTTTATTTAATAAGAATGAATAGATTCCAGAGCGAAACAAAAATGTTTAGTTTTCAGAAAATCTAGGATGAGCACTGTGTGCACGTGGCTTAGCCAACTTCTCAATGGCTTCTTTATGTTTTTGATATTTACTAATAATTTCGATATCGGGGAAATGTTGACTGACAGTCTCTAGAATTTTTCGATTATGTTTCTTCATATGTCTTGTTTGTTGCTCTTGATGAATTTTCAATAATCGATCACGAACCCGTTGTTGCTGAATAATACCATTTATAGCTCTGGAAAGCAAAAAATGACATTAACAATATGAAAATCAATATGAAATCAATTTTTGTTTCATACTGATATGTTAAAGGTTGCACTGCTGGTTGTATTAAACGTTGATGAATATTTTGAATATCTTCATTTTGAAGTTTTACACCGGATTTCTTTTAGTTAGAGATAGATTTCAAAGAAAAATACATAGATATGTAAAAAGAATAAAATGAACATTTCTTACCACAATATTTAAAGTAACAGTTTCTCTGTCCAAATGTGATGTATTATTTTTATCTAACATTCGAAAATAATCCAATGTGCGCCAACGTCTTTCATCGATATGTTGAATAATTTTACGCATAGAATCACCTTTGGTAGCTACTATTAGAAAAATAGAAATGAAAAAATCAACAACAATTAAAGGCATTTGTATTTTTGAAATCTCGTTTAATTTCTCTCGATAAAAGCAATTTTAAAACAAACTTATGCGCTAAGTCAAAGAGATAGGATATTGATTTAGTTTCGAAATATTACGACTCAAAATCATCTATGTTCACGTAAACATATTCCGAAACCAACCAAAAGTTATTGCTTGTAAAGGAACAAATCTGAGTCGATCTCTATATTTATCATCGTTGGAAAATTCACATGAAATAAATTAAGTGTTATAGTGCAGTTAGTTCTGCTTTTCTGTCCACATATCCTTATCCGTATTATAATCGTAGAATTGAATGCGGCTGAGTCACTGGATTGCTCAAAGATCGATATCACTAATCATGAAATAATTCGGGACTGAAAATTATACGCTATTTGGTCTCGGATCGTTTGTTCGAAAATATGCTAATTATTCTATAGCATATAGTCACATTTGTCTTGAGGATATTTGAAATTATTAATCATTATAATGACCAAATGGCTTTCTACTAAAAGTTTGTATATGGTCAACTGATGGGCGTACATCAGAATATCAAACAGTTTAGTGCACAATCTCTGTATCATGTTGACCTTTCATTTGGAACTACATCCACTATTAGGCTCACTACAATTGTCGCTAGGTAACATACAATACTCAAGACTACTCTTAAGACAGAAATAATATTCTTCTTATTGTAATCGCGATAGGTTATAATAGTAATTCAATACTAGTCTTTCTGATCAATCTTTTCTAAATACAGTTACAAGAGAATGAAACAACTGAAATTTGCTTTCCTTACTAGCACGATGATAATGATTGAATTTACTAATCATACCTGCTTCTCGACCAAGTGCATCATGTACTGGCATTTCACAGTCAAATTTCATAATAAAATCTCTCCGTTGTGCAATTTTTTCTGCAAGACGAACTGTTGGCGCGAAAACTGGTGTACCCTTAAATAAATATATACGGCTTAAAAAATAAAAACCAATAAACCATCGATTAAATCTTACCGATATATCAAGCCAATGAAGAGCACTGGTCTTTGAATTCAACGCTTGAATAATATATTGAACACCATGTGTTGTTATTGGATTGTAGGAAAGCTAATAGATGAACAAATGAAAGAAAGACTGTAGTTCTATGAGTTTAACATAGAATTTTATTTACATTCAAAATATTAAGTGTTGAATTTTTTGCTAAACCTTCACTGATTACTTTTGCACTGAACCATTCGATATTACAATTACTTATATTTAAACGTTCTAAAACTTTATTAACAATTAAAACACGACGTAGGGCAACACTACCATCATAACCAAGACCGCTCCATGATAAATCAAGGTGCGTTAAATATTGATTAACCTGTTTAATAAATGAGAAAAAAAGACTTCATTGAAAATAAATATATGGATCAAAACAATATTTTACTTCGATTCCTCGAAAAAGTGCGATTGATGCAACACTTCGAATGAAATTCCAACTTAAATTTAAATATGATAAACTCGAATTTTCAGCTATCAAAAAAAACGAATAACAACACGAATGTGTATGAAAAACAAAACAATAATACATACTTAAAACATTGCCAATGAAAATACATGAATTTTCTTCAAACTCATTAGCACTTAAATTTATTTCTATAAGTCTTTTAGGTCGGCATAGATCACCGATTCGAATACCATAAGAATCTTTTAGGCCACAATTTGTCAATGATAGATAGAGTAGCGATGGGAGAGAATTAACAGTATCAACTATTGCTTCAAAACCTTTTCTACCAATTTTATTACCTGACAGATCCTAATAAGGAAAATTTCATTTAAAAATAGTAAAATTATCATGTTAGTTTTTACCAATAAATTAAGGTTAATACATTTACATAATGCTTGGCAAAGTAGATGGGCTGATCGTGATGTTAAACCTACTGTATTTAATGTTAGACTTTCGAGATTGGCTTCAATCGCAGTGGCTAATGCACGAATATCGTTAAAGGAAAATGATCTATCAATTATAGTGATAACATCGGAAGGAAGAAGAGCTCGTATTTGCCAATCAGCTGTCGTATCAAGCGTTTGACAACAATGTTCATAGATTTGAACTCTTGCTAAAAAATTTAAAAACAAAAATCAAAATTTGTCTTTTTTTATATATGAAAAACCTGAAATACTTCTTTTATCATGCGGCGTTTTAAGTCTTAATGTAATAAGAGTATCATCATTGTCTTCTTTGACTAGTTCCTGTTGAACTTCGTACGGTACATTTATTTGACCAAACGTTTGATTCAATCGATTACTACGATGAGCTGCTAGTATTTTACCAGATGATAATCGATGTAGTGGCGATTCATTGATGTGATCTGTAGAATATCCAGAAAAAGATGATACAATACTATTGTTTTTAAAAATGACATTTATGTACGAGTAGAATCTCATATATTCTGATTTTAAATAATTAGCAATTTCAGAATATATGAAGATTAAATATAATAGGTAGGAATATTTGTATTTTTGATATATTAAGAAATTATTTTGATAGGCTTATGTTTGTGGCGAGATAATCCTTTAAAAAACATCTATTTTTTTTTATATAAAACTTGATGACTCTTGAAAATGACATTTACTAATCATATATATAACCTTCTTATCCTCTTTATCTCTAACGCCAGCTCTCAGTATGAGAAAATCTACTAATAGAAAACTAATTTAAAGAAAACCCAATGAAGAATATTGATATGCTGACGTTCTTAAATATATGTGGAAAATGTTTGGCTTTCTTTTGTCAATCATAATGTGATGAGAGAACATTTGCAATTGATAGATACATTTTTCAGTAAGTACTTTTCTAAACGATAAAATCACATTAGCCTGTTAATAAATATTTTAATTGGTTTTCAATAGACATTGTCTAATAGGCCTACTGAAGCAAAATAATCACAAAAGGCAAGCATCAATGTTTTCCATGTTAATAAATATATATTGAAACTCGATGTAAATGCAACCGGTGAGATTGCATTAAACTTTGAATAACGAGAGTTCATTTTTTATCATGCATATCAAACTTCAACCTCATAATGTGATGATATAGAACAAAAAACTAATCAAATAGTTATTCAAGACAATATTCTATTTTCCAACTAAATAGCATCGTCAACATTAAAAAATTAGCAAATCAACGATCTCCGGGGAAAAAAGAAAATCTATTAAATATTCATTTTTTGATGACGCACAATGTCGGAAAATTAAAAGAAAAAAATAATTGCTAGTGTACCCTATGCTCTTTACTCTGGTGCATATAACGAGAATCGTGCTGCGTAAAGTTCAAACATCATTACTGAGTGACTAATGATGATGAACAAGCAATTGTTTTAGCTATTTTTGTTTAATTGAAAATTAAAATGCACCAAATGGATTTATATGGCAAAATGCACTAGTATTAGCGTGGATTCAAAAGAAAATCTCAAGAGTAAGACTCGAGTTTAATCCGTACCGATATGAGAAGATAATTATCAGAAGAAAAACAGAGTTGTGCGTCAATTTGCAATGATTTCGTATTTAAGAATATTTTCTTAACTGCAAAGATCGATATAACGAGTTAAATATCGTTCGATTCCATTTTTATACATCAGAAGAGGATTATGCGACACATTTTTCAGCAGATATTATTTTCGAAAAAACCTAAAGAAGCGAATAATAAATATCTACTGATGTTTAATTTCTATAGTTAAGAAGATTAGCTTCATACAAATATCTGAATGATTTCTATAATGATTTCTTACTAAAATTGATATTAATATTTTGTAAGCGATTTGCGTCACCGAAGTAAGAATTAGTCGATCGCAAGTAACTTATATCTACTATATAATTATCATCTAGTACAACACTATAAAAGTTATGTAGGTATGTTGCAGTAAAATTATAAATGAACCATTTGTTAGATAAAGTGCTCATGGTCATCGCTCAAAAATAAAAGAAAACCCTGAGTTTCCTATTGCGAATCAATTTTCTCAGAATATATGCAACTGATTTTTCCTAATGAGCTATCTTCTCGTTTAGGAACATCCAATTTACGCTTACAAGACTAATCGAAGAAGTAAAAGCAGCTTTATTCAACAATTGTTAAATAGAATTTTCCCCTAGAATTCCTCATCTGAGTAACATGTTGCTGTGCTTCTTCATAATTGAACTTGTATCCATAATCCAAATGAACGATGTAAATTTATTGACAGTTTACTTTTCTATTAACTTAGATGAGCTCGACAATTGATAGAAGTTTAAAATAAAAAAATTGCTATAATTTAGCTTGTCATTACCCTCTCGAATATAATTAATATATACCTGTTGTGTCATCATCTAAATCAGTATCGAAGTCATTGCTGTCGTCTTTTTCCATTTGTTTCAGTTGTTCATACAGAAAACATTACCGTAACAAGCGATAAAAAAGTGACATTCCATTTTTCCTGTCGTCGTCTGTTTTCTACTTTTTCCATTGCGTCAAATATTTAATGTCGATTACATGCTACTGACAATTGAATACTTCCAGCTTAATGAAATAAGGGAAGAAAAAAGAAATTCCCTTTCAATTGCTATTTCTATCTTCACTTCAAATAAGAAACAAAATTACTGTCATCGTATTATGAGGCTAAAAGCAATCAAAAGAATAGATTTTAAGTTTTCACTAGTGCTTTCTTGTTTATTTCTATTTTTTTTCCTTCGAACGTATAATGTAACACATAAGTTGACAAGAACAACAATCAAACAACAAGAGAAGTGTTCTTCAAATTGAAATATCTACGAAACTAGTATATATATATATATATATTTATAGATACGCGTCGAACGCTTTTTTTCTTATTTTTTTTCTGTTGAAACGAACAAGAAGAACATAAAGAAAGAAATAGGAAATAGACAACACGAAAGAACATACACAAAATTTGTTTTTCGTTATTGCTCTTCTTTATTTTCGGATAAATGATCAACGGGTAAATTTTTTTTTCTTGGTTTCATCTTATTTCTAATCAAGAATAACAACAATAATAAGAAAAGAAAAGAAAAGTAAAGTAAAGTAAAGAAAAAAAGGAAGTGACATGAAATAATCATAATATATACAATGAATACGATAAACGTGTTAAATGGCTCTCTTGATTATAATTATTTTCTTCTAACTGTTCCAATACATAAAAGCTCCTAAAGATCTTCATATGAGAGCAAATGTGCATATAATGATATCAAGAATTTTCATTTTATAATCATATTGAATTGAAAAAGAGAATTAGGCATGTAGTGAAGTTGTTTAAATTGATTAATCTTGCATATCCTCGGGTATTTCATGAGGATTAAGAATACCTAAAAATTAAATAATTAAACTCATTAATGTCTTCTATTTTGTAATAGGAGCTTTCTCTTTAGTTTTACTAACCGGGAACACTCATTTGTATTTTTCGTTTTTCTTCAGCTGCACGTTTTAGTGTTTGTTCTCGATCTTCTAAATATAAATCAGTCGTGTCATTTCCAGTTGCTTCACGTATTTGAACGAGAAAATCACGTAAATGTTCTTTAAAACCGGCAATATCTTGATCTAATGTAACAAAACCTTCGATAATAACTTTAACTTGATTATCTTGTAAATGTGAAAATGCTGTTTTTAATAAATTAGCCATGAATTGTTGAACATAAAGTAAATTTTGTGATGGATCTTGTACTTCAGGTGCCAATGGAACTTTAATAAGGCCTTGTTCGGCAATTAAAAATAGATTAGCCAAAATTTGTGAATGTGCTGTTAGACCTTTAAGAAGAACAAAACAATCATTAAGAAAATATATTATTCATTCAAATAGGAAAAGAAAATATTGATCAATAATAAACTACTTCATGTTTTAAATATGTTAAAGTATCGTCTAGAAATTTTATACAAATCGGTAATATAAATAGGAAACTACGGGTGTGAATACTCACACTAACATCAAAGTAAAAAAGTATTCAAGTTCCTGATCGAACAAATTTTAATTGAACGAGATCATGTTGAAGACCAACAGCGTCGATACATTCGTATTACAAATGCATATATGAGATTTCGTTTATTATGATGTCTCTTTTTTTTACATAGAATTCAATTCACACTATTGCAAGGGACCAAATTAGGGCTGCTATTTTACTTTGATTGACTCTTCTGTTATGGAATTTTTCCGGAAAATGTTAGTAATATTTGGCCTATATTAATTCAGTAGAATCATCTGAACATATAGAATGAGATTATGATTCTGACTACAGCTAATTATGGTTGAAGAGTTGAAAAAGAATTGAATATTGAGCGCTACAACTTTTGAGCCACACTGTATAATATAGTATGTCTATAACATAAATCAAATCCTTGATGATCTTATTGAATATTAAATGAATCATGAGTGGTAGATTGTATTAGAAACAATGAATTTAATCAAATTCGAAATGTTGACAGACCCAGTCATGTACTATTCTCATTAATCAAAAACAAATATTAAATTTCTTGCGATTTCTCTGATGAACTTTTTCAATCAACGTAAAAATTCTACTTCAATTAAATATATTTTTCTTACCAGATGTATGTGAACATTCAGCAACAACAGCAAAAATATGTTGCATTGTTTCAAGATAGAAAATTTGATAAAAGTTTTGTGCTGCTTGTGGATCACATGTTTGAAATTTTCTTAAAATCGTTTGAAGAATTTCCAAACCTAATTCTGATATTGTACGCATTGTATGTTTTAATGCCCACATAATTGAATCATACACGAGTTTAAATTGTGTTGCGTTCAATGCTAATATAGCTAAAAAAACAAACAAAAGAAGGAAAATGAAATTTTAAAAATAATTTTGTTTTTCTTTATAATATACCTGGAAAGCAAACATTGATAACTGATTGAAGTAATATATAGAAATTCTTTCTGTGATCTGGATAATCTTCGAAATTTTTATCAATCATATGAAGTGTATGTTCAAATGTTAAATCAAATATATCGGGTATACGATTTGTTATACGACTTTCAGCTTTATTTATTAATATAGCCAACATATTTAATACTTCGGATTCTCGTGCTTCCGGATGACAATCACGATAATCATTTAATACAAATGTAAATAATGGTGTTAAAAATTGATCAAGTACTTGTTGGATATTAGTTGCTTTTGAAAAATAGCTACCAAGTAACATTAATGAATCTTCTTTAATAGCCATCATAGATTTAATCAGACGTTGTTTAACAACCATGGGCCCATTAATTCGTATAGCTTGATTGATATTTTCTGATGTTACTTTATAGATATGTAACATGTCTTGATAGATTTTTGTTAATTGATGAGCATATGGTGCGCCTAATGCTTTTGATGCGCGAATATTTGTTTTAAGTATATTTAATATGTTACTAACAACTTCTGGATCTTGTAAACAATCGACAGATTTTTTAGCTTCAGCTATAATTGTATTCCAAACATCATTTGGTAATTGCATATATTTTTCAATTAATTTTGTCTGTTGTACAGCATCAATGCTAGCAGCAATCATATTACCAACAGCTTCATAAAACGTATGAACTTGATGTGGTTCTAGATGACATATAATACCATTTATATTCGTTAAGATTTCTTCGACGAATGGTTGAGATTCGCCAAGTTGTATTGTTATGAAATGGCGACGACATTTTTGTGCTATTTTTATAAATGTATCGCATGCCATGTCTTGAACACCTTCATGAGTTTCTATTGAAAGAAAGATAAATCGTAAGAGTAGTTTTGTTTTTTTGCGGGAGATAGTAGACAGAAAAATTTTATTACCGTGCATAAATTCAAAAAGTTTATTAACAACCGTTTTAAGAAATTTCCAATGAGCACGAAGAAAACGTGGATATTGACCAACAACATACATAATATTAGATGCTATGATCGCTTTATTATCTTTACCACGTTTCTGTTCACATAAGCCAAGTAGTTCCTAAAAGATTTTAATGAAAAGTATTAAAAAAATGATGATGTTGAGCAATTCGAGAAATTTTACTTTTATAACGGTGACAAGAAACCGTTTTTCATCATCTTCAACCATTGCACCTGATATTGAACCGATAGCCCAACAAAGCTAAAACGAAAAATTAAATCATAGAATATAAGAGACACGATAGAATATTTACATTTGAGCGCATATAAAAAAAAAATCCCTGTTTAAATTGAATTTTTTTCCTTATTATTGTTGAAACTACACATTCATCAGCGAAAACAAAACAAAAAACGATCCTTTCTACTGACACTCAACAAATTGTAAATGTTTTTCTCCTACTCAAAGTTACAGACAGAAGAAAAATAGATCACTCTTATTTTTTAAACTAAAATATATCATAATCACAACGTTTTCATAAACAGAAAACTTACTGTATTTAGATTTTTCCATGACCATTCAGATCCATTAACTTGATTTGCTAATTTTTCTGTCATGATCGACTCCGTATCGATATAATCAAGATGTGTCAAATATACTATAGAATTAAGAGATATTCAAAAATCTATTTTATATATTTTCTTAAAACTCTCTAACCGAGCGTTTCACGCATGTTTTTATAAAGATTGATGGCATCAGTATCTTTCATGAATTCTCGTACAACTTCACCACGTTCATTTTCTACAACAAGTACTTCTTCAGGTCGAGCCATACGTGATATCATTATTCGTCGAACCTAATTTTTGTTTTTAAATTAAAAATCATAATTGAAATATTCTGTTCGAATTCTACCTTCGATAAAATAACAGCATAAAATTGACGACGTGTAGGTGTACTATTAGCACTATTTGCACCACGAGCATATAATGGCGTTGACTGTTGAAATGGTACTTCTCGATAAAGTTCAGCACTTAAAATATTCCAATATTCCAAACATATTTTAAATATTTCGATTTCTTCAACTTCCGATATTAATACAAGATATTGTAATGCTTCAAGTAAAGTTTCTTTTAAATCAGCAGTACGTTCAACTAATACGCCATGTTCTTTTAAGAAATTTGATAGAAATAAAGCTAAATTTTGAATAAATCGTTGATCGTCATCTTTTGCTGAACGATATGCAGCTTTCAAATCAATGTTTAATGGCATAATCTATTGATTAAAAATAAAATAGAAAGTATTAAAAAAAGAGAAAACCCTTGTATATTTTTACTGTTTTCAGTTGAGTCATGGTTCGACGAAAAAAGTCAATGAATTTATCTTCGTATTGTGCAACTTGAATACTAGCTAGAAAATTAAAGAAAAAAATCAGTGTTAATATATTCAATGTTTTATCAATTGTTCATGTTAAATATACCAATTTCAGTTAAACAACGAAGTGTTACATTTCGAAACATTGGTACAGTGAAAAATGTTTCGATAAGTGTATTAACCATATTTGTTTCGAATATGTAGCCAAGTGGAATCCAGCTTAGGAAACGTAGAAGTGTTTCCAATGTAACCAAGAGTAATGGTGGATGACGAGACTTATCCTAAAGAAGAAAAAAGGAAATCAATTCAAATCGATTCTTGCGTTCGTTGAAAAATTATGAATGATCCTCCGATGGTTTTGATAGATAGTTGAAAGTATAAAATCCTAAATCACGCTTTGAAAATGATAAACTCAATTCGCTAGTGTAGTGTTGAAAAATATTTGATTTATTAAATGATATATTTGGCTAACAGTAATCACCTGTAGAGTTTTCACGAGAAATCAATTCAGATTTGATAAAAGCTTAAGAGTTTGAGTACTTCGCATGAATTTTCTATAATTTAACTCAATACTTCCTTTAATTCTATTGTGCGTAATTTAGATTTTAAAATCGGTTCATGGTCAAAGATAAATCATCTACGATTGTAAAAATAAACTGTCGCAATCAAGTTCGATGCAGTTCATATTACTAATAATAAAAGTTAGCAAATGTTCTCGATAGTTGAAGTATTTTTTCCCTATAATATTAAGAATTATGCTAAAGATTTAGATGCATAGAACTAACGAGAAACATTGTTAAGGTTCATGCGACCGTTCTTATAAAATTTCTGACCGATCTTATATTGTTGAAAACAGAAGAATCGAAAGTTAGATTTCAAAGTTAGAATTATAATGGTGAATGTAAATGAAACTATCAAACAAGTCGAAGAAACCGAGAGAAACTGTAGATTTCTAATTAGAACTATTTATTTGCTTTTCATAACGATCTTTCATAACACTACACTTTCCCACTCAATATAGAAAAATTCTAATCCATTATGTTATTTCGTAATCAGAATAGATTTCACTTGTCCCCAATACTTAAGTTGTATTTCAAAGAATTACGCAAGTTTTTCCATATAGCTATTCAATTTCTCGTTACATTGGAACGTTCGTTTATGAATATTATTTTTAGTACATTAACCAAACGTAAGTTTGCAGCTTAGATTATATTGCTCTCAATAGATTTCTATTGTATTATACTGATTTCATTTACCACAACGTATTCGCAGAGTTGGAAAATTTTTGTAAATTCATTGCACATTGTATCCTTTAAATGTTTAGCTTTTGCTTGTGTCATTTGACCTGATGAAAAATCAAATACTTCTTCACTATAAATGTTTAAAAAAAAAACAACAATTAAAATTATATATGAAACAAAATCGAAAATTTTCACCTGAGAAGTTTTAAAATTTCCAAATTATTTTGGCACATTGATTCGCTGGTTTTACTTGCTTCAACAATATCACTAACAAAATTTGGCCACTTCTTTGGCCATTCATGCTTTAAGATCTAGATAAAAAGAAGTTCACATTGCCTGAAATTTTAAAATGTTTTATTTACTTGTACGAGAATAATATCAAGTTTATTCACATAGACTTTTTCACGTTCTATTAATTCAGGATTTTGGGAATGCGAGATGATCAAACTAACGATGTATTGTTTAATTGCTACAGTAGTTGTAAACAAACGAGATATAATATGAGATTACAGCAACACGAAGAATATCAACTAACCTTCACATTGTTCTTTTGGTAAAGCTTTCCAACGTGTTTTAATTGTTTTTTCAAGAATTTGCAATGCATAATATTTCGTTTCTTGACATTTGGAAAACTCCAAAATACAATCAACCTTTGTCCATGCATCAGGATGGTCACGTAAAACATTTAACACTTCACTCGCTTGTCGTTGCTTTAGGAAAAAAGTTTTTATTTAATAAAACAAAAAAACTAGCATGGAGTGTATAACATACGGCATCACCTTGTCCTCGATACATAGTGTTAATAACAGCATCGAGTACATTAACATCGAATGTTGTTTGTCCATCGAAGTTTAATAAGGATTGTGCTTGTTCAAGTAATTGCATTTTATTTAGATTATTTCAAAGTCACGTGTCAATGTCGTATAAGAAAAGAAAGTGAGAATAAGAGAGAGAAAGAAGTAGTGTATGTCCTGGTCTAGGTCTCGTCTTTGTCGAAAACCGTCCAGAGTCAAGAAGTAAAAGTCCAAAGTCAGGAAGAAGTAAGTAGAAAGTGTCTTTGTTAGATTCTGCTCAACTACATATCTGAAAGAATTAAACGACAAATAAAAGAAAATGAATTAAAATAGCCAACCAAAAAAAGATTTTTAAAGGGTACTAAAAAAAGATCCTTTCTTTATTATGAAATAGTTTTCATTTATCTACATGATTAAAATAACGATGAATAGGTCAATAAATTGGGTATTTCTCAGCGCGAAGTGAAGAAAAACAAAAAGAACTGCAACGACGGAATAGTGTCATTATCACAAGCGCGTGCGTGTGTATTCATGTGTTTACTTTTGCTCAGTGATCAATCGTCCAATCATAACGCTTCATGAGCGTCTATGTCGTATCCAGATTTTACCAAAATGCTTTACTTTTGTTTCTTTATTCTGCTCCTTCTGATGCAGAAAAACCGTACTAGACTAGATTTCATAGGAAATCTCATTAACTATTTCAAACATCGTTGAATTTGAAAAATATTAATAAGATTAATCTACTATAACTTTTGGGTCAATCGGTTTTCTAGATGAAAAAAAATATTCACTTTACTATGGAAGATTTTAGGATACTATAAGAATCTATTATTTTGACTGATGTATGTTACTCCATATGATATTATATGATGTATTTCAGGTTTTCGAAGATAATAAAATAATTACGCATTACAAAAGTCGATAACGAGCACAAAGCTATGATTCTCTCATTTTCTTTCATAGCTATCGTCAATACTCGTGATGTCAAATTTCTAATAATAAAAAGTTTCATTGATGTAGACGGCTTCCTGAATAATTGTTTTTATTAAACACTTCAATTTCGGTTAGATGAATCAATATTAGTCAAATATGTTCTATTGTAAATAGCTATTTATAGAACATGATGATTAAATCATCTAACATAACCTGTAGTACTTTATATTATTATTCTTTTTAATTGTGCATCTATTTAGCAACAGTATTATTCCTAATTATGCGTAACAGAACAGCATTTTTTGCTTTCGCTGGAAAGAATAAAAAAATTGAAAGAGAATTTTTACTTAATGGCATGCTGTATTTTATGAAATTCATTGAATATAAAGTTTGATGATTTGATCTATTCTGTCTAATAAATAAATAAATATTCTTAGCATTAAAAGCTTTAAAACATCGTTGAATATTGTAAAAAAGAAATGTTTAGAGATATGTGTAAGCGTCAAAGATTTTATTGTTATTTTTCTTTGCTTATTTTTGATGAGTAAACATACCTTCTGGAAAACCATCGCTCGTATCTTAAATAATAGGGTCGACAAAACTGTAGCATTTTTGATAAATTACATTGTTTTTAATTATTTAAATGATAAATAAACATTCATTCTCATACGATGCTTTCGAGTATGTTTATAAAGTCTATAAACAAAAGAAATATATATATACAAAAATGATGCCCTTAAATTGGAAAATAATTCTTTGATAGCGAAACTATTTTTGCAGCTTTTAACAATATTTTCTATTCGCTCGAGTTTATGTTTTATCTGTTTTACTCCTGAAAAAGAGTTGAATGCAATAAATAGAAAATGATTGAAGTAGAAAATAGATGTCATCGTGTGTTTATTTTTAGTTTTATTTGTATGTTTTACTGACACGGAGTACTTGTCAATTCAATGCTTCACTAAAACGATATGACAAGAAAGTTGTTCTTGTTACAATTCTTTTATTCTTAGTTCTTACTTTCTTAGCACATAACAGTCGCTATATTAGACAATATAATTACTGATTTTAACAACAAACGGAAACAAACTAGAAACTTGTTTCTTAAACCTACACATCTTGTAATTAGTTTTACTAAGAAATCAGCGTGTCAACAAATTTTCATAGATGTTTAATAATCTAAGTTCAAAATTAGAATGAGCTCTTTTATAATTGTTTGATAGAAGTTTATTATTATGATTATTGTTAAAATGGATATGTTTTGTTACATATTTTCTTTGAACTATTGTATTTTAAAGCTATAGAGATGGGAGTCATAGTCTCACACTACGTATTAAGATAATTCGTTTCTAATACTTAACTAGTTTAAAAGTACTTCAAGAAATTAAATATTAAGAAAGATATCGGAACAAAAATGGTTATATATGCAGATACTCCGCGAAAATCTAATAAATATCTGCATCGAACGTAAAAGCATAGATGATAAACTGAGAAGAAAGGCTTGAGCGAGAAACTACATTCAAATAAATATTACTAATAATGAGAAACAGCATAAGATGACGCAAAAATCTAAGTATAACTCATCAATAGTTCTCGGCACATCCGTCTAATACATACACACACAAAGTTTGTAGTATTTACATTGAAGCGAAATGGCATCGACAACCAAGCTAAAAGCATTATTACTAGTAATTAAATCAGATTGAGAGAATGATGATTGTTATTTGTTAATAACATAGTTAACATGCTATAACATAATTGTACAATTGCTATCGCCAAAAGCAGTATTAATAGTAGCTATTTCATTGCAGATATCTTGCTTTTTCATCAGAATGGAAAAGTTCAATGAAAAACGTCAAGTATGAAAATACTCACTATATCTTATATAGTAATTCCTATGAAATCTAACAAAGTTTCTTTGATATTTTTTTAACAATCAAGACTACATACTGGCCAATTTCTATCATCTCAATATAATTAGAGGAAAAGAAAAAAAGGATTCATGCTCGAGAAAACAAGGAATAGTTTAAAAAAGAACATAAGATTCATTATTATAATTGAGTTTGACAGATTAAAAAATAAAAGTGTGGATTGATCCACGCACTGACCTTGGCAACCATGAAAAGAAATGGAAACTATTATTCGCAGATTTTGATGCATAGGCAAGAAAAAAATCTTTTTTTCCTATGCTTTTCCAGCAATGTTAGATGAAATGTTCGTCTAGAAAATACCATATTCAACAAGACGTTCTCATGAACAAAATGCTGATTAGTGCTTCAATGATGGGGTTTCAAACGAAATAGAAATAATTTTTCACTGATTCATAATGAAACAATAAATTATTCTCTATAAAATAAGACACTTTACAGATTTCGATTGTTAGAAACCACATTCATTAGGTAAATCCCAGCTTAGATTTCCATTAAGTATTATGGCAATGCAAAATAGCTCTTTGAATAATTCCAGAAGCTACTATATATGTATGCGTACATCTCTTGTAGACGTAGTTTGTAATAGATGGTCTTGATTGAGTTCAGCATATTTATACATTGTGAGAATGTTTTTTGTTCGTATCATTCAAATTTATTCAATAAAAAATTGATCTGGCGAATATCTTTGCATTTTTCCCCACAAAAAAATTCTGGTTAGAGGCGATCACAAAATTTATTGGATAATCAACTAAAATCAAGTGTTAATACAGTTATTCAAAGTTTATGTATATGTTCCGATGTTATTTTTATGCCAATCTACTCTTCTGCGGTACTAGTTATTGATCGATGTCTTGGTCCGTTCGAGAGTAGACATCCAAGCGTCACAAGAAGTTTCAGAACTCATATCGGTCAGTAATAGTAATTGTACGCGTTGAGGTTTCATTCCAGATTTGTTACGGGCCGGATTTTTTAAAATTCTTCTTAATAGTTGTGTCACATATTGTAATCCACTTATTTTGCCTAATAATAAATGAAATATCATACCATAATTATCAAAAAAGCACACCTGTTGTAGTTATATGTTTCAAAACAAGCAGCATTAAAACCAATTCAAGCCAGCGCATGTTGATAATTGTACTGTATAAAATCCATAAGATGAATATTTCATTTTATAACGTTTAGATCACTATAGACTTTTTTCCCTCAGATAGGTACGTAAGAATGAAATTCTTGAAATGATGCAACGACAGTTTGTCACATTTCTATAGGCTAGTGTGATTTCATCGGTCGTTTCGTGAACAACAGTTTCTACAGAAAGCTCGATACATGGTGACATCTGTTTCTTTTTTATACTTTTTTTGTCTTATATAAAATAAAAATTGCATAAATCTTTCTCAAAAATTGATAAAAAAATTGTTTAGTGCAAAAATTCTCTATTATCTAGTTTCCATAATTATAATTAATAAGTAAAAAGAGGATACCATTGCGACAATAATGGTTAACAAGGGTCAGTTATATATATTCTATCTCGCTCAAGCGACATAGGCAATCACACTTAACAAGTTATTAATCATAAAACTAACGAAAAATCTAGATATTTATTGAAATATGGTCTATCTTTTTTAGTATCACATCTTTTTCTTAGTACTAGGCCTGAAAACTACTAAACTGTCTTCCTGCCGTAGAGTAAGTTCATTCTTTTTCGTAGAGGCTACTAAATAAATCAACCAAGCACGTCATTTTTTTCTTATTGCTGTTCTCCTACTGTACAACTTCTTTCTTTTTGGGCATGGAGTGTTCGCGCGCGGCATCTCATCTCTAAAACACTTTGTGACTGCCTTATTTACATTGCTTGATACCAGTAACCTTCGAAATATCTAGTAACAATATAAAGCGCTGTCTGTCTTTGTCTTTGTTTGAATATCAAAAATATTTTTGTGAATTCGAATACTTCCAGATCAATTGTTCCTTTTTTCTTCCGTTGCTCTGGTTGGCCATTGTCACTGCTGGACTTGTGATGGCGCAACCGAGTCGAGCTCGCGTCTATGCCGATTGTAATACGCACCGGCCACGGTAGAAATGTTTTTTTTTTATAGAGATTTTTTTTGAATTAAACTATATTTATTTAGCGAATACTACGACTACGAGCTGCACGTTGTTGAGTGGGGGTAAGTTGATAAAGTTATATCTAGCTATACAAATAATAAAAGAAATTTACTTTTTTTATTATTATCTAGTAATCAAGATGATTATCAGATCGTGCGTAAGCTCGGTCGTGGCAAATACAGTGAAGTATTCGAAGGTATCAATATAACAAATAATGAAAAAGTTGTCATTAAAATTCTCAAAGTAAATTTAAAAACACTTCATTTTTGTTTACTTGATAAACATGAATCCAACTTTGCTATTTTAGCCAGTTAAGAAGAAAAAAATAAAACGCGAAATAAAAATTCTGCAAAATTTACGTGGCGGACCAAATATTATTACACTACTCGATATTGTTAAAGATCCTGTGGTATATTTTTCATCTAGAATTGTTTCGTTTTATGCTTATATTGATTTCTTAATAGTCGAGAACGCCTGCACTTATATTCGAAAATGTTAATAATACTGATTTTAAAGTAGGAATTAAATGTAGATTTTATTTTATTGTAATATTTTTAATTTTTCACATTAATTTAGCAACTCTATCCAACACTTTCCGATTATGACATTCGTTATTATATGTATGAGTTACTTAAAGTATGTATAGAAGTCTGTGAGAATTAATTTATACTTTAAATAGATTTAATACAGGAAATAATGTATTTTTCTTGTTGACATGTCTCTGTGTTTTTATCAATATTTATTGATGCCGTATAAAAAGGTATTCCATATCTAAAAAAAGGAATGAGTGATTAAATATGACATTTATTCAGGTCATTGATAATTATATTTCGTGCATTCCGATTTGATTATCAAAGAGAAAAAAAAAGAATTATTAACGTGCCATAAACTTTAATAATCCGTTCACATTTCTACTTATGATTAAACCAAAATAATTGGTTCTTTTTTCGTTCATTAACTAAATATGATGCAGCGCAGTGAAAGAATTTTCTGGAATTAAGAGAAATTTCACAGTGCATGACTTATTTTAATTTGAAAATAAAAAACCAATGAAGTATCAAGTCGCATGTTCATTTGACAACAGAGTTCTACATGTCAAAACTACTTCTTACAAATGATTCTCTATGAAAAGTACTGTTACATTCACTAGAGTCAGTAGTAAATTTATCTGTCAATATCCTTTCATCTTGATAAGTTTTTTGTTGAAAACATTCGAAAATTTAATAGTAAACGTTTTTCTTTTAATAGGCACTCGATTATAGTCATAGCATGGGTATTATGCATCGTGATGTCAAGGTGAAAATTAGTTTTGCTTTTTGTAATACACAACCTAAATAAAATATTATGACTAATTTTTAGCCTCATAATGTAATGATTGACCATGAAAATCGCAAGGTAAGAAAATTGGCATGTTATTATGAAATATAATGATTTTTATCACTCAGTTACGATTAATTGATTGGGGCTTAGCCGAATTTTATCATCCAAATCAAGAATATAACGTTCGAGTTGCATCACGTTATTTTAAAGGACCAGAATTACTTGTTGATTATCAATATTATGATTATTCACTTGATATGTGGAGTTTAGGTTGTATGTTGGCTAGTATGATTTTTCGTAAAGAACCATTTTTTCATGGACATGACAATTATGATCAAGTTTGTTTGAATATTATATTTGAGTATTTTTTTAATTATTTAAAATAATTAAAATAGCTCGTACGTATTGCTAAAGTTCTTGGTACTGATGAACTGTATGAATATCTTGAAAAATATCAAATTGAACTTGATCCACGTTTTAATGAGATTCTTGGCCGGTGCGTATTAAATGCTATTTTGAATAATTTCAAATGAAAATTTTCCTTTTTAAGACATTCACGGAAACGATGGGAAAGATTCGTTCATTCAGAAAATCAACATCTTGTTAGTCAAGAGGCATTAGACTTTTTGGATAAACTTCTACGCTATGATCATAATGATCGTTTGACAGCAAAAGAAGCGATGGATCATCCTTATTTTTGTATGCATTCTACATTAATAATCATATTCGAGATACACAATCTTTTTCTGTTCTATTTTTAGATCCCATCGTACGCGATCAAGGTCGTCCAATGAATGCAACCTCTCAAGTCTTACTTTCGAACAATGGTTAATAATATTTAATTTAATAAATACAGAAGAAAAAAAAAAGAATTTCTCTATTGTAGCTGGTGCCTCTATATCTTTGGCAACGTCTCTGTCGCCGCTTAATGTGAACAGTAGCGTGTCGACGAATAATCAGTAAATCAAAACAAAACAAAACAAATTAGAAAACAGCCACAGGCATGGTCATTTTGCATCGGAGATGAATCCAATCTCTGTAACAATTAAAATGCTGCTATAAGACGTACTTCATCTTTTTCTTTGTCTTGTCTTTCTATGGCTATTCGATGGTTACTCTGCTGTCGTCATCGTCTTTCTTCTATTGTTCCTCACTGACTTCCTTTCCTTCTCTTTCTCTCTCGTTTTTTTACTAATACGTTCTTTGTAGCAGTGTGTGAGCATTTCCAAAGAGAAAAAACAAAAAAATACAATGGTAAGCGCAAACTAAAAAGATTTCCTATGCATAATGGTGGAAATTGAAAGAACAAAATTGGAAAAAAAAACATTTTATTTTCCTATGCTTCTTTTTCTAGGATGATCATTCTCTCTTGTCATATGGAAATAACCTGTTTTTCTAGGAGAACTTTTTACATGTTACTATAAATAAATATATATATTTTTTTTGCCTTCTCATCTGTAATACATAACAAACATGGTTAGAAAATTTCATATGGCAATGAGATTAAGAAAATTCTTTTTTGTTTTTTGTTTGTTTGTTTGTTTGTTTGTTTGTTTGTTTATTCCTTTTTTTCTTTCTTCTATCTCTTTCTTGACTTACTATTCTCTAGTTCAAATTATATGACAGACAGCAGCTGTTTTTTCTTCTTTGCATATGCATAATTTACATGAAAATGAAAAAAAAAAGAAAAACTATCCAGAAAAGAAACTTTTTAAAAATCTCGTGATTGTCTCAATACTTTGTAGATATAATAATTTGAAAATAAAACTAGAAACATGTCGCATGACCAAAAACATCGTGATTCCCCGCCAGATTTTGGTGATGATGATACACAAGATGACGATCAAATGTTTAAATCAGCGACATTACCAGTAACTGATGACATTCCATTAAGCGGAGAAGATGATGATGAGGAGGAGAATCCATTTGGTGAATCATCTGTAATACAAAAATCGTCAACAAATCTCAATCAATCATCCACGAATAATGAAACACCATTAAATATGCCACCTGTGACACCTGTTGTTGTCTCAGATCCACAGCTAACAACATCACTAAAAAATGATGCTCCATTATTTTCACAGGATTCAAATGTTAATACAACAGAAAAAAATACATCCACAACGCAATCTGTTCGTTCCATAACATCACTCGAAAATCAACCATCAGGATCTGCACAATTGTCGAAGTCTACTAACTGCGGAAGTAATGCTTTGTCATTAAATATGAAACCAGCACAAAAAAAATCTGATGAACATAATATTGAAATTACTGTTAGTGACCCAACAAAAGTTGGAGAAGTATGCGTTTATTGATTTTCATAAATTTGATTTTTCTTTAATGTTTATCCTAATATTCCTAGGGCATGTCATCATATATGACATATCGTATAACAACAAAAACCACATTGGCAATGTTTAAAAAAAGTGAATTTTTTGTTAATCGCCGTTTTAGTGATTTTCTTGGTTTACATAATAAACTTGTTCATAAACATCTTCAACTAGGTGTAATTATTCCATGTCCACCGGAAAAGGATACATTTGTCATGGCTAAAGTTAAAATATCTAAAGATGAAGCAATACCAACAGATTTTATTGATCGCCGTCGTTCGCAATTAGAACGCTATTTAAATCGTTTAGCACGACATAGTAAACTAGTTCAAGATCCTGATTTTCGTGAATTTATTGAAATGCCAACAGAATTACCTAAATCAACGAATACTCAAGCATTAAGTGGTGCTGGTGTTTTACGTGCATTAACAAATATTTCGCAACAAGTTACTAAACTAACAACTAAAACAGGTGAACAAGATCAATGGTTTGAAGAACAACATACGTCTATTCTTGATTTACATTCGAATTTTAAGCATTTACATAATCATTTTAATACATTATTTAGTCAACGTAAAGACGCTGCTCAAGCTTTGAAAACTCTATCAACATCATTAAATCATCTAGCAACCATAGAAGAACATACATTATTATCAAGTGCATTAATTGAATTAGCCAATGTACAAGAAAAACTCGAGCAAATTAATATTGATCATTCAATGAAAGAATATTCGATTATTATTGAATTAATTAAAGAATATCTCTCATTACTAGAAATGGTACAATTAGCATTTCAAGAACGTATTAAAATTCATCAACAATGGTTAAGTGCCGAAGAAACCTTAAGAAAAAAACGTGAATCAAAAACTAAATTAGAACAAACACCAAAAGGTGCCGATAAAATACCACAAACTGAAATGGAAATTAATGAATGGGAAGGAAAAGTTATACATCATAAAGAAGATTTTGAACGTATATCAACATCGCTTCGGGAAGAATTAGATGTTTTTGAAAAAGCACGTGTTGAAGATTTTAAAAAGGCGATTGATAGTTATTTAAAAGAATTATTGCAACAACAAGAAAAGATCTTAGAAGTATGGGAAGCCTATTTACCTGAAGCTAATAAAATTAATGTATGATTTAATTCGATCTGTTTATTTCCGAAAGAAAATTGTGATTATTTATATGATTATTATTATTATTATTATATTATTATATTATTACTACAATTATCTAAGCATTGCCTCTTACTTCTGTTGGTTTCTCGCATTTTATTTAAATAGTCTCAAGTCATATCACGTACCGATTATTCAATCAAGATCACTTTTCTTATCTCAAGACTAGTTATTATTTTTTTCTCTTCTTTGTTCTTTCTTCGAAAAACAATTAATAAAAAAAAAACAATTCTTGTTAATCTATTCCATGCTTTTATAATTTGTGTATTGTATTGGTATAAGAATAATTAAATTAATGATTTTCATTTTTAGATGCATTTAATACAGCAACTCGTATTATTTGTTATTTTAATTCATGAATTTTCTTGCCAACAAAGTTCTGTACAGATACAAAAAATTGAAGCTGACCCACCGAATCCTAATGTTGGTGAAAGTTTAAAAATTCGTTGTTTTTTAATAAATGTCGATCCATTTGCACAATATCCAACACAAGTATTATGGAGTATAAGACGATTCAGTAAGAATAAATGATTTAAGAAAAAACACAGAGAATCTATTTGATATAAATGTTTTATTCTTATTATTATATTACAGGTCAAGATCGTGATTTTCGTATATTAGCATTTGGTGGTTCTGTTCGTGATACTTTAAGTGGTCGTGTAAGTGCAAGAAAAGAATCTGAAGAAGTCTACGAAATTGTTTTTCGTCCTGCACAAGAATCTGACTCTGGTGTTGTTCGATGTGAATTGGCAAATACTGAAGCACAAGTGCGTCTCGAGCATACGGTCAATGTTCTCGTACCACCATCAATTTCTTTTGTAACTCCTGATGTTCGAGTACGTGCTGGTGATCCAGTTACGCTTGAATGTCGTGCGTACGGTAATCCGCCACCATTGTTGATGTGGACACGACAAGGCCAAGAATATCCAACATCCTATAGTAGCATCTATAGAATTGAAAGTGTAAGTAAAGATGACCGTGGCTTATATAAATGTGTTGCTGAGCAACAAACAGGAAAAAAATTAACAGCCGAAAATTATGTTAATATATTTGTTGATTTTGATCCAACTGTTAGATGCGAGCAAGTTGTTGTTGAACAAGTGCCAAATATTAATGCTGACGCTGAAATAACTTGTAAAGGTGAAGCATATCCAATGAATATATTGAAATGGGAATTTTCTCAAGGAAATACTAATGTTCGTCGTGCAATTACAACTGGAATAAAATATCGTATTGATACGAATGTTGCAGCAGATTCAATCGATAGTTCTTATGTTAGTGGATTAATTATAAAGAATGTTGAACAAAGTGATTTTGGTGTATATACTTTAATTGTAATGGATGAAAGTAAACGACAAGCTAGTGCTTGGGTTGAATTACGGCCTGGTTCTTATATTCGATCATATAATAATGCAATCGGAATCTTCCATTTATATTCGTATGTTTTTATATTTTTTTCTATGATGGTAGGCATTCTTTTACAATGATCTACAATTAAGTTTGTTTTGTTATGTATATACTAACATGTGTTTTTTTTATATTTATTCATACAATAGTTTAAATATAGTTGACTGAAGATGACAATTTAAGAAATATGTTAACCTATGCTGAAAATATGCAGGCATCAAATATTCATTTATTTTTCTGGCATTCAAAGGCAACTTCTTGCTTCAGAGATAGAATTATGACATTTTCACATTATTTCCAAATAGTTTCTGGGAATCTCTTTTTGGAGTAAAATTGAACAGCTATTATCTGATTAGTTTCAATGAACATTCATCATATTATATCTGCGGAATAGTTTTTAATGAATCAATTTTGCAATACTATTCGTACTATTTTGTTTTTCTTTTATGTGTAGAAATAGTTCTTTAAACCAACACGTGCTCCAAAATAACAATGCCTACGAAAATTTAGTATAAAATTGAGTAATGTTCAATTAAAGATATTGTCAAGTATGAATTGAGGACTGTTCTATTTTTGGTTTGAACACACACACGTAAATAATTTTGCTCTTTTTCATCGTAACTTCTTGATGATTGCTCAATTTTACTCTAGTAGAAAAATCTGAACATAAGTTTGAAAACAATGAAAAATTCTCTTTTCTTCTTTCTGACTTCAGGATCTAACCATTTACTTTTGGAAGGACAGCAAATCACCGATTATTTTGTACTGGGACATTCGTGCAATAGATTAAATTGAAACTAATTGAATCGCCAATAGGCATAGAATTGAATAACACAAATAATAGAATGTATTATTTCACTTAAAATTTATTAAAATCATTAGAAAAGAAAAGTTTAAAAAAAGTCACTCATATTATTGGCAAGCATTTATTTTATAAGCATCTTAATCAAACCGGCCCAAGTGTATAGACATCATTATACCATCCATGGCCTTGCCATCCACCAAATAGCCACATATGTCCATCATATAAAACTGCACTATGACTTTCACGTGGTGTTGGTACATTTGAACTTAACTTTAATTGTTCCCATTTATTTAGTCGAAGATTAAGCACGAATAATTCATTACTTCGTTCTATACCAACATAACCTCCAAACATATAAAGATTGTCTCCTGACAACATACAGGCATGACGTCCACGTTTAGCTGGTGTAACACGTGAATCATTACTATATATTAATTCTGTCCATTCTAATGTTCGAAAATCAAAAGAATGACAATCATTAAATTTTCCACAACCTAAACCGCATACAATATAAAGACGATCATTATATATATATGCGCCACCATATGAACTTCGACGTGGCGGTGGATTTTTTTGATTAACCGTTGACCATTGATTTGTTTTAAAAGAAAACTTATACATATCATTAAATTTATTATCCCCAATCCCACCAAATAGATACATTGCATTTTGATAAATAGCAACAGAATGTGCACTACGCGCACGTGGAGGATTTGTACAACGAACTGTTTCCCATTCATTTTTATCAAATATATATCGATACATGTCATTTAGTTTACCTGATGAATCCCAACCACCAAAAATATACATCATATTATCATAAATACAAGCACTATGTTTTAATCGTTTTGATGGTAATTTTGATTCATCCTTAGCTTTTATTTCCGTCCACGTATGTGTATCAAAATCAAATTTAAATAAATCATTATGTCGATGCTCACCTAAACCACCAAATATATACATAGAACCATTATAAATAACAGCACTATGACCACTACGTGGTTGCGGTGGTCTATTAACTGTTTCTATGCGTGTCCATTGAAGACTTTCATTCGCCGACATTTATTATCTGCGTATGAATTTATATATTTATTTTATTCTTATACTTTTACCGACAGGCAACTTTTATCAAAAATCTCTTTTCTTTTATAATCATCGCACACAACTAGAGCAAAAAGGTTTTTAGTTCCTTCTTTGTTTTACTAAATCAATAAAGTTTGTCATTGTTATCTTGTAATTTCAATAGCCGTTTTCATTATCAAGTGATTTGCTGCGTGTATAAGAAAATGAGTTATGATTTTCATTCATAATTAATGACTAGAAAAAAAAATCAAATTTTATATAGATCAATGAGGAAACTTTCTTTTAAATTAAATTTTACTATTTTTTCATCTTTTGCTGGTGGATTTCGTAAAAACAACATCAATGGCGCATAGCAAAGACAAATAAATGAAATGGCGTAAAGCATAGCCCGAAAACCAAATGCTTGTACTATGAAACCACTTAAGGCAGGGCCTTGAAAAATTAAAACAATAATAATAACATATATATATATATATATTGCGAAGAAAAATAATAATAAATTTACCTATGGCAAAACCAAGGCAAAATGCAACATCAGCAATTGCATAAACACTCCCATAAACAGACGAATGACGAATATCAACCAAATAGCCCATTGTTGGCATCATGGATGAATCAACCATACCGATAGCAAACCCAAGAATGCCATTTGGTATAATTAAACCATACATACTTGTAGCCATTGGTACACCAATTAAGGCTATGGATATAAGAAACATGCCAATCATACAGCATAACCATCTAGAAATATTTATGGTGAGAGAGAGAAAAAAGATTTCTTTTTTTTTTTACACAAACCTTCCTATTTTATGAGCCATGGGACCAAATAAATTTGTGCCAATTAAATATGAAATCGAAGCAGGTAAAAATGCAGCTCCTAAATGTTTCGTTTTTCATATTTGTATATTATCAAATGAATCAATATTATTCTACCTGTTTGAAATTCACTTGCACCCATTGTTGCCATCATCCATATGGGCAATGAAGGTTCTAACATTGCAATGCCAACATTACCAAACGAGATTGCGCCTATCATTTTTTTATGATAAATAAATATAATAAAACTTTCTATATACGTTTTTCCTTTACCAGCCGCTAGAAGAATATATGGATCTTTAATGAGTGTACGAAGCGAAGCGCCTTCAACTGGTTCACCGGATACACCTGGTTGTAATACTGTTAATTGTAATACTATTCGTAAAAAGAAATTGATTTTATATTAATAAACCAAAAATAAGTCAAGTCTTACATCCATCAAATAAACCTAGTGCTGCTAGGACTAAAAATGGTGATGCTTTGCCTACATATTCATACATAAATCCTCCAAACGGCGGACCAACTGAATCAAAGATATTTAAATCAATAAATTAATTTCAAAAAGAAAACGTACCTAAAACTCCAAGAGCTAATCCGCCTAGGGCAGTTCCCATCGCTTTACCGCGTTCTTCATCATCTGGATAACGATCAGCCAACATTCCAAGACCTAAACAAAGTTACATAATTGCTTATATCCTGTTTGCTTTGTTCATGTTTACCTGATACACTGGAACAAGCAGAGCCAACACCTTGTATTGCTCGAGCAAGAAATAATAGACCAAAACTTTTACTAAAAGCAAATGCTAGAAGAAAAAAATCCTTTTTTTTCTATTCCGCGCCTTCCTTCCCAAATTCTTACTAAGCGTTGATATAAACATGATAACAAATCCTGTAAACATTGGAATACTGTAGCCAATTCTATTGTACAAAGAAAAAGACAATAATACAAAGTTAATTTTCTCAAGTAGCTATTTTCTTTTGTTTTACCGATTTGTTAATGGTCCTATAAATGGATTTGTTAATAATTGAACAAACGCTTTTGATGCAAACATTAGTCCAATCCATCGATTTTCCTTTATTTGAAAAAAAAATGAAATGACTCAAACAGAGAAGAATAAGACATTTTTTTTTTTTTCATTTTTCCCTATTCCTTTTTTTCATTTCCGTTGCTATTGAACATTAGCATAAAGTATTATCGAACTCGTGTAAATACAAACGAGGATATATAAAGGAAACGATTTCTTACCCGTTGTAAAATAATTGATCTCTGTGCATTTTGCACTTCTGTTTGATTCAAAGCCCAACCAATATTCCACATACACGACGTATTAAGTGCAGCTCGAAATTCAGTTGGATGTCGAACAAAATAACTTCGATGTTTAAAAATTTCTCTATTTGAACAGTTTTTTGCTAGAAATTTGTATGTATCATCTACCGTGTCATTTGGATGTTGAAGTCGATAAAGATACTCAGGTACAATAGGAACTGTTTTTTAATAGGAAAATAAAGATTAGATGAAATTGCTATAAAAAAAAATATTACACAACTTACCAACTGTAGTTAAGAGCATATTATCGAGAAATAAAGCAACAAAGACAATAAATAAAATAAGTACACGTGATGAACGCCATTTATACCAAAACTCTTTTAAAAGTTGAATAGTCTCATAAGACATTTTATTTGAATAATGATGTTTTTTGTTTAACTGAAGAGAAAAACAAAATGAACTATCAATGATGATGTGGAAACAAACGGTTCTGGTATTTTTTAATAATATGTGGGGGATATATATATATATAATAGGGTTAGGGCAATAAACGATCAATCTGTTATAAAATAATAGATTACTACTAGACGAGAAAAAAAGATGTTTCAGTGGATTTAACCTTTATACGCACATAATGAATATAAGTAGACGAAGAGTTGGAAAGAGAGAGAGAGAGAGAGAGAGAGACATCGAATAATAAAAAGAAAAAGATGATGATGATGATGATGATAAGTGTTTGTTTGTTTGCAGAGTTCTTGCTTTTGCTCGCATTTCTCTGTGATCGATAGATGGACTTCCGGCAAGACCACAATTGATGTCAAAATTCGGACCGATGGCGTTTTTCTTTCTTTTTTAACCGTCAAAATGTCGTTTAACGTGTTTATCGATATAATTGTTCTCTCGTGTCGCTCGTCTTTGTTCTATGCCATATATTGAGACACCATCAAGACGCATTGCATTACGATTGCAATAGGGCTCACTCTAGTTCAAAACCATGATTTACTATTTATGCATTCATTGACAACGAGAAAGAAAAGCATGAGAGGGAAAAAATAAGAAAAGAAATGCCAAATACAGACCTATATACACACGTCAAAATTAAAATATGGAAAAATGCGCAAATTGACAATGTAGTTCCAAGTAGATTTTGTTTGTTCCGTCACAATATGTGACAGACGAAGACGATGACGTCTTTAAATGAATCCGTTGTATGAACGCATGTTACTTTGATAATGGAACGTAGACCCGAAGAAGCGAAGAAAAAATTGATTAGAAATTTTTTCCTGTATTTTTTTTGAACGACTATATGGGTAACATAAACACGCATACTTAAAGAAAATTGTTAGAAGATCTCTGTGTAAAACCAATATCAAGAATGAAAAGACAAGTAATATTAATTAATTTTTTTGTATCAAACTATGCAAAAGCATATATTTATAATTAAATAAATATAAGAATCATAATTTGTTAAATAAAATATTAACAATTGATCTTGTTATACTCAAACCAATACTCTTGTAGTCGTCTTAAGACTAGTCGTTTTGAATAATACTTGCCTTTTAGTTCTACGTAAAAATATTTTCCAAGATCAACCAAAGTTATCCTATCCGATAGGAGAAAAAACGAACAAAATAGCAACTGAATCGATGGCTTCTTTCTTTCTTGTCTCTTCTTGTATCTAACTATGTGGGAATGCTTTGGGTTTCTTTTGAAACTCGATCACATACACATTTACAAATACGTATATATAAATGTAAAACTTCGGGTGTCATTCATAGAATCAGTCGAGTTATTATGATAATTCGCCAGTCAACTGAGCAGCAGAAGAATACTAATAACAACACAACAAAAAGCAGAAATGAGAAGAAAAGACGACACGAAGATGATCATTATCTGCATCATGACGACTTCCTTCGATTAGCATAGATAGAATCACTCGTTCAGAAGAAATCTTTGATAACGCCTTTGCTGCGCATATAGACAACAAAAAGAAAAAGAAAGAATGAGATTGATTGACAAACACCAGAATATTTTAAATAACTATTATTCATTTATTTAAACCAGAAAGATAAAACATTCGTTACATATTTATATATCAATTAAAATAAAACTAATTAGGATTGTTAATATATGAATGAGCACATTGGTACCATTATAAAGAAATATTATAATAAGTAAAGAAAATAATGTTGATTCATTGGTTTTTAATAGCATATTATATTCGGTAACGGCCTTAAAAAAAGTCATCGTATTATTGTAAATATCTTACTATAGAATCAAAAAAGGAAAAACGAACTTACTCCATAAATATTATGACCTAAATAAATGATATGTAATAGCGATAAAATATAAAAAATTGTTGAGAATACTCCATGACGAGTTTTCTTATCTGTCTGAAATTGATAAAAATCAAAATTGAAAATTTATTTTGTTTCATATATAACAAAAAGAAGAAGAAAACCTACTTACCATGCGTATTCCCATATATAACCATAGTAAAGCCAGAAGTATTCCGATTGATAAAAAGAGAATATGATAAAGACCAAAGCTTGATTGATTACGAATGTTTAAAATTATCAAAGAACTCTGCAAAAAAATGTATTCATTGTTTTTTTTCTTCTTCTAAGCAGTCTTTTTCTATTTACTATTAATAGAAAATCAAGATATAAAAACCAAGAAAACGCTGTTGATTTTGGATTTAGCATTCTTTTGTCCGACCTATAATAAAGAAGAAAACTAAATCAATATTATTTATTTATCAAAACAATAAATGTACAAAATATTCTTTTGATATTCGTGAACCATAATAATCGTCCATGGAAGTAATAAGATTAATAAAATGAATACAAAACCTAATCGAACCTATTGAAAAGAAAAAACTTTTTTAAAAATTTTCTCAAGAGCCATGAATGATTGCTATCGTACGGCTACTAAATGTAAATCTTCTTTTGGTTGGTTACGATATAACGAAAAGCGAATGTAGAAATGAGCACCAGTACATGCACATAGAAGTATGATGGTTAATGTTGTTAAAACAGCATTGGTAATGCCTGTGAAAAACAAAATCATTTGATTTATTTTTATTTCTGGACAACTTACGACAGAAAATCGCTGTTGATAGCATAGAAACAAGTACCGCAACTAATAGAAAATAGAAGAGTCGTGTTTTTATTAATTTTTTAAATAATTCTTATGATACCAAACCTGAATGAGCAATAAGCAACAGACAAATTGCAAGTTCATTACTTTCTTTTTTCATATCTCGAATTTGTTCAATAGTAAGCAGAACTATTATAGAAATAGTTATAATTCCTAGTATTGAATAGAACCATCGTTGAAAGTTTAATTTTTTATTTATTCGTTTAGTTTTTTCTTCTATGAATGGTTTATAATTCATATTCATGTTGAACTAGACAAATGAAGATGACACTTTGTTTTATGATTTACTTTTATTCTAAATTGGACAAACATTATAAAATATTTTGTCCTTGATTTATTTTTATTGATAAGAAGTACGTGTCATTAGAAAATAGAATGTGTGACGAATAAAAGAAAAATATTTCTTTCAATGTCAAATGATGTTGATCAATTTAAATAGCTTTCATTCATACAGACTACTTGTACGTGTTTGGCTGAATTTAAATTATTCTTGTATATCATATAAGATGTTCGAAAAGATGAACGATCATATATTGGATGTGTAAAAGATTGTTTGAGGTGACAGGGTGATATTTTAGTTTATTTTGAACGACAAGCGTTTTGTATTGTATTACATCGGAAGTGCAAAGTAAACACAGCGTATGTTTAATTTTCATGATCAATATTGGAATAGCAAGCACTCATTCGCAGTACAGATGTGCTTATTTTAAAATAATTACTAGTAATCAAAATTCATCATCCATGCACGTTACTTTTTCCATTGAGCAATATTCAGATAACATATCAATATACAAACAATACTAGCGCAGATGATTAGATTATAGCACTGAGGAGACACAAGAACAAATAAATCTCCTGTTCGGCTATCGTATAGTATCTAGCTATTACTCATGGAATCGACTATGTGTACCAAGTGCACACAACCACTTTCGTTTTCCTTTCAACTTTTCATTATTCTCTTCTCACTTGCTCACATTTTCTCTCTCTCTCTCTCTATTCTCCTGGTACAGCCATCATGCGATCATTCTGAATTAATTATTTTTTTTTGATACGTATTAATCGGTCTGCTGGACATTAAGTCTTAAAAAGAAGCTCAATAAAAAGAATTTTGTCATGAGTAAATGCATTCCAATTTAATGTAAAATGGTCCATACGGAAATGGAGAAAAACAATTAACGTTTACATGAGCTACTGTACAATTATCTGCATTTAACTCTATTTGGTGATATAGTCATAACGACAAAAGGTCATATAATAGCTATTACTCACCGTAGGAACACTCGGAGTTATGTTGAACACATCATGAGATTCGTTTTTAGAAGAGCGGCTAATGCTCTCATGAAAGTGACTATTCATGCAGAATTCGAACCGTTAAAGAGCATTTCGGAAATTGTTCTTCTCGGTAAGTTACCTAAAATCGGTATCGATTGTTTTTATTTGCTCTTGGATGAAAAAAAAGTAGACTAAAGCCATGAAATTACTACTGAATACGATGAACAGACAAGAAATGATATTATACGATATCAGTAAAGTATTTCATTAGCGGGCTACAATTTCTCAACCAGATAATGATTTCAACACCAGAAAATAATGAACTTTCTGTTGTAGTCGCTGATTATCTGGATGAATCGATAGGTGACGCAATTAGTTCTAATATATCACGAGTACGGTGAGTCTAAATTATTTTTTTTTATGTTAAACATAAAAATTGAAAAAGTCGTTCTAGATTTCTTTCCAGTACAATGTACAAGCAATTCCAATCACTACTCATCCAGATTTCTCCGAGGACTTTTGTGTCAACCAATCTTTAGATTTAGCTAAATTGACATATTCTTTGATTAAGTTCGCGAATCACAGTCGTGTTTCTTTCAATCATGTCTCTTCTTCGATATCTACTTTGGTTCCGCTGATGTCTGACTTCTTTGCCACGTATTAAACTGATGATGAATGTCCAATCAATGAATCTACGCTCGATAATGAAGATGCTACTGAATCATCGTTTAGATTAGAATCAGAGACAATTCATTATCAAAATGTTTAAAACAGACACAACCAGGTAATTTTTTCCGTAGAATAATTATAAAAGTTTTATACGTCGCTTTTTATATAACTATAATAATTATGCTACGATGTTTTCTCTACGATTAAAAAAAAATGAAATCATTTTGAATGATCGATACGATTTATGAATTTATTTTTAAAAATGTAAGAGAATGATAAGCACAAGAAGTATGAAAAGCTCGCAGCACCGTATAACAAAATATAACAACAAGAATATTTATAGTTTAAAAACTGTTATGTCATCTTTTGGTTTTTCTTCATCTCCATCTTCATTCGGCATTGATGTTTGAATTGATATATGACGCGCTTCAACTTCAACTTCAATTTCTTCTACTTCTTTCGTTTTACTGTCATTCCCATTTTCTTCAACTACTGTCGTTTTGCTTTCATCGTCGTTTTCTTCATTTTCTTCTACAATATTTGATAATGTAATATGTGCTGCACTTAAATGTTTCACAAGTTGTACTGGATTCATATCCGAATCGTTTGGTTTATCTGTTGATAAAGACGGTTCAGAAGTCGATGTTGACATCATTTGTAATGATTTTGAATGATTTATTAAATTAGGCATTGATGTTGTACTGAGAGCTGATGCTGTATTTGTCGATGTTGTTGTGTCACTTGATTCTATTCCACTGTCAATTAAACGGATTTGATCTAATGTTGAAAAAAATTTCTTTTTAAATGAATAAAAATTTTCTTTTATTAATGGATTTGTTTCCCGTGTTAATGACGATAATAATTCTCCCACAACAAGCACGCCTTCATTTAATAAAAGACTATTTCTAGCTAAATCATCACGTGTTTCATCCAATCGATTCATCATTTCAAAGCGCAACATTTGAATATCTTGTTTGAGTTCTTCAAAATCACCTTCACGAATTTCATCTTGTTCTTCACGTTGTTTATGTAAAAGAAATCGTTTTATAACACGTTCCATTACTTTACGATATGTTAATCTTTGAGTAATGTCAAATGATTTTCGTCGCGTATAATTATCATTCATATCTATTGGCTGACCATTAGATATTGTAGGTATAGGATCATTTTTGCCAAAATTTGGTGGTTGCACATTTGTTGGTGGACGTCGAATCATAACAGGTATAGAATCAGTATCCATTGAAGAATGATGTGGAAGAGAATCCGGCGAAGATGTTTTTTTACAATGAAATATACGTTGATAAAGATAAAAAATACTTTTAGGTGTTGGAATGATATTAAATGGTACGGGTAGAGTTCCACCTGAAGAAATAGTTATGGAAAATTATTTTAAAATATCATTCATAGGTTAGTCTCTTTATTTTCTACGAAATAAAATTTCTTCGAGAACTGCTGATCAAGTAGGTCAACTTTTGAAATTTTCAATCTTATATAATACAACCACGAAATATTGAGTCTTCTTATTAGGTGAAAATGATTGATTCAGTTCATATGTTTTTAGAAATCAATTCAGACTCTTCTACTTTATGATTTGAGAACACTTCGATAAAGTCTTTCGGCTTGATTGAAAGTTTAGTCTTACGGGTCAATGGTGCCAGCTCTTCAACTTATTTCTTTTTTTTTTAGATATATTATCTATTATATTCGTACGTAAAATCTGTTGTATCATATACAGAATCGTTTTGTTTTATCAAGTTGAAAGATTGTTTATAGTAAGATCTCATAATATTTATGTCTTATACTTATTCGAATGGAAAAACTAATATAATTTCTGTTTTTTACTGATTAAAAAAAGCAGAAAGCCTGTATTGATCGCTTCTACAGTACTAATTTATTTTTCAATCATACCTAGATGAGGGTTGAAATGTCGCCACAAGTATCAGTAATTGGATAGGCTCACATGTTTTATTTTGGAATCAAATTAAAAATCTCTAAGTACTCACATTCACAAACCGAAGATTTCCCGCAAACTGTAATGTTTCGATAAACATTAAACTTTAAAACTAGAACTTATCCAATAGTTCTGTCTTTGTAGTATTTCGTTTGATTTTTTCCTTTTTCCTGTGAAATAATTATTGGAGGTAAATTTGAAATTTTCTCGTTTATTTACAAAATTTAAGTTTAAAATTATTTCTACTATCAAAAATATGCTATATACTGTTTCATCTGCTTTTTCAACTTATTCATTGTTATCTTTTCGGTTCTTCATAGGTGAAAACACTACTTAGGTTCATTTATAGAGAAATTTCTTTAGATCCAAAACAATTCTATAGAATTCGTAACATAGCAAGACTTTAATTGCCAGGCGTAAATATTTTTGATTATTATTCTACATTATTACCTTCTGCTTTATCATATGTTTTTTGTTCTGCAATCATTCTAATTTTTCATTATATGAAACAGTATTAATCTATTAGATCTGTAGGCATTACGAGTCAGGCTATGATAAGAGAGAAACTATTCATTCGTACCTCTGGTTTTTTTCGACTTTCGAGTTAAGTTTTTAAATTAGAGTTTTATGGGAGACTTCAATCGATCATATCTGATGGTATTTTATTCATAAATTATATCTTGAAAAAAAGTTTGTCGAAATCTTATTTTATTAAAAAAGATATTTGCTCAACAATATAAAAATTCTGACACACTTAATGTTTTGAAGTGTATTTGTTGTATCACTGATATATGCGATACCACTCTTTTCTTTTGTGTCTACATTTTCTTTTTCAAGTAGATAAGTGATAGATGATTGCTATTTTTTTTCTCTATTCTTAGTCTATCTACAAGCAAATATAGTATCTCGTCTTAATTTTAATTTTAATGAATAACTGTCATCTCCTAGAACACTGCTCAATCTAAATTAGAATTGATTAAATGGATTCTTTAATATATTTGATATTTTATTGTAATTACTCAATATTTGTATATGTTTTATAATTATTAGATCTATTCTGTGCATGAGTTGCGCGAGAATTCCTAAAGTTTCGTTCATTATACAGTATTCAAGATTTTATCAGAAAACGTGGAAGTACCATTATTTTCTAACCTGAACTCCTATTAAATCAATGTTTACCGTGAACATTTATGATAAAAACAAAATAATATGATGTACGCAGATCTAATGAAGCTTTACAATCAAATATTAAAACGGATCTTTTGCCATTTATAGACATCAGAAGATATATCATGATGAATATCTGTAGCAAGACATTAATCATAACAAAACCAAGTATATCATAAATACTCATCGATCTAATTTTAATAAGATTTTATCGTTTAAATATTTACTTTGTATCAAATGCATTTAACTGTATTTCGATATAACAGAAATGACTATTTGTTCAGAGAATAAAATTTACTGTAACAAATAAATATTATTTTCTAAGCAATCTAGAATATATTCTATCGAAGTTCTATGCCATTTATGATATAATAACTTATGTTCAATTTGAAATTAACTATTAAACAATAAATCGAATATTGATCAACAAGTTTTTATAGTATATTCTTTGAATATCATCATCAAGAAATCTATAAGTTATATATCTTTCAATATACTTCTGAGTAAAGATATACAATCATTTTTTAACTATCTAATTTACCTTCTTGAATATATTCCATATAAAGTTTACTTCTTGCGAATTTCCATTCGACATCAGCATGTTCTTCAATAGTTTCATAAGACTTCGACATCATAGCGATTAGCATGTTCAGCAGAACTATAACACTTGCAATATTGAATGTTCCATAAATTAAATATCCAATTAATTCAGTAAAACGATTGTCATAATTTCCTAAACTGACTCCGTCTTTTTCCGATAAACCGAATAATGACCAAAACACGGTCTTAAATGTGCCACCCATGCTAGAATAGTCAATGAAAGGTATTTTTATGAACAATAAAAAAAAAGAAAACATAAGAGCAATTTTCTAGACATACGTTCCGAAAAATATTTCTGCTGGTAATTCTGTACCATCAGGATTATGTTCTACAATTTCAACCCTACCACGAACTGTTTTACTATAATACCAAAATAAATTATTTAAACCAAACATAAAGCCAGAAAAAATAATCAAAAATATAATTATAAATTTCCCAATATCCTTAAAAACAACAAAACATTTTATTTAGAAACAAAAAACTAAAAGCATTATTTTTTTTTCAAAATTACATACAGACATCATCCGACCGAGTGAAATTTGCAATGGTCCTAAATGTTGTATTGCCGGTAAAAGAAAACAAATACGTGAAAAACTAAATATATTTGCAATAGCAAAAAGTCCTTCAGCAACATTGACGGGATCGAATGAAACCCAATAGAATCGATCTAGGAATGTTGCATATGAAAATTTAGTCATTTTATTATGAAAAGAAAATGATTTCATTTACCTGAATTCAGCCAATAAATTGTTTGATAAACATGATATTGTTGATTGACAGTTAAATTAAAAATGTGTCCAAGACTATCTTGGAAATCCAGTCCACTTAATGTTTCAATAGCAAATCTTACCTAAAATTGATTTTAAAAGATGGCAATAGTGATGACTAACGCTAACATCTCAATTTACTCCAGTTGATTTCTAATGTACACAGGACACAATTAAATCTCATCAAGTTAGCCGTGGAAGTAGACGGGTGTCTGAAACTCTTTCGGGGATCGAATCCGAGTTCGAAGATTTTAGACTGATGAACTCCATTTATCTAAACAAGGCTTCAAGCAATGCTCAGTTGTTTGAGCTGCAGAAACGATTCTTTTATGAATCAAAGTGCACCGGTAGAACTCAACGACAATGTAATTGTTTTTTTCGAGTACCGACTTTTCCCCCTGTATAGTACACATTCTTGTTTCATTAATAGAAAAATTGAAAGATTTATAGCTCCCAATGATCTTGCTATTTTTAAATACAATAACAAAGCCGGCCATTTGATAATATTAGAATTTAAAATTTTCACTGTCTAAACGAATCTATTTTTTCGTTTCGATTAAATTCTTACTTTAAAAAATACATAATATTTTAGTGCAAAGGATGATATATATAAAACATTCATGCATGAATCAACAATATTATTCCATGAAAGAAGATAATCGTTAAGTCCATCCGTATAAGCTTGTTTTATTTCATGCCAAAGAAAACCTACAAACGAAAGAAAGAAAGAAAAAGTATGTTTCTCTGAACAAGATCTGTTCGTGTGTATTCGACATTACCAACAACAAAAATAGTGATGGCTATATCAATCCAGGTTGGTGTACTTTGTCGAAAATAAAAATCATCATCAAGCGGACAATAAATACAAGCATTTGTATAGATTGAGTCACATAATGCTATCGATTGATTTAATGCATCTGAGACATTTGGATAAATATCTTTTAAACGTTTCATTGGCTTTTGAAATTCTCCAGCAAATAATAAACTTGATAGAATTATTAAAATAATAAATATTCCAAAAGATATTGTATGGCCTATAAATTTTATACATGGTTGTTTAAGAAATTTTTGAAACTAAACAAAACGTATAAAAACTTTTATTTTTGTTTTTCTCTAGTTTCTTTCTGTATTATACTTTTATTGTGCGTTCCGACCATGATGTTAGGATATAAACTATACAAGCAAATGGTAAGATAAAAACATATGCAAGAAGTAATAAAAGGGTAAATAATGGATTTAATTTAGATATATTACGAATATCACTATGCCAGATTTCGACTAATTTTTGTTGACAATTCGAATGAGCAACAAACTTAAAATAGAATAAAATATATTACTTATTTTCTTGTCTTTGTACAAAACTTTAAAAAAATTATTTTCAATTCATTTTGACTTACTGGCTTTTCTTCATATTTAATAGCTAAATAAAGTCTAGCTAACAGAACATATTTTTCTTCCGTCTCCTTTCCCGTTTTTCCTAAAACACAATCTAGTTCTTTATGGCCACGAACTTTGTCAAGTAACTTGACAGCATATGCACTTAATTGATCAGCTAAATTAATATATTCATTCTGAAAAGAAAAAGAAACAATGAATTCATAAAAGAAAAAAAAAGATATATATATATATATATTTAATTGGTTTTTATTTACTTTAAAATATTTTTCTTTCCCAGATAAATCTCTTAATTCATGGCCAAGTTCAAATGCAGTTAAAATTGGATCAATCGATGCCAAACTAATATAGCTTTCACTTGCTAAACCACGATATGCATTCAAACGGGATTGTGCATGACGTAAAGAATCAAATTCAAATTTATTGTGACATTCTTGACATTTGCAATGATAGTCGTGAGGTTTTGTTATACGATCACCTCCACGTAACAGTAGCTGCACTAAAAGTAGAGAAAAAGCAGGAAGAATTCCCAAGTTTAAAAAGAAAAGAAAAAACAACGTACCGATTTCAGTTCGATTATATTGTGATGCTAATATTAATGGTGTTATATCAGGTGCAAATTGTGCATCATCTGATGATGGTGTTTGCCAAAATGAATCATCATTGCCAGTGAACACTTTCTTCTCGTTTAAAACTTTAAATTTTGGATGACGTAAGCATGCTTCAGCTATTTGTACATGTCCAAGATAAATAGCAAGTAATAGAGCTTCACGCATTTTTTGTCCATCGCATAATGCTAAAAGAAGGGTGACAACCTAGAAAAACAGAAGAAAAAAAATATTTATATATAACAAAAAAAAAAAAAGAGAACTAATAAAATTACTTCAAGATGTTCATTTTCAATAGCTAATCGTATGGCCGTCCGACCTAACTGATCGGTTACATCAATATTAAATTTTGGATTTTCTTCAAGAATTCGATGGACAGCGTTATAATCTCCATTTTCGCATGCATGTACAAACTGTTCATTGATACTCATTTCCTAGTACAATGCATTTAATAAAAATGATTTATTTAAATACATATAGATCATTTATTTTTACTGTATTTCTAACACCATTATTATACATTTGCTGATACAAATTAGATCGACCACCAGAACCTGTCGCTGCAGGCGCACCACCACCACCACCACCACCACCAGCCGCTCCACCTCGCTTGCGCATATTACGTTGTGTACGAATGCTAAAACGTTTAGCGTTTACCGTAGCTATAGCACTACTACTGATTACAGACATGTTCGTCTGTTTCTTTCATAAACTAGTTTAGGCTAAAACTAAATATTGATCTGAAAAAATTATAATTAACGGAAATGCGTCAAGTTAAAAGTTTCTAATAAATTATTCTTGTCCTTCTTTCTATCATGATAGTAGGTTTTTTTGTCATATCTAAAATAGTTCTTGTTTTTGACTTACTGTTTCTTGATTCAAAAGAAAAAAAACGTAAGTTGTTAGTAGAGAATTCTTCCTAGCTGGAATAAGAACGATTATTTTCAACAACGGCTTCATCTGTTACTGTTCCATAGATATGATCAGTACTATAGATTAAAAGATTTGAACAAGTGGGAGAAATAAGGAGCAAAAAATAAAAGAATTAGAACGCACCGTGATGTTCAATGTGCATAAGACGATAAGCAGATGCTGAAAAAGTGTTTTGCGTGCGTTGATATACACACGATAGTGTGCATTGTTTTTCTTTTCTCATGAAGGTCAATAAAGGCAGGGAAATATATGAAAATTTTTACAGGCTCTGAAGAGATCAAACATATTTCTTTAAAGCCGTCATTCCTCCAACCATAATATTAAGGATCGTTCGTTCTGACTCTTAGTGTGTTTTTGTTGGTTTTTTCTCTCTTTTTTTATTTCCGAGATTAAAAAAAGAAAGTAGATATGTGTGTGTTAGAAAAGAAAAAGAAACCTAACATTGTTTTATTTAAAAGATAACATTGAGCACCAACCTGTAGGGCCATGTGCGATGTCATCTAAAATTGGCTAGCTCAGTTTATGGTTGCAGAAGAAAAAAAATGATAAATGATCTATGTAGAAGCGTGCTGCTGGTTGAGACACGTTAGAGACAAGAAATACAGACATGTTAAAATATAACGGAAAACAAAAAACAGAATGACAGATAGCTCTTGAATTTCATTTTTTTTATGAATCATTAAGTAACCAATTCAGTTTTGATATATAGGTAATAGAGTGTGAAAAATCGTCTTACACACACTCTCTCTCTATATATATAAATATATATATATGTATTTATAGAGCTCAATGTATGTTAACATGTATTTGATGACTGAGCAATGGCTGTGCTGCATATGATAGGAATCAAATAAGTTTTTTTCGCCTGCTGTTGAAGGAAATTTTCAAGGTTTCATGTTAGGGTGAGTCTGGTTTTCTTTTCATATCGTGTCTTAAAGCTGTGCGAAGAAGATAAAAGTGCAATACTAAAAAAGATGCGCTGAATCTTTCTTTGTTATAGTCTTATTAATAAAAATGTTGTCGACTGAATCTAAGTGACAATTTAATAGTATGAACATCATGATTTTGAGAAAAGCAAAATAGAATAATCTGTATGTCAATATTATTGAAAGATAGTTCGTCGTGTCGATAGATAAATAAATAAATCAGGATACTCTTGATTTTTATCTGATAGATAGAAAAAATCGTAAAATCCTGATGATTGTTTGAGACATATTTCATCAATTAAAATCAAACGAGAAAACAATTAAATTTATAGATAATATTTTCAAATTTTATGGAGACGATCTTTATATATATGCATGTACGATAGTAGATAAACATTTCAACATTCAAGCTTTTTGAACATGTGAGAATGATGCGAGTGTTGTGTAGATTCTATTTAATAAATTGATTCATTTATTCATTTTCCAAGTGGTCTTAGAAATATTGTGTTTATTTCTGTTTCAGGGTAGTGTGTAAGTTTTAGTAAGATCTAAAAAATATATTTATACGAGTCAACAATATTTCCTCTAGTAAATGTGTAAATTTTCGTGGAATACTTCAAATTTTCGAAATCAGTCTGTTTTCAAGACCGACTTTCAATGTAAAACAGAATTTGGTCAAATAGTCGATTTTCTCAACAATCAAATGATTTATGAACTGCTGCATACATCACGACTCTAAATTTAAATTTTGAATTGTAATCGTCGAAACAAAAGAATATAGTAAAAATTCTGCGTTCCAAAACAAATTATTCGAACGGTACTACAATTATCTCGAACGAAAACTATTCGATTGTTTCTAAGATCATATTTTAAAAGAACAACTATCTAGGGTTACAGCTCATGAAAAATACTTTCTCGTGAGTCAAACATAAACAAAATTGCTGTCAAAAAACTTTCAAATCGCTTGTTAATCAACTTTTTTATATAACAAGTTAATGGTTGAACAGCTCGTGTGTGATCAATAATGAATAGAAACTTTTGCTAACCACTAGAATTCATCGATAGATATAATCATTTCAAAATGAGATATCAACTAACGGATTATGAACCGATTATAATTAATCGCTAGTTTATGCAAGATAAATATATCGCTAATCTATTTCAATGTACGAATCAGTTCTTTATTTTATCATAAGGGAGGACAAATATACACACGCGCGCATATACACATATATGTATAAAGAGAACAGAAAGAGATCTGACTCTTATTTATTCTTCTATTTAAATAGTTAACGTCATGGTGAACACAATCGTCACGTTCGGAAATAATCAAGTTTCATCATCTACACCATTTCCTATAATTGTTAAAACTGATAATAAATCAATATTACAACGACGACTTTATTTAATTATTGGAATATCGACACTTATCATTATCTTAATTCCAACAATATTATCAATTGAAAAAGATCAAGATGACTTTACTTTTCATACTCTTTTCATAGTTCATGCAAGTTCGTAAACATGTTTTTCTTGTTTTTCATATTTTACGTTTTTTTTTGCGTTTTGATTATTTATTCTTTCTCAGGTTTTCTATTAATATTTTTCGTTTCAATTGCAATATATAGAAGTTAGTGTATTTATTTATTTGAATAAGTTTAATAAGATTAATCATTTTATTTTTTTTATAGATATTGGCGATGGTCTAACAATAATACCCACTCTTGTTCTTTTGGCAATATACAGAACAGTTCATTATTTAATTCGATATCGTTATTGTTGCACAAATTCTCGAAAAGATTTTCTTGTTTCAACGGTTTGTTTGATCATGAACAAAAATAAGATTCACTTTGTTTTCGTTTAGATTCAATTAACAACTATTTTAATATTTGTTGTTACATATATTCTTTGGACATATTTATTAATACGAAATAAACATCGAAAGAAAATCATAAAACAGTATGAAAAAAATAATGAAGAGACATTTTTATGTTCTTTCTATAATTTTTTATTTTATTTTCATAGACCAAAAAGTTTTGAAACAGCTCAAAAAAGAATATTTTTCTCATTGTTAAGTCTTAATTTAATGTTAACAGTAAGAATCAATTATTATAAGAATTTAGACTATTTTTTAATGGCTCTATTTCAAAGATTTCATCCTTAATTCTACATATACGTCATCCGCACTCGTTCGGTCTATATGAAATACTTCTTCTTTCGATTGGTGTACCATTTGCTTTACTTTGGTGTACAGCAGGTGTCTTAATGGTAAGAAAGCAATTCTATTAATTAAAGATTCTTTTAACTAATAATTTATTTTAGTCGGTATTTCAAAATTGTTTAAGTATAACATCGTTCTATTTCTTGTCATTGATTCAACCATTTCATTTAATTTATTTAATATTTCAAGCAGTAAATGAATTAAATGGTTTATCATCTGAAAATGAAATAAATAAATCTTTTCCTATGATAATTATTAGTTTTGTGTGTGTTAGTACTAATTTTTTTGTGCATTTATTTACAACAATAGCTGGTTGTTGGATGATATCAAAAACTGAAAAACCTATTACCAATATTGGTTGGTTATTAGCGAATACTTGAAGTTTCCTTTTCTTTTCTTGATTATAGTGTATTTAGAATATTGCATAAGTTTGTGTACTGTTTCGTTGTTTTTGTTTTGTTTTGTTTTGCTTCGTTTCTAGATTAAAATGTCAGCTTCGATAAATAATGAAGAGAGAGAAAATAATCTTGATGGAAGTATCAATTATGATGAAATTGAAGAATTAATATCTAATCAAGATGAAAATTCTGATGAAATCAATACAGAAAGTAAAATTACAATAAATTCAATAAGAACATCGAACGAAAGACCAGTGTCACAGCATCATCGTTCATCAGCTTGTATCACACAAGTACAAAATATAAGTCTGTCTCTAGAAAAATCCTTAGTAAATGTCGAAGAAAATTCTGGGAACGAAACTATTAGTAATAAATCAAATATATCTCTGTCAAATGTTAAAACATCAAATATACCTGGTCCTGTGGGTCTCCTTCCGATATTGGTAAGTTTATAGTTTATTAAATAATTTATTTTAATTAATCTATTATTACATAGAAAACGAATGAAGACTTACGCCGCTTAAAAGAAGATAAAACAGCTCGTGATACACTACTTACTAATGAAGAAAATATTAATGTTAAGCGACCCAAAACATCATCTGATGTAGGTTACTAATACTTACTTTTTTCTTTTTAGTTACTAATTACGTACGTAAGTTTCCCGTATACTATTATTTCAGCTGTATCACAAATCTTAATAGTAGACTAAATTTGAAATTCCTTTGGAGTGTAAATATGTCATACAATGGAACTTGTAATAAGTTGAAATTAAAATTTATTAACAAAATATTTTATAATTGGTTAGTAGTAATAAATTATATATAACGTCTGAATGCAACAAAAAGGATTACTAGACTCAAGTCATAGAATACGATTATTTCGATTCGTTATGTATTCGAAATTTCTTTAGATTTACATTAATATCTATACTATTCTGAGTCGATTTACTGCATACAAAAACACCCTCCATGAATTCAAGTAGATCTTTTCTATTTGTTAGAAAATATGCCGTTCATCATAACTTATGAAAATTCATTGGATGATAAATAAATATCTGCATATGTTATTTTCCTTTTCAGCTCTTCAGTTTGAATATTCACAACTATCCGTCATACGGGATAGCTCTTAGACAATTAAAAGAATCATTTAGTTGTGAGCCAATCAATATACATACAGCCCTTGTCAAAGTAAGAACAATGTAATGATAAATAAATTCACTTTTCAGGCGATTTTATTTCTCATTATACTAGGCTCGTCTTGGTATTAAAAAAAAGATTCCGCTTATGTGTGCAGCAGTAACACACTATGATCGACAAGAAAATACTATTCTATTAGATAAATCAGGTATATAGATAATATATCTATCATTTCAATTAGATCACTAACAAAAAAATCTATTCTTTTAGCTCATATTCGAGCTACATTCATTGGTGACGATGAAGTATTAGATAATTTTAATATTCGTGTTGGTCATACGCTTGTTTTAAGAAATGTAAGTATCTAATTATCGTTCTAATTTATCGACTGCAATAGTTTATGGTTTCAGGTAGCAGTATTTACATCGACTCGTCATAGACATCATTATGTCAATATTCATTTACAAAATATAATTGCAATACAAGATCCATTAAATGATTCCTTTAGTATGCCATTAGTGAGTGAACAAAGTCAACAACAAAATATGGCTAAATCAATATTACATGCAATTGAAAATGAAATATCAGCTTATGGCGATTCATCAAAAACGAATAATGAAACTTTCCATATATTTTCACAATTCGATAATGATGATGATGATAATGAACAACCACCAGTCAAAAAAATGGTTACAAATTCAAAATCCTCAAATAATGCAGCTTTCAATCGTATTAAAACAAGCGTAGCAACATCGTCTGGAAATAAATTTAAAGAAACTATTGTTGAAAAACCACAACCAACCTTTAAGCCTTCTATTCAAGTGCAAAAACCATCGACATCTACTCTTAATAAACATGTACCTACTGTAGTTACAATAACCCCACCATCATCTATGGCCGAAGCTGATCTAATTCAAATGATTGAGAAACCTATTGACATAGATATAAATTCAGAAGGTAAACTTTCATGAAATATAGTTTTATTCGTTCTAATGCTATTTTTCTCTTTATTAGATTTCGCTAACGATGAATTCTTTTCAATATGGTAGTGATATTATATTTTCTTTTAACTGTATGCATATAGATCTATCTCAGATGTTGTAATTTCCTTTGTTGATTTTCTCACTGTTATTTATTTGTGTAATAATAAAACATTCATGCATATAATTTAACGAATTAAGTTCATCGTCAAACCCGACATGCACTCACTGATAGCAAAAACTTCAGCTATTGCTTTCGACGTAGTCTATCATTTACATAGTTGATATGTATTTTGATGAATATCCCCTTCGTATAAATTATACATTCAAGTTCTTTGATATGAAGAACAGTTGTGTAGTACGCAAAAATAAGAATCTTGCTATGTTCAATTCAGAAAACAATCTGTGCTAGTCAATCTAGAACAATTTTTCTACTGACCAGTATACTAACCGTTTGCCATTACTGCTTGGGGTTTTATGGTACATACGTGAACTAATTTATCCCAAAATTGCACCTACACTCTCAATAAATACTATGTTCAGGTGCCCTAACAGAACCTCGACAACACTAGAGACACGATGAGAAGTATTGAAACGTAACCTTAATAGTGCATTGAGCGCAGTAATGTAGGTTTGAATTTTCTGTAGAAAAACATATCGGAAGTTTATATTTTTCATCTCTGGATAGCTGTGAGAATACCATTAGATCATATATTCTCGCCAATTCTAATATGAAATTTCCCACATAGAACATGACGAATGTTACTGAAATGAATAAACAAAATTGAATTAGTAAAAATTTGCTTTTCGCTGCTCTTTTATGTAATTATTTTTGTTTGTTAACTATCTAGCCGAGTGCATTTTCAAAGTGAATTACCACCAAACAGCTCTGTGTTGCATAAATGAGATGATATATATTACAGTAAGTTCTTGGTAAACAGTTTTTAAGTGTTTTTATTCGAATTGATTTGATTTATGCAAATAAAACAATGAAATATGTTGTGTCTGTCGACATTGATTTTTTTTCCAGTTTTAGTTAAGTGTTGATCATTATATACAGTCGGTAGCAAACATATAAGCGCACAGGTTTTTTTAAAATTTCTTTCGCATTATTAAAGTGTACGAGAAGTAATTATAATAGTGATTTATATACTATGAGACTTGGACTCTATGATACGATCAAATGAAAAAGGAGTTCGTTTGTCAATATAGATTTCCTCTGATGAAAACAATTTTTCACGTAGTTTCGAGTACTTTCACGTGTTTCGCAGTTCCAAACTAAGAGATTTGTAATAATATGAAAAGAAAACGGATCGACTGGTTGCTAGAGAACTTCATGCTTTTTCTACTTTCGAAAACGTTTTGTTCGCAAAGTTGCTTTTCAATTCAAACGTCTGAGTTCACGAAGAACAGAAGAAAAACAACAGAAAAAGTAACATTAATTGGTAATAATCTTTTTTTTATTGCAATTTATTACATTTCACCTTTAAAAACATTCAAAATTGAATAAAATAATGTATTAGAAGTCGTAATATCATCATTTTTACAAAGTCTTCTATATGTAAATCAAATCTTCGAAACTAACATTAATTTTTCTTTTTGAACTTTTTTTCGACAGATAACATAGTCCTTTGTTTGGTACTTAAACAGGTTGATAAACAATTTTTCAGTTAAAGACCAGCCGTGAGAATAGGCGATTTCGTAAAAACAGATAAAGTGCAAAAGTTTGATTGATTAGTCTAGTTTCATTCATCATATTTCTTAAGATCTCAGCGTAGTTAGGAACTATGAAATGAAATCTTGACTGACAGACAAACTTCAGTTACAATTCAACTGCCCTATTGCTTCCGTGTCTCATATTATCTAAATTACCATTTGAAGCGGATCCACAATCTCTAATAAAGTAACAGAAACTTTTTAAAAGAACCAGTAACTAAAAGCATTAAAAAGAAACAAACTCACTCAATATTTTTCCTGCTCACTATACAAAGACACATATAGATGCATACGGTCAGTTCTTCCATAAATGGTACCTTGTTTCCAACTCCGATCAGTAAACAAAATTACACTCGAATATCCGTAATCGTTGAAATTCACATTGATGCCATTCATGTTTATTTATCTGTTGACATTTGTAGGATACTACAAAAACAATTCAAGCTGATATTCAAGACATCGTGGAAGTGCCATCGATTGCAGGGTGGTCATCACTTGTCATCGAAATATGCATACATTAGTTTTATTGCATTTTCCCGTAACACCAGTTTCTGGTCTTCAACTGCTTTCAAGATTATTGTAACAGTAGCCGTTGTTTGGGTTGTTGCTACTGTTGTTTCGATTTCAGCAGCTTTAACGCCGATAACACAGAAAGGACTGTCATTAACGTATATAGATGTATCTCTTTTTTTTACCCTACGGTATTGTACTGACAGTCAGTAATGCCAAATCGCTGTAGCCCATTCGAGTTGAACAGCAAAACTATTTCTTTGCTATCATATATGTTCGATTCAAACATAGCAAAACCTATCTTATCTAAAGTAGTAAAAAAATCACTATTGCTATTGATCATGGTTTACAGATAAAAAGACTTCGAGCATATGTGAAGGCAAAAAACTAACGAGAGTAATAGCTTAGTAATGAAAATTTGGCATTAAATGGTATGCCTATAAATCAGTATGAATGAATTAGTTGATTTGTTTTCTTCTTTATACATGTACAGCTTTGATATCATGAAATATTGAATTTTCAAGACAATTCTCTTTGCCAACTAATTTCTCATTAGTCTCTTTCATTCATCAGGTACTGCATCGTTGGAAACAATTTCTTCAACTACTGTAACAACCACTACAACAACGACTATCAGTGCTTCCACTACAACTACAACATCTACTAGTAAGCAAAATCATTCACTACAAGAAACTGATGCGATATGAACTAGATCTCACATCGGCAATACGTGGTGTATTGGAAGCGAAAGTTTTTTTTATGGATTTTTAAAAGACTAGTGTCTATTAAAAACAGCAGAGAGAGAGAGAGAGAGAGAGAGAGATGAGCAATTTGTTTTCTATGTCCACTGAACGAATGCAAGATTGATTACAGGTGCCTGCAAATCTTAGCCTATAAAGTATTTACCATAATTTGCATTATTCAATTCGTGTTTTAGCAAGCCTAACTGCATACGGTCCTCAAGTAAATTTTGATCCTACAGCATTGTCGTCCGCCTGGTCACTGTGCTATTCGGCTGCACATGCAACACCCATCTATGTAAATATCAGCGCCATTTTAACAATATGCAACAAAAACAAATTGCTTCTTGACTGTCGTCCAATTGGTAATGTGATTCTGACGCTAGCGGTTATGGGAGATCGAACAGATGTGTTATACGATTGTTGAGCCAGTGCTTCTCTCAGCCGTGTTGCCAATGGAGTAGGTTGGTATTATTCGACCACCCTGTCAAGTGCTAGTTAGTGGGGATTCGTTTCTGAATCAGATTCCTTCGTTCGAGGTAATTTTGATGGCTTTACATCACCGAATGGTGTACTCAGACTTTGATGGCATATGGTTGGAACTGCGGGAGGATATCGTTGTGGAAATAATGTCAACCTTGATTCGTCCACTAGTTGGGAAAAGGTCATCTCTCGTGCAAACTAAACGCCATTGATCACCCTAGTGAATTTCTGAGACGTTGTTAACGATAACCTTTTCATGTCATATAACAAAACTACAATAAATGTAAAAAGCATGAGCTTATCGATGCAATGAACAATAAAGACAGCTTAAATTCGTAGTAGCGCGCAGTGAATTTGTTTGATAGCAAATGAATGGAATGATCTCGGATTCCTTGCCTGACGGTAGAAACAAAATTGATTATATAGTGAACGATAGAGACTTTTCTCATAATAGTGTTCTCAAATGCATTTGTTTTGTGGAACTCACATATATTTTCGAAGAAAATAGTGAGTGTAAGTTGAATTGTTAGGTTTTTGCGGCTCCCCTGTACCCGGGGGGGGGGGGGGGGGGGGGGNGAACTTTTCCATCCACTGGGAAGCTTTTATCAAATTTTCGTTTATGAAAAAATGTATCAATTTCTCACCTGGGTAATACGAAAAAATATAAATGTCTCAACAATATTGATAGCTATATCATAAATACTGTTTAAACTATTATCATTCACAATATTTCTCAATAAAACCACTAAACACTTCAGCATACCGACATGTTCTGAACAAAAAGTTTTTTATAATTACGTTCTCTCTAGTAATATTTCCTATTGATACATTCAATAAACTTCAAATGTTAAAAAGGTTTTAATATCTTATTTTTAAACAATATATGATCTCACTACACTAAAAAGATAAAACTTCTATTTGATCAGTATCTAACTGACCGAAATATGTGAGTTCCACATTTTAGCCCCAACGGGGCTGCGCTGAAAAGCTTTTTGCATAGAACACTAGTTTTACGATCTCAATAATTAATAATTCTATAGCGGAGTCTGAATTGGAACATTTGTATTGAACTAGCACTTACCATATATCATTACTTCGCAATTAATTCATATGATGAGCGGAAAAAAGAATCACTATTCATGATTGTAGTTTGCTGCATAGTGACGGAGAACAACTTTTCTTTTTATGAATTTCAGGAAGAAACTGTTTTTCAGTGCAATGATTGTAAACACAGAATGAGGAAGCCTCGTCATCTAAATGAAAGGCAATAAAATGATCTGTAAGTTAAAAAAAAGTACTATCATGCTTGTCACAATTTTTATAGCAAGACATAAAACTAGAAATAATGTTGTCAATATAAGTTTCAATATTTATTAACAATCGTGTCTAGTGAAAGTTACGACTGAAAAATGGATCATGCAGTTTTTACAAAATAAAAAGATGAGAAAAATTAATAAGTACTCATCTTGGTGTACTTCAACACTAAATTATATGAATGAATTAAATATCGAAACTCTGGAGTAGGAAGTTGTCGGGGTTGTTTTATTCTTCTAATTTATGGAGGCATAATGTCCCATATTAATAGTTAGTAAAATTTTGTACATGAGTATATGTTGAAGTCGAAAAACACTGATAGAATTCTTAAATTTCTTTGAATATATAATGAGATAAATAAGATAACTTGTTAGCTGCATCTTATACAAAGTAATGTTCGTCGCTTTGCAAGTAGTCAGAAAATACTTGTTTTTGTAAAGAATATATCACAAGGGGGAAACATCGTACTTTTGTACTTTAACTACTTTGAGGTACTTCGTGGTACTTTTGTACTTAGTTGTATAGTTCAAAGTGGAAAAGTACGACGTTTCACTTTTGGATAGGCTTTCATTCAGACACTAGAACATGCCCAATGATATTGAATTTGCCTCCTAGGTAAGCTGAGAACATATTGTTGTGATACAATACAAGAAGTTAATATTTTCTTTTGAAACCGAACAGTCTCAAAATATCAAATGTTCAAAATTTTTAGTGGCTTAAAAGAAACCATCTTGACAAATTTATAAAAAAAATTACTCATTCTTTTTAATGGATTTCAATATTCTGTATTGTCAAAATTTTCCTTAATTTTCGATTTAAGAAATTACGAATTCCTAGCTAAGTCAAGACATTCTTATTATCAATGCAAGAAATGAGAAGAAATTTTGGGCAATTCAGTATTGTGAATAATTTATTTTAAAGAATTCCTTGTACTTCGAAGTCCTTTGAGGTATTTTGAAGTACTTTTAGGTACTTTTGTACTATGAGGAGTCAAAGTTCGATGTTTCTCCCTTGATATATCATGTATAACATCAGTGAATCTCAACTGTTCCCATATGCTATGCATTTTTCACAAATGTTGCGATAAGTTCCAATGGTCCCACTTGGAAAAAATTTGCTCTAGATACTGGACATTTGTAATCTTTGTCCATAAGATTATCGGAGGGGACGGTGAATGTTTCTGCGTGGTGGAACGAATTGCATATATTGCGTCGAATAATCACCAGTGCATAGATAGCATACCATGACAATCGTGATGGCACTGGTAAGCCAAGTTTCTGCTGAAATGCTGCACCGCCGACAACATAAATAATTGCGTTTAAGACAGCTCGAATTAAGGAAGCTGGTAAAAACGGATCATACCACTTTTGAACCAGTTTATGCACGGAATTAGTCAATACTTGTCCTTGCTGTGTACATCTTGAAGATCCATCACTCTCCATATAATCGTTAACGAGTGGGTTTGCTTCTTCGAGTGATTGTGGTCTATCTGTCAAATTCATTCTTTGACCGACTTATTCATAGAAATTGATAATTTGTTCGTTTCTCAATTTCATTCAGAGGTCGCCAACCAAAGACATTGATAATTCGTATTGCATCAACAATGAAACAAGATAGGATAAAAATGAAATCTTCGTTTCGCGTTCGATTACTGAACGAACTCCGAATATTATTCAGATGATTCATACTCGCTCGTCTTTCATCACTATCCAGACCGTAATCAATCCAAGCATGCATTATGATATCAGTATCATTGGCACGTTTTTCTGTTTCACTGGCAATTGTATTTGTTTGTGTATAAACAGTTGAGATACTAGGTGATGCAAATGTTCTGTAGAACGCCAAATCGATACCATAGAAGCATTCAAAGGGAAACTCAATGCAACACAGATGACGTTGAGTGCAGATTGTAAACGATTGAAAGATACAAATAATTACATTTAAAAATCATTTGAAAGCTATCACAATATCAATCAAAACTAGAACATGCATTGATCAATGGGGAAGTATGAATATTTCATCAAATCTAATTCATAATATATTCAAATATGTTCTTCGGATATGAATGTTACTCGTTAGTATATTGACAAATGAACATATCCTACTATGAAATCGCCCTTCAATCGAGTTTATATTCAAACTATAGAATTCAATGATTACTATTTCATAGTTTAAGCGTAAATCAGTGTTCTATTGAAAGCCATATATAAAAGTTATTTGAAAACATCTTTTGAGTTAAAACTTCGCAGAAGTTATTTATAAATAAGATCTAGATTGTAGATGTTTTTACATGGTTTATTTGTAACAATAATAAAAAATCTATACTACAGTCAAGTACATATGTATTCAATGTGACAATGTGCTCTACACATTTGTTCCTTCATTTCATGCATCATATTCAAGAATATCAGTACATAATCATCTATTTTAGCCCATTTCAACAATCAACAATAATGGATGTGTTTGATTCAAACATTACAAAATAAAAAGATTCTATTTCGACGAGTGCGAGATATGCACATACAACGTCTTTACAAAAGTAAAGTTTAGCATATCATTGCTATGTGCTCTGCAGTAAAAAGCGATAGACATTAGTATTTCGTTTACTTGAGATATTATTATTCAGCTTTTTCGATCGACGGAGCAGAATTCTGTAATTACTGATTTATACAGATTTAAATATGAGAAACAAAATACTAATCGTAATGTTTGTCACGTGCTAAACTCAGTTTATAATAGAACCTTTAATTTTGATTTTTTTTAGAATTACACTGATCATATAGTGATTGATATTTTGAGTCACTTGGGTCAGAACAATTCTGACAGAGTGAGAATACTACATGAACTTAGTAAATGTTGAAAACGTCAGTTTAACCTGTTAAGTTTTTTTTTTATCAAGCTAATTACTTCCGCGCATAATCTACATTTTATTTATGGTTTCGGAAAAAGGTAAATGAGAAAAAAGTTGCAAACTGAGGTTTTATCAACCATTTGCGTCGATTCAATTGTCACATTAAGGTATAAATAGATCATGCTATTCGTTATTCATTAATAGGTATCTATATACTAGAAGATGATTTGTTTTTTTGTTACACAATACTTTTATTTATCTTAATATTTCATAAATTTCATTTTAAATTATACAATTAATCATAAATTTGTGATACTCGCCGTGCAAATGTATGCAGTACTGTTTCTTTACTTCTACTACCTTTTGTAAGCTCTCTTAAAGCATCATTATCATCGTCAATATCATAATCATTATCATTATCCTCAGCAGAAGATTCTTCGTCAGATGATGGTGATCCGAGTTGAAATTTAACATCCATTGCCGAAAATTCCGAATTCATTTCACCAGAAATAATATTTAATGATAAAGTAATTCCAAATCTTCGGTTTTTTTCAATTATAGCATTAATTTTTTCTAATAACGCTTGGGATATGCTTTGTTTTCGGTTTTTAACATAACCAAGAATGAAATACGTTTGATTACTAATTGATTTCATTGTATTCATTTTTATTGATTGTGAGTTGAGTATTTGAGGAACTTCTGTTGTATTTGTTTGATCGATTATAGTCTCCATTGCTTGTTCGTTAGAATTTTCAATATTCGAAATTTCATGATAATTAGACGAACGTTTCAAATGTATTGAATTTATACGTTCATCTTCTGAATTAAAATATTTATAGAAGTCAAGTGTTTCTTCATCAATAAATATTGTTTGAGCATACACTTGTTGATAACGGCCGACAAGAACAGAAGTAAGAATACCCATTGTTGCAGTACCACATAATGCACAAAAACAGCTTATTATTCGACCTAATATTGTTATGGGTATTATATCACCATATCTAATATAGAAGCATTTCGGCGAATAGAAAAATAAAATTAACTTACCCTAAAGATGTAACTGTACTAACACCCCAATAAGTTGCCGTAAAAACTGAATTGAAAACTTGCTCATTTGAACCATTTTCGGCATAAAAAACAGCAGTACCAAAAAGAAACCCGACGACAGTTATTATAATAATTACACTGAGGAAATCAAGTAACGATTGTTTTACAGTTGTTATAAATACACGTAATGATTTTACATTTTTAAATATTCGGCCAAGTTTGAAAACCTGTAGTAGACGAATTACACGTAAAAATCGCAGACCAGCATTTGTATCCACGTTGATTTTATCTTGACTCTCAGTTAAGTAAATGCTAAGTATAATATAAAAAGATATGATAGCTATTAGATCAGACCAATTCATTAGACTTTTGATGAAATCTAGAGGCGAAGGTGTACTTAGTGTACGAATTAGAAATTCAATCGTAAAAAAACCGACACAAATAGCTTGAATAAGAAAGAATGGTGACTCAAAATATGAATGACAAACGTCCACTTTACTAGTAGAATTTTGGTATGTTTCATTCTGCATAGAAGTAATATTCCTTATGCTGTCTGTAGCACAATATAAATTGTTATATTGTGGTAACGTTTCAAAAGCAACAGCCATTGTTAAAAGTAAAACCATAATTAATGAAATAATATGAACAATCTTTGCTAGTTTTGAATAATCTGGATATTCTGTAATTGCCCACAAAAATCTTCGAATAGAATTTTTCGGTAATCGTCTTCTTTTAACTATTGTAATTTTTTCATCTTTTCCTATTTGACTAAAAGCTTCGGATCCTAATTGAAAGAAAAGAACTTCTTCGAGAAAAATATCAAGTGAAACATAATCTGGTCGTCTTAAACGACCATTCGATTGATAATAATAAAGTATGGCTGCAAAACATGAACGATGACGATCAAAAAAATATTCGTTACGATCTTCATCATAGTAAAAACTGCGTTGTTTATCATTTCCAAGTAATGTATTTGGATAAATATCAAGCGTTGTTTCATATGTTTCATAACGGTCACCGCATACATTTATTCGAATGCGATTATCTAATGAAGATTTGTTTTTATTTCGTTGTTTTTCACAGTTTATTGATCGAATATTAATGCAACTTTGACGATTATTAATGGCACTATTGGTAAAGATGAATAAACAAAGTATTGATATATGTTTACTGTTTTCAAATAATTATCAAAGAGCTTTAAAGCATGAATAAAGACTTACTAAATAAGTGGTTCCTTATAATTTAAACGTTGATTTGTATCGTTTGCCTTGGACGATTCTCTTTAAACACGTGAAATCAATTATTTGAAAACAAATTAATATATCCTTCATTTTCATACTTAAGCGTACTTCTCAAATGTGCTCTTCGTTTCCTAGGAGTTTGCTTGTTGGATTTTAATGAAGTCATTTTTTCCATAGTTTTATTAAATCTAAAAACATACTTTGACATAATAAATAAAAATAAATAATTTAATTTGTTTTTTTCTACGACTGATGCATTTATTTTTTGTCATTTGTTCGTTTAGTAATTACTATAATTGTAAGTGTTTAAAAAAAAATTGTTTTTATTATGTAATAGCAAGCGATAATGACACGTACGAAAACAAAGCGAAAAAATTAATTAATGAGATGCTCTTTTTGATGGATAAAATAAGGTGAAGAGAAAAAAATATCAGAAATGAGAAAAAATTAAGTGAAAACGAAAGGAATGCAAACGTGATGACTTGAAAAGAAGATACAAAACGATGAGGTGAAGCATGAAAGAGAACCTACAGAACAAAATATGGCAAACTTTCATGCAGCTAAAATTTGGAAAAACTAAAGAAGAGATGATGAATGACTTCCTTAGATTAGTTTCATTTATTTTGCGCCTAATAAATTTCAAATGTGATCAGTTTCCCTCCTATCAAGTAAATGGCAATATCACACGTTGTTGTAAAAGATTGAATGACTTAAATTTGCTGAATGGATTATTTAATCTTGCAGGTCTTATATCATTCATCAAGTTTATGGAAATCGTATATGTTAAAGTAAGCTAGATGTTTTAATTCTTAGATTAGTTCTACTCTATGATTTTACATAGGCAAATTATATACTGGACTGTGTACGCCTATGCAGAAAACTTCCATTGCTATTTTAAACAAGCTAATGTTTTTTTCTTCTTAACATATTAGCGAAGTTATTAGTATAGATAGCCAACTAAACCGTTCATCTATGTCTATTAGCTATTGCTAATAGTTTGTATGGAGCTAGCCTCTATCACATAACAACGAATGAATTGTGCTTTGTCTCGTCTAAAATCATAGTGTTTGCGTTAATAAAGATGATCATATCGCATGTATAGACCTTTCATTTCACTCTTTTTAATCAGATCGATATTCACTCACTTTTTGAAAATATTTACCGAATAATTAATTGCCATGACCATCAGATGGAGTATAGCGATCATGCTAAGAGAATAATGGATTCAACTATCATTGATATTAGTAATAGAAATATGACTAGGCATATATTGCAGATCATACGTACATTTCATAGAACTTGAATACTAGTGATGAGCACATGAGTTACTTATGTGATTATAAGCCAGACCGAGTCTAGAAGCAAAGGATAGACTTCAAATGGAAAGTTTACCTGATTTTAACGATATTTAATATTCAAAAACATTTTTGATAGTAAATCAATACTTATTTACTTCCTATTAAAAGTTATATTGTATACACATTTTTTGGTTAAGCAAAAGAACAATTAAATATTCTCTTCAACATATTCATGATTTTACAGTAATAATGTATAATAGATACCAAGAATAAAACGATCGCAAATAAATTTCACCTAAATCGCTGAGACACTGGCATGATTAATACATGACGGTCACTTATCTGTAGGGAATGACTTTGTCATGAATTCATAGTTGTTTATCACTGATTTTGTGTTATCAACTGTGTGAACGATGAGTCAAAGTATTACTTACATTGCTGATTTTCTAAAATACTCTTCAATTACAGTAGTTAATGGTATATACATTATTCAGTTCTTCTAATTCACCACTGGACTATATTAAATCGAGAGAAGATTGTATTATTGTTGTTATAAATATTTTACTTAAATTTGAAGCGATTGAAGTTTATTATTCGATAAGGTTTTGTAGCTTAGAGATATTGATAAAATTCTTTGATTTCTGATTTTTTCCGTTTTAAACTTGATAATAGTAAGTGCTATTTTAAAATAGCTGCTTGTTGATATACGAACGAAACTCTAAATTTAGTTTGAATGTTAGCGGTGTAGATGATTATTTCCTTCCAGGTGCATATAACTACTGTATTATTTGTTCAACAGTCATTTGTTGATTGTTATTTGGTGTTGATTTGATAAGATCGTTCTCTATCGGTGCAAATTTCATTATCAATGTTTTTCATTAGAACGAAACTCATCGACGATCTTAATCGATGATCGAGCAAATGAGTACAATGACTTCAAGGTGAGAAAATGAGCGAGCGCTTATTGATATGCTCTTAGGAGAGAGAAGAATGAGAACCAAATGTGCAATTATCAACGTTTCATGCATGAAGTATAAAAAAGAACGAAATAAATACAAGGTAACACGACGTTAGCGTCGCCAACCATCTACTGAAAGGATTTAATCATGTGGAACGTAGCTATCCAAAACTATCTAGCCGAGAGACTTCACATTTTATAGCTTCGAAATGAGCATCTCATTAATTAATTTTTTCGCTTTGTTTTCGTACGTGTCATTATCGCTTGCTATTACATAATAAAAACAATTTTTTTTTAAACACTTACAATTATAGTAATTACTAAACGAACAAATGACAAAAAATAAATGCATCAGTCGTAGAAAAAAACAAATTAAATTATTTATTTTTATTTATTATGTCAAAGTATGTTTTTAGATTTAATAAAACTATGGAAAAAATGACTTCATTAAAATCCAACAAGCAAACTCCTAGGNTATAATTATTAGATGAAAACAAAGAGAATTTTCAAGAAACCCAAAAACAATTGTTATGGAACTAATTTAATTTAGTTTCATCTACATATGAAAAAAATTACTCACAATTTTGAGAAGAATAAGACAAGATTCCTGAGTACTTGCACAGTTTGCGAACGTTCGTAGAAGCGCTAATCTAGAATTCTACGTGTCAAGTTTGAATAAATTCTTCTTGCTGCAATAAAAGTTGGCATATCAAAAATAAACTGAAGACTTTGAAAAACATTTTCAAAGTCTCAGTGCAAGTGAGCGGCTAGTCTTTCGTCGGCGCCCCTCCGGAGCGCCACTCACGGCTAGTCGCTCCCAAATTGAGAATCAATTCCACCGCACGATGCCTATAACCTATTCGTAATAATATTTTACATAACCATACGATACATCTAACACTATAAACATCATCGAATGGTATCCTCAAAAAATTTCCCTACAAAGCATTCCTATCAAGAAAATGTGACGATCTAAACAGCTCGTAATCCAATATAAACTTGCTTGAACTACAAAATTTCAACAAACTGACAACCCCATCGTGTTCCCCGACCCCGATTACCTTCGGTCAACCGTATCCTGCAGGATATTGTTTGAAGTTAGTTAAGTTTATGCATGTGCTTTCCTATTGGACGAACGAACATACGCACGAACGGTGCTAGCACCCTTTTCGTGTAACCCTCCTTTCAGTAGAGGGAACATGTACGTAAGCACTTAATGCAGCAAAATTTAGAAACATTTGAACAAACATTCAATGCAGCTCGTATATTTGAATCAGTCCTTATTCAAGGTTCAAATGATAGAAATGATGTATCAGATGAACTAGCTGTTATGAAAATACAAAACAACATAAGCATGCTAAGAATGTTCATCATAAAGTGGAATGGGTATCAAGTATACTCATTAATCGTATAGGTTCTCGTCTTTGGTCTGTAAAAGTTGAAGAACAAATATGGCGTCGTCATGAAAATCAAATTAGACAGCGGTACTGGTCTACTGATGACGATCTTATAGTTACGCATCAATCAACTGAATCCGCTGATTGTGACGACGATTCATCATCATTTTCTCCATCTGATCAAGAGTCGAAAGTTTTACGACGTTCATCACGTAGTAGAAAACCAGTACATTGTTTGATCGAACAAATTTAAAACAGGGGAGCGTGATATAGTAACATATATATTATCTTATATGTGTATGTTTTGTTTTCTGTTCTTTAAATTCCTTTCGAATGAGTCAGCATATATACATATATATATATATGTTCTCTTCTAAAGAAAACTGGATTAGTATTAATATTCGTTTCTTTCATCTCGTTTTTCTGTTTCGGTTTCTCAAGTCAACAAAATATATTATTGATCTTGACCACTTCTATTTCTATTACCCAATTCGTGATACGTGACAAAAGTCAAGTACTATAATCCTGTTGGTTTTATTCTATTTGATCTTATGATAAAAATGACATCAACTCAAAAGAAATTCTTCCGAATTTATTACTCGATAAAGTGCCTTTGAAGAATGCTATAAAAGCTCGTACGTTGTTAAAATGACATCAATATTTTCACTTTTTTTAATATTTGATTTCCTATAGAAATTTTTCAAAATGATGAAACTATGCAAAACTAGTAGCTCTTTTATTTTACAATATTTGCTAAGCATGATTAAATAAAACGAGTCTAATTTTATCAATGAATACTATTTAAAATAAGTGGCAATTCCCTTTGTGTCATGTTATGATGATAGCGAATACCGTTTATATGATTGGGGGAAATTTTTTTAATTGAATTCAACTATGAATCCATTTCGCAAATGATCATAATTAATTTTTATGAAACAATATTAATTTCGGTTTTCAGCAGAAAGTTTCTTTAAAGTTCGATCATTACCGTATTACAATACTTGAAATTTTACTCGATATTTCATGTTGTTTCTTGTATTAGAATCTTCCAATGTGCAAATCATGATTCATTTATTTGTTATGCTTTCTTAATTATTTTCGTATTAACTAGTATTTTATGATACTGTCCAAGTAGTATAGGAGCATTCCTTCTTTTTTTTCCCGAATGTTTTGAACTTGCATGCATACAAGAAAACGTTTAATAAAAGTCATCATGCGAAAAGATAAATTGATGTTGTAAATTTTAAATGCCAGATTATTCTATAGGTTTATCATATGTATGCATGTATTCAACGTTATTTATGAAACTGGTCTTCGCTCATAATTAACGAATAAGGTTAATGCAGATATTTATTTTAATTGATGATGTTGAAATATATTACTTTCAATACCTATTTTAGCTTCTCAGTGCATTCGTTTGTATTGCTCAAATCCACAGATGGGAGTATTTCTATTGAATGAAGTCCAGTTTTTTGGTAGAATTATTTAAAACATAACTTGATCATTAAATCGATATAAAATTTTTCTAGTTAAAACAAGAAAACAATTTTTTTCTTGAATCTGATGTAACTTATGTAAAATTTTTTAATTTTGTATTCATTTTGATATTTTCTTCCTACTTTATTAATGTTTATTTATTTAATTTTAATGTGACGGTTCATTGTAGTTTACAACTTCATCAGACATGATTCTATGTACAATTTTTACAATTTAAATTATAATTTAAGATCATAGAGTTAAATATCTACATTGTGTAAGGGATGAAACAGATGTAAAAGGTGTGACAATTAGACTAGTTCGTTTTTTCTTTCTTCTTTGATCTTCTTTACATGTTGTTTAATAGTGATACAGAACTGAATCAGCAATCCAGAGCAATACTATTACCGTCTTGTTTCGTATCACTATTAAACAAAATGTAAAGAAGATCAAAGAAGAAAGAAAAAAGAAAACGAGCTAGTCTTATTGTCACACCTTTTACATCTGTTTCATCCCTTACACAATGTAGATATTTAACTCTATGATCTTAAATTATAATTTAAATTGTAAAAATTGTACATAGAATCATGTCTGATGAAGTTGTAAACTACAACGAAACGTCACATTAAAATTAAATAAATGGATATTAATAAAGTAGGAAGAGAATATTAAATTGAATACAAAATTATCAACCTTCCTTAAAAAGGAAGAATAAGATTTTTTATATCAATTTCACAATATCTCGGTTATCTTTATCATTTGTTATCACTCTTGCATATCTACCTTCAACATTTTATTGTTTTCATTTTCATACACGTTAAAACAAAAATATTAACAATGAATGGTTATATATTTTCAAGTCTTTATTTTACTATACTTACTTTTCTTCTTTCTGTTCAATTCACATCATCACTCGATTGTTTTGATTGTAAGAATTGTGATAGTATAGCATCATGTACATGTGACACTATAAAGTATGTTGATGCAAAAAATTCATATTGTATTCTGTTACGAGAAACTTCACAAGGTGCAACTAATTTTGAAATACGTCATATTCCATGGGATTATACACCCTATATATCTGATCCATATCATATATCAGTAGTAGAAACGATTTCCTACAATGAAATAACTCGACGTTGGTTCAGTATATCAAATAAAATAATTTATGCATGCCAAACAGATCGATGTAATCGAGCTGATCTATTAAAGCAATTACCTGCTAATGGTTTATCATTAATGTTACCTAACAATTGGCTTAGTGACAATCTCCTACGTAAATCAAGTACAGACACGATAATATGTCGTGAGTGTGTTAGTGAAAACAAATGTAATAATGGAACAAGAATTATAAAAGCTGATCAATGTAATGTAAAAATTTGTCAAGGTGCATGTCTAATGGATGAAAAATTTGATACAACTGATACGACGCAATTTTGTTATGAATCAGTATGTAACGATGATGAATCAGTTGATCCAAAATTTCTATTGTCACAAATAACTATTACTGCTGTTTATTATATAAATAAAAAACAATTAGAAACTGTTGAGATGAATGTCGTATGTAATGGAGCTGATTGCTCTCGATTACAAATATTTACAGATATAAGAAACAAATTAGAAAAAGATCTTAATAATATAAAACCATTTTTACCTATGAATCATGGAAATACTATTTACTCAACGTCATTTATTTTTCTAATCATGGCCTTGCTACAGGCATTTACTCCCTACTGAAACAAAAAAATAACATTTATTCTATCTTTATTTTTTCGATGCGATTATTCTTTTTTGGAAAAAAGGAAAATAAATTTGCTATAATATTCATTCTTTATTATTTTTTTGTATTTTTTCTATATCAGAATTGTATAAAAGGAGAAAAATGAATAGATACGAAAGATATCTATTACGATAATCATCATTTGTTTTTAGAATTTCGTTTTGTTTAAGTATTATCAATACGGAGTAAGATTTGTTGGATAACATACTAAAAAATTTCAAAAGAAGCTTCTTGTGAAATTCGAATCCCAGATTCAAAGCATCACATTTCACTAATTACATTCATTAAGTATCAGTATAACGTGTAAACTATTTCTACTAGTTTAAAAAACAACTTTAAACAAGTTCTTTTCGAAATTCATTTTTTCCCCAACAACGATTCAGACGAAACGAGACCCCAAGGTAAGTATCTCTTGTAGATTAAGAACAAGGGTGACATAGACACCTGGCAATCAATAACATGTGAAAGTTCACCCAGAGAAATCTTGCATATTATTTGATACAGTTAAAGTTTATTATATCCTATCAAAAGATAAATTTCAATATATCCACTACTTTTAGTGAATGTCGATAATTTCTCAAACTGCATCATTCAGATTCTTGTACTCGTATTGTTTATGATAACCCACAACGAGTTTTTATTATATCGATTAAATCTGGAAATTCAGGACATAAAAAATGATTTCGATCATGGAACTCATGATATGTACTTTGTATTCTTTTTGCTATATAACGACTACTATTAACTGGTGTAAATGGATCATCAGAACTGTGAAATTGTTCAATCCATTGTGTATTGTCTTTGATTTTATTCCAATTCCATAGTTGGTCTTCATCATTACCTTCATAACCAGCTGATATTAATATGAGTCCTTGAACTTTTACTTGTTCACATAACCGTAGAATGGCCATGGCACCTGAACTATGTCCAATTAAGATAGCATTCTACAAGTATAAATATTGTTATTATATGATTCATAGTGGTGAGTGTTTTTATTTCGACTTACTTCCGCGGAACCTAATTTTTCCAATAGAAATGGTATCCATATGCAGTCTTTCGCTTCTTTCTCATCAGGTAATGATGGTGCGATTGTATCAAAGTCTAATTTCTGTAATTCCGCTTGCAACCATTTATACCAATGCCGATTAATAATTCCAGGTGTTATTGCGCTACCATGCACAATTATTATCCGCGGCTTTGATTGTTGATTCTGTATAAATATAAAATCAATTGAAATAACTCGTCAAGAAAGTTCGAAGTCGTTGTCAGGGCGAATCCTAAGCCGGAATCATTTCGATAAATTAAATTAGCGGTTTAAGCTTGAAAAAACTTTCTTTCATTTTAATTATTCAATAAGATTCTAACTCGTGCCTATAAATGGATACCCAGGTCGAACATTCCGGCCACCGGATCCCGTAGGATACTCCAGGAAATATGCGGGAAAGTCACCATATCCTGCAGGGAAACACGGGAAATCGCTGAAACATGGAAGCAGTACTCCGGTCAAAAATACAGCCGGACTTTTCCGGAAAATTCCTGCCAGATTCCGGTGCTTTCCGGCAGGAAGTGATCGGAAATCACCGGAAAAAATCCGAATTTTTTCCAACCAGAATACTGCTTCCACAAAATCAACGGAACTAACCGGAACCGGTCGTTTCTAGGCCGGACTGTTCGACCTGGAATATCGTTCCATTAAAAAAAAATAGGTATCAATATGGTTTCAATATTTTAATTCTGGATGAGCTCAACAATTTAACATTGATATGATTATCACTGGTAATAGTTACTGAAAAAGTACTATTAGGCCACGCTGAGATTGACGTAATATCAGATTCATTTATGAAAGAGCTAAACACTACAGGTCTCTTTACAAATCAGTCAATATAGTTGCTTACCTGTGACTGCTCTGTCTTGTTCATGCTGAATATAATCGTCAAGTTTAAATCGTAAAAGTGTCATTACAGTACGAAGAAAAAAACCGTTTTTTTTGCGTTCTCTCATGTCCTTTATCTTTTCTTCTGTTCTCACGTGATTCAAACTGAAAAAAATCGGCGGTATGCCGACGGTTTTTCATAAAAGTGACGCATCCTTTTGTATAGAATACACCGTAAAAAAAATCGTAGAATACAAAACCTTAGTAGTAAAAAAAAAGTTTCATAAACTCTTAAAGGGTTTATGTTTTTGTCCGAAACTCTAAAACCGTTTATTACGTGAAGCGTTTATGAAACCAAGGGTATTTGAAAATAAGAAGGGTTTATTATTATGCACTTGTGTGCAAGGATTTATTATTCTATGGTAAAAGGTTTATTATTGTATCCTATCATGAAATAGTTTTTTGGGCTAAAAAATTGAAATCAGACACGTTATACATGTCAAAAGGATGTTGATTTTTCTGATTCATGACACTTCCCAGGTGAATGAATCCGATGTTGGATCCCATCGGATCTGGTGGGATCCAACCAGCCGACAATATCTGATGGGATTCCTGGTTGAGGAATCAGTGACGGATTCGACAGTCGGATTCCGATGAATATCCAATGATATACGACTGCACTAACCGATGGGGCTTCCGGCACTAGGATTCAAATAAGATTCCAGGCGGATCCTATCAGTCTCTTTGGAAATGGATACACTCGTCTATATGCATCTCAAAACTTTGTTATGAGCCATACCACCACTCAACTAATAAGATTCTTCCTAAATTATTCCCAAAAAGAAAAACAATGTCACTAGCTATTCCACAGAAACTACTCGCGTTATCACCCAACACAATCCATCTCAAAATATGCAGAAAAAAGAAACAAACGCATGAAAAAAATCTATTACTACATTTCTCAGAAACATACTTCCATTAAATAAAATCAGTCACATCAACTTTACTTTCCAAGACAAGAGCATTAGTCAGAAAAAACTGAACATTAGAATCTCAGTCATGCAACTGCTGCTGAAACAGCGCTGATTCAAACTTGAAAAAAAACTTTTTTGGAATTTTAGATAGAGTATTCGTCCTTAAATAGAGCTTAATCTAGTAAGTTTGGATAATTGTGAGATTTGTAAGCAGTTAAAAGGCGGTGTGTGTGCGTTTTTGTTTCGCGGCTGTGATACGTTTGGCAGAAATGCTGCTGTGTTGAATGTGGAGTAGAAGATATTTTCACCATTCCTAAGGGTTTCGAAGAAAGTGGAGGCTCGTGATGTTGCTAGTTGGAAATGAAGGTGGTAAACGGAGGTGACATGTACAATCGTATAGACTTTTAAAATGCACATAATCTCCCGGTGTGACGCTCGAAGTAATATTTTATGGTTTTGAATAAAACCTTAGCTAGCTTTTTTTCGTGGCATGAAGGAGAAGTGACTTCAGTGAGATATCTCGTCAAGTTGATTGGTTCGTTTGGAAACTATTTTATGTTTTTTTTGGAAAACCGTTAGACACGTACTTCAGGTGGATATAGGGGAAGAAGAAATATTTGGTTTTTTCTGTTTCGCTGAATTTGTTTTAATTGTATTTCCCACCCAATTCCTTTATAGTGTATTAAATTGTGTACTCATCCTTTGGGTCTATTGTTCAAATTAGCAGTTGCAATATATTTTTTAATTTGTTATTCTTATTGGATGTTGTGTGGACTACTATGGCATCGGCGAATAGTCTACACTAAAGCATATTATCATGTTTTTCATCTGATCCTTCGGGGCCCTATTGGAATTCAGGGGATCCGATAAGAACCAAGTGTAGGAAATCTCTTGGGATTATTAGTGTTGGAGCCTGACGTGCCCCATAGGAACATGGTGATATCTGGTAGGTTCTTATAGGAATTTCGTAGGGCTATCCGACCCATGGGATCCTACTGAGTTCGTCTATCGGAAATTATACGATTATCATCGGTTTCCCACTCTCGGACACGAGAAATTCATGATAACTGTTTCCCATCGAATGCGTGAAGCAAATTTCCGTCGGATTTCGACACTGAGGATCCGACTGTAGGTCCTGAACCAGGATTCCGATGAAATCCTTATAGGATTCTATTGAAATTCGATGGAATCATACAGGAACTCTATCGGGTCTGATTGGATCTTGTCGGATCCTATTATCGGATTGAATCTACTGGGAATTATTCATCAAGTATTTTTATGATTAGATAGGAAATCGTACAATAAAAACAAATATTAATGAAAAACAGAGTGCCCATGTGATTCAAACCAGAAAAAAAACGGTGGTATACCGATGGCTCACCGTCCGGTACAATGTGCGCCCTACTGTCGGTAAACTGCCGGCATATCGCCGGTTATTATGAGTACCGCGGTATACCAGTGGTAGTGACAAGAAATATGCGATATCGGTTGCTTACAGGTTGTTCACATTTCATAAGCAGGCGACTATTCATTTCGTTCAGAGCGACAACATCATTCCCATGTTAAAAAATAGCGGTAAAATCGGTTATACCCAGGTCGACTAATCCGACGACGAATTCCATCGGATCCTATAACATCCTACTAACCGAGGAAATTCGCAATTGGATTCTGGATTTCGGAATTATTGACGAATCCGACGGGAGAATTTAAAAAAATTATCAAGGCTCTATTTAGTGCAAAAAAGCTTTTTAGAGGTTGACTATAACAGACTTTTTTGGCGTATCGGATCTCAGAGTAGGATACAATCGGATTCCAATCCTATGGATCCGAATCTCGGTCCAAAACCCGGAATCCGTCGATTCTAGTGGCTTTTCATATAAGATCTGAGGTAACCCGTTTTCAGATCCGATTGGATCCAGTTGTAGGAATGAACGGCCTGGGTAATGGATGCAACAGTTGTTTCACAATACTACCGCCTACAACAAATTTCAGTTGATTTTTATCTGTTTTTAATCAATCCTAAATCAACTAACGCAGGTCGATTAACTTGTGTCGTACACGGCCGTTTGGTATGCACCGTACTACGGTCGTTTTGCATCGTGCCATAAACGATCATATACGGTCGGATACTGAAATATCCGACCACATTACGGCCGTTAGTAACCGTTTACGATCATATCATATCAGGTCATCGTAATGTTCGACCTGGGTAGCAGGTGATTCAAAGCAGCTGTGATGGTTTGAGATCGACATCAGGCACATAGTAACATATCTCATCAATTACTTCCAGTAGCGCTGATTTATAGTTAGCAAGATTAGACTTATGTTTACTTTCCTGAAAGTATTTTCTCAAGAATTCATCAGTATTCTCTAAATTACATTATTCAGAATTTTTATTTTCGCAACAAAATATACTTTTACTTCCTTATTTTCTGCTAAACGAACTGGTGATACTCCTCTCTAAGAAAAAGGAAGAAATCAATAAAAGCAATCGCTATCAAAACGGAAAACAAGTCTGAACATATTCCATTTGAATCAACGGAGCAAAACAAAAAAAATGATTTGGTTTGAAAACAAAATTGATCCTTAATATTCGTTTTGAAGCGAAAGGAAGAAATAACGAAAAACTAACTCAGCTTTATATTAAAAGGAAATTCGTATTATAACCCAGGAATGTGGAGGTTTTGTGCAATCAATTATTTTTATGGGAAGTACTGTAAAGAGTGATAAAGTTTTTTCTTTGAAAGGGGTTTGATGTTTCTGGTTATCGTGTATTACATCAGATTTTCGATGCGATTTTCAAGATAATTGAATCGCTGTTCTAAATTTAAACCAGAGCATGTATGTTGAAATCGAGCTCAGTGTCTAAGGTTTTGCCTTGGTCTTACATGTAATTGAGTCTAAATAGGTTGTTCAATCATTTTTTGAATAATAAAGATGATAGTTACTGATTTAGGATTGCTTGTGCATGTTGCTTATTACCAAGTATTGAAGTAATAACCTATCTTTCCAAATTTTCCAGATATCATATTTTTAAGATTTGAATAGTCACTTATTTTACACTGTTGAAATGAACAATCTTTAAATTACTATGATGGTTTTAACTTTAACTTTTATAACGCAACATAATCATAAAAATCATCTCTAATGATTTTTTTCAACCGTTTTCTTATTAATTACAAAAAAAATCAATCGTGATTTCTGATCGTGTAAGCTTTCAAAAGATTTTTTTCAGTCTAGAATCAGTTTTGCTTCATTTTCGTAAACTATTCTGTTGAAAAAATTGAATGACTTTTAATTGAGTTTTCAATTTAGCTATTTTAACCTGCATAAAACTCAATTCATTAGAATGCATTCAAAATCAAATTGATTCTAATATATTATTATTAGTAGTAGGAGTGTATTTGAAACGAATCTAATCTCAATAGTTATAATCGATTTGAGAAACGAATCAATTTTGTGGATTTTAATCGAGAAAAAAATAATAAAATACTGATGAAAATCGATTCTAATTGATAAATAAAGATCATAGACAATCGATTATAATCGAGAATATGTTGAGTTTTCGCGTAAATGTTTTTGCTTGGGTTAAACGTAGAAAGAGAAAACGAAAAGGCAGCCATCCACAACAAGTGAAATCTATTCTTATGAATATTTTTTCTTGGTCTTCATTTAAAATGAAATACTGATAAAACACAACGAATTAAATGATATTCCACAAATACAATGTGTTCGAAATTTGTCTTTTATATTTTTAAAATGAAGAAAAGAAACAACTATTTGAGTTCATTCTGTATAATATCCAGTGTTCGATCGATGAGTCTTCGACCATCACAATTTTGACCGATACGACTATTTTCTAGTAATGGCTTATATTCATGTAATTGTTCTGCTGTTAAGAAATTATCTAAATACAAAAATTCTTCTTTCAAATAATACCACAAGTCACACAATCGAATCATTACTTTGTTTTTTAATCAAAAGAATCAATTGAAGAATATTATTAAATACTTCTGGATGTTGAATTTCTTGTTTTAAAAATTCTTTAAGATTATCATGAAAATTTGCTTCTTTTAGCTTCTCACAAACAAATCCTAAGCATAAATAAATGAAATTAATGAAATTAACGATATGCAACTAACCGTTCGCTAGCATTAAAATAATATTGAGAGCAATAAGTGCTTCATTTTGAATGATGCTACGATTAGCTTGTACATCACACGATGCCAATGTTGAAGTTATAAGTGAAAATGCATCATTTCGCGCAAGTGCTTCAATAGCACCAAGCTCTTTTAATGCAATTGGTAATAAAAATAGAACACGACGAGATTCAACTAAAAAAATATATTTTTATACGAATTTGATCATTACTATTTAAATTTTAAAAAAAAACTGACATTGTAAGCCCGCGTGTATGGCATTACTATTGGCAACAATTTGCTTTAAAATTAGATCATCTACAATGGCTGCTTTTGAAGTTTCTTTTGCATCTCGAAGAAGAAAACGAATAACACCAGTTGCTGAAAAGTAAATTGAACTATTAACATATTATTTTAATAGTAGACATTAATATTTTTACCTTTGTAAGCTATTTCTCCACCAAAGTTTTTTGCAAATATATATAGAAGAACATTATCAATAACATTACTATTCACGAGTAAACTTCGATTAGCAGCTAAAAGAAAATAGAAAGCAATAGTAGAAAAGAAAAGGCTTATATTTTTCTAGTATTACTTGGCACAGCAAGATTTCTTAATGCACCTAATATTCCATGAACCGCTTTCGCTTGTTCATCTGTCATTGATTCTAATTTATTTTGTAGCTCAGTTGAAAAATATTTCAATTGTTCAACTAATTTTATGTCAGGCTTGCATTTATCAGCTAATATACCTATTGCTGCTTGATCATTTCGCGTTAAATTTGTTATTATTAACGCACCGGTCATTTTCAATTGCAAATTTGATTTTTCTAACCATGAAATGCCATATTCAAGTAGATCATATTTTTTAGAAGTTAATAAATGATCAATAGATTTATCTAGACAAAAACAAATTAAGACATATTTAAGATTTCTTTTGTTTTTAATAAAAAAAAATACCCGCGGTTATGAGAACAACCAGTAAATAACAGGCTTCACGAAGAAATTCTTCATCTTTCCCAGCATGCTTTTCACATAAATTAATTAATTTATAATAAAACAATGATGAACATAATTCCTCTTTGACATCATCTACATGAGAAAGGGAAAAGTATGAAATTCATTTAGAAAATTGAAATAAAAAATAAAATAAACCTTCTTCGCATGCGTCAAGTAAATATGGTAAAATAACAGAACGATTATCATAAATATTTGACTCGCTTATTTGATTTCCGATTTCCGATAATAAATGACTGGAAATAAGTTTTTCACATTCTAAATGATAATAAATGATAGTTTTAGTGTACTTATTGAATTTTAAGATTTAAAAAATCTTTCGCTTGATTCTGTATTGAATAAGTAGGGTATCGTTGAAAGTTTTCTTTTATCTACTGTATAAACATATCTTTTTTCCAAAGAAATAATTTGAATAGATTCTTATCGAAAATTGTGTGTCTTCGAGAAGGCATATTTTAATACTTGTATCATGATCGACCATATTTGAACAAATTGAAAATAAAAATAAGGGTATTTTCGATTCAGATAAATATGGTACATAGAGAAGAAACACTTGAAATATATTTTCTTTGAAAATTGATTCTGCAACTTTTTCTAAATGAAAAGACGAAGGGATAAATGTAATTCTATTTTTATTTTATTTTACCATTCGAATTAATTATATTGTGTAATGCACCTAATGTCATCATTCGTAATTGTTCACCTCCTGTTTCATTTATGTCACATGAATAACGACATACATCAAATAAATTATCTATACCAATTGTATTGAATACTAAATCACAACCATCAGCTAAAAAAAGAACTAATTATGATAAGGAAGTTTTAAATAAAATCTTCAAACCATTTTCATAACACATGTTTCCTATCGCACGACATGACTCGATTTTTTCTTGAAGGGTACCATATATTAAAGGTTCTTTTAAAGGTGCCATAAAATCTAATTTTACACATTCATGTCGCTGAGATTCTAAAAATCAATAAATATAAGACACACATATTATAAGATTTTGTTTTCTTTTTACCATCTTTACAGAGTTCAGCGACAATACGAATCACTTTATCTCGATAATCATTGTTTTGGTGAATTAAATCTTTTAATATATTCTTATCGACTTGTGCTTTCAATTCAGTAGTTCCTGTTTTTTGACTGTCGACTATCTTTTTAAGAAATGCATCGATCTCTTCATTTGTATACATATTTAGTTCGAATGTAGCATAATAAGAAAGTTATTTCAAAAATTTACTGTCATCTAACAAGAAGTTACACGATTGGTTGAATTGTTTTCTTCAATCAGAATCAAGCCGCCACTCGTTATTTTCTTCCGTTCGTTTGTAGCATTGTTTCTAATGCTTACATACACAAATTGACTTTTGTTTTAACGTTAATAATCATTCCAATGGTGGCTCTGATGCGACAGATATTCAATAGATTCAAGTCAATAAATAGAAGATAATTAACATAATCAAGTAATTATTTTTCTTGCAGTTTTAACTCAAGTTTTTGTGCATGCGAATTAGATCAGACAAAATGAGATAAATAAAAATTCAATGCATATTTTTTTCGGAAATATTTCGAACGGGTGTATTTTCTCTTGAATTGAAACGTACTTTAAGAGATACGGAAACAAAGGCTCAGATCTATTTAAGAAACAGTTTTCCACAGCGTTGGTTTCTTTGACAATGACGAGCTAGTGCTCGAAAGTGCAGTATAGCTTTGTGACTAGCAATCCTAATTATGTTTTGTTCATGTATTTCAATGATACCTGAGAAATTAATTTTGAGATGGACTCAAATTCATTCCGATCTTGCTCGTACATTTTTCTCTAGTGAATATCAGCGAAAAGACAGTTTGAAAATATAAAGAGTTCAACGAAACAAAAGTCATCGTTTTGTTATTCATTTAAACTGCAGTGAATACAGTTAGAATTTTCGGTGTTTTTCTGTAACTAAAATTGTATGTGATCTGAAACTATATTAAGTTTCATTTTAAAGAAAATAGTTTTATATGACTGTCCAAATGAGAGATGAAATTTTACATGTTTTATTTTTGTATTTTTTAGGAATTATTTCTTATGTATTAAGAGATGTGATCTTCAGGATAAAATTATTCAACTGTCCTCATAGAAAAATTCGTATTCATTGGCACCGCGTCTATCGAATGTTTTGTTGAGCGTATGAATTATAAGATTTAAATCAATTATATGTATGGTTTATATTAGCTGACCGTATCTCTCGGGAAGAAATGCGTATATTATTGACACTGATTCAATTACACCTATTGTATGATTACATAAAATGATGCTGTATGAGAAGAAAAAAAGAATTTTCAAATTAAACAAGATTCTATTTTTCATAGTGAATGGTATTGAAGCATCATAATAGTTTTGCTTGAATATTTTATTTCGTATTTTCTAATAAAAAAATCTTTTTAGAGAAAATCTCTATTGATATAAGAACATAACCTTTTATGTTTTCATTCTAGATGTCGACCATAGTTTCTCATAGTAAAGTTGTTCAAGTATGTAATGTATCAACGACATGCCAAAGAGATCAATTAAAGGCACTGTTTAATTTTTTCGGCCGCATCGATGATGCTCAATTGTATCCTGATAGGTACGCTATTAAATGAATTTGTGAGACATATAGTCAGAGTATGGAGAAATAGAATTCATTTTTAGCAGAAAAAATACATTAAATTTTGGAGACTCCCATAGAATTTTTTTTATTCATATTGATGTCTATATTTATTTAAAGGCATCATAATCTAGAGAGTAATAATAAATATGCTTTATCTTCAGTGGCACCAATAATGTGAATAGGAACGATATAGATATATTATAGTTTGTTTACAATCCTAGATCATACGACGTATATGAAAATCAGTTAAGAGCTAATTCAAAACTTGACACATTTTTCGTCTCCTATTGGCTAATATAGGATTTCTGACTGTGTGAATTTCTAAGTAAATGTAATCGAACAGTTAAATTTCGAATATCGACTTAGAGAATATTTTCTGAAAGATCTGACTGAAAGTTGGAATCGTCAACTGCATGAAAGAATGAATATTCCCTATAATACTTTAACTTGGAGTATGCAAAAATACGATTAATGCTTTTTCTAATTATTAAAATACTATACTATGTATGTTTTATACATTTTTGATTACTGTTTTCAATAGCTGACTATAATATATTTATTCACGTCAAAATCTATTCTATGTTCCTAAATATCTTAACTAAATGTAATTTTTTTTGTCGTTCTACAGCGATACATTAACAGCAACAATCAATGCTAAAGTTGGTTACATAAAATTTGACCGTAATGATAGTGTTCATGCTGCATTAAATATGACAAATACAATATTTATTGATAAACCATTAATAGTTACGCAAGTATTTGAAAATACTATACCAGATGAAACTGATGCAATGATATATTGTGCACCATTGAATCCAAGTATAACATTGCTTAGTGGTGGTCCAACTTGGCCAAGTACCGTTATTAATCGCCTTATCGGTCAACCACAAAATCCTTCATATATTGAAACCGTTGATCCAGAATTAACTGATAGAAATTTACCACCATATCCACCATTACCTGGCACATTAGATGTTACAAAAGTTGAAGAAATTCGACGCACAGTTTATTTATCAAACATAGAAAAAAATGTAAGTCAATTGATTTCTTTGATATGTATTTCCATGTTGTTACTGCCCGTTTATTCACTTTGATTAGGTTGGTTTGGATGTTTTACATGAATTTTTATCACAAATTGGTGAAATACGATTTATTCGAGCGGCTTATGTCGATGAAAATGCTGAAACACGTGGTGCTTATGTTGAATTTAGTGAGCAACCATCAATTCCAAAAGTTCTTTCTATAAATGGATTTCAATTTTTTGGTCGACCTTTATTGTACGTTGAATTCTAAATATCACAAAAGCAAAATAAATGAATGCTATTTTTAGAGTTAACCATGCAACTTCATGTATTATTAAGCCAGCAACTGTCCGTGGATTGAGAAGTGGTAAGACAAAAAACAACACAAAGGATTGTGTTTGCATTTTAAAAAATTGAATGTTTAATATTTAGATGAAGAAGATATGCCATTTAGTCGATCACGTTCTCGAAGGTTTGTTATTTTGTTTGTGTATCTTAAATCATTCACTTAAGAGTTCAGACTAAGCGCACTATTTAGACTTCAATAAACTTTGGATGATCTGAAAAGACTTCATATGTTTAAAGCAGTGATGCAGAAATAATATAATTTTAAAATATATTTTGAAATAAATGACTCGACCCTCTTGAGAAATACAATCGTTCAATAGCTATGTAAATTATGTGCTCAATATAGTTATAGTTTGAGATAGAAACAGCGGAAGCATCTAGAAAATTGAAAATGAGCTTTCCTGAATGGTGAGTGACTACGATATTCATTTTAAAACGGATGTAGATAAATTCCATCTGAAACATAATCGTAGATAAAAGATTGATCAGCGCACTCTTCAGCCGGTTATTCTATAGCTATTATAAATAGAGCAGATAGTGCTTGAGAATAAATATCGCCAAACTTTTGGCGAAGTATTTACTGGCCTCGTTAGTTTTACTGTTGAATAAACGTTATTATCTATTTTTTTAGTGTATCCGTTCATAAAGATTCTCCAGCTGGCGAGGAAGTTGATGCCACTCGTGAAAATGGTCGTCGTTCATCACGTTCACGACATCGTTCGTCATCAAGATCGAAATCACGTAAAAAATCATCAAAATCCGCTCGGTCACCTAAACGCCGTTCGAGGTAATCATTTTACAGTTAATATTATTCCAATAGTATTTTATTTCTTTTCTCTCTGAATAGATCAAGAAAACGAAGTCGATCGAAATCACGTGATCGAAAACGTCGTTCACGTTCTCGTGATCATCATCGTAGAAAGAAAGATTCACGTAAACGTTCACGTTCACGCTCACGTTCGCATTCAAAAGGACATCGTCGTAGTGAAAGTAGTCGAAAAGAAAAGAAATCTCGACATTAGTTACAATCTATATGTTAATTCATAACTGTCCAATTTCTTTTTTTTTTGTTCTATGTTCTATGTGTTTGTGTGTAATTCTCATACACTTTAAAAAGCCTATGAAAAAAAAACGCTAGAGAAAATTGAAGTTCATGTTTGATTTTGTAAAGAATTGTTCTTTGTTGTTATTAATTCAAAAAAAAAACGAGGGAAGTGGTTTTGATTCTCAGAAAAAAACCTATAAAAAATTTATATTGAAATACTGACTGATATGCGGTTACTTGGAATTTCTAACAAAAATTTTTACATTTTAATTGAGTCTCTATGCGTTCAACTTCTTTGTCACTTTATGAGTTGTGAATTACAACATCATAATTCAGTAGATTTTAAAAAAATTCATCACGAATAAATACTATATAAATGGCTATTGAACTTTATCAATGCCATAAAAATATATTGGGAAATATGTAAATTCCCAGGGGCATTAGCTTTGACGGAGATATAGTAGAACCAATAGGCAGTGTACTAAAGAAAAATAGATAGTTAAATGAATCAGTGTTTGTTTAAAAAACTGATTTGTTTTCTCCTAAAATTATTGACTTATGTCAAGTTCAGAAATGTTATAGGAAACCTGAAAAATCTAGTATGTAAGTGAATAATTAGAGGATGAGATGAAAAACGAAATATTGCGCGCGGCTACTACTGTTCGATAGTCAAAACACTTACACTGAGAGTGAAACTGTTTGTCGATTCTTTACGGTACCCACACTTGATGTAACTACCTGTGTCCGCTCTTCGTCACACCCACGTTAAGGGGGATGCCCTTTGTCAAGGTTTCTAGAGCTCCTGTCAGATGGGAATCTCACAGTCAAATAGTAGGAAAGTAGTCTCCTGAAAATATATTTATCAATCGTCATATCTTTGAAGAATCTATACATGTGAGTTGATCATTGACCTATCTTTCTATGAATGTACGTTTTTACTATGAAATTAGAATGATATTATCACTGAGATGTGTCATGTATTGTAAAAGAACATTGCTCCCCTTAACTCTGAACTATCAAAAAGGAGGCGTGCCTTTTTCGAATATCAATAGATCGCGAAAGATAATCGTCAATTTTTTCTAAACCTGTAAACTTTAATCCAGTTTACAAGCAAAACTTACCATAAATATATTCAGTGATAGCTATTTCTATATTTGTTTTGTATCTGAGATGAATCATATCTGGATATTTTATACGTAACCAATATAAAATTTTCGTAATTTATTTTTGTCAAAGTTTTGATTTAAAACTAAGACAATTAAAATTAATGGTTCATTCGACGAATATTGAAACTTGTGTCGAAAACTCCACAGTTAAAAAAATCAGCAATCATTTTTTTCTTACTTTATCTGTAGAGTTGATAAGCAAAGATAAACCAATGGATTCTTCTAATGGAATACAAATATCATCGAAATCGAATATCGTAAGCATTTTCCCGCTCGCTATTGATGACTTATCTGCTTCCTATTACATGATTATTAAATAGTGTCAAAGTCAATAGTATAATTACAAGAGATTCAGCTTTCCATTGTAAAAGCTCAATATTGGCATTGCTATTAATTGTCCCTGTTTGCTTTGTCTTGTACCATTATGATTAGTATTGACTCTAAAAATTCAATATATTATTTTAGATATGCAATGATTTGCTTTGTTCGCACACGTGTATTGGCTGTTCATCCAAGTTTGAAAGGGCTATCAAGTCTAATCAACAAACAACCTTGGCGTTTTTACGGTGGATTAGATACTTCACCATCATCTGTAATGAGAAATGCTGAAGTTCAAACAATTTATACTGAAACAGTTAATGTTGTCAGTCAAGGTCGTTTAGAAGTAAGGTGTCCATTCAATCTTTATGTAACACCAATTCATCAGAAAGATTTTCCAAGATTTGACAAAGCTTTTTTTACTATCTATGGTACGAATGTAATTGTGAACAAACACAAAAGGATATTTTTACTGAATATATATATTTTATTAGGCGATAGTGGTTTGCAATTTTCAAAAGAAACATGGAATAAATTATTTACATTTTCCAGTTTATATAATGCTGATGCTCGAACCCTTCATGTTCTTGGTCAATTTACTGAATTAGGTAAATGGATTTCTATAATATTTTCAGCAACAGACAAAAAATCGATCGGTGAGATAGATGTTCATATCAAGCGGGAAAATGCCGTTCAGGTCAAAAATGAATTCTTTTCCCGTTCTGTCTATAACAGAAGACAAACTATGTAAGTATAAGTCAGTGTGTGTACACTAAATTTATATCGAGTACTTTTGTCGTCACTGTTCAAAAAAGATATCCGTGCGTCTACAACATATTCCATGCTATACAGAACTTTACAAACACAAAATATGAGTAGTTTTCATTTTCATTCTTCACATTCCTTCTTTCCCAACGATTCATTGGAAACAAACTTCTTAACAGCCCTTTGACATTCGTCACGCATCACCACAAAACTATGAAAGCTTTCGCTTATATCGTAAATGATTTTCGGCATCCCATCTTCATGCAAATTTACTCATCATTGCTTTAACCAAAGTCAACCAAAATCTAACCGACTGTAAATTTTCCCAACATCCTTAGTACTGTGCAAACTCCTTTTTCTCTTATCGCGAATACCTGTATGTTCATTTCGATTACGTACGAACCCATTTTTCTTCTAAACGAAAAATGATGTTTCATTTATCCAAACTATTTTTCTCATTGAATTTTTCATTTTTCCACTGCAAACTTATTTTTACAGTGGTGTGACGTTATTGGGGGAACGGTATATTGTCGTTACTGTTTATTTGTTTAGTGTGTGTATCGTAAGTTTAGTTTTTAAGCATTTTTGACCTGAACGTCATTTTCCCGCTTGGAATGAGAATTTATGTCGCCGATCAAATATTTGTCTAATCCTCAATATTTTTAAAATCTATATTTTTGATTAATTAAAGGTGAAAAACAATTGAGGGATCAAGCTCATACTCTTGAAGTTTGCTGTCAAATTCCTCCTCATTATGGTCAGTTAGAAAATTTTATATTAGTTCTCAAAAAACTTTTTTTTCTTTTCTATTCAGAACTTGATGTTATTTGTACAGATAATAATAATGTTAGTGTTGAACATCTTCAATCTCCTGGAGTGCATGTAACAAATGCCACTGAATTTTATTGTTTATAATTATTGTTCTTTCTTTCATATTTCTAGATTCAAACAAAGCAAGGCGAATGTTCATTGAAAAATGTTGTTGTTAGTAAAACAAAAAGCAAATCAAATATAACTATGGTTCTATCGAGATTTTATTTATTATTTTTAATTTTATAGGCAGATAGCATTGTTGTTCACAGTCAAAAAGGAAACATAACATGCTTGGGTTCATTACACGGAGTAATCGACTTGAGTACGGCAAGAGACGGTGTAAATATATTTAATTTATAATACGGTATATTTTTTAATTTTGTTTGTTTTCCCGGTGAATAAGGCAATAAAAGCATCGAAACTACAAGGTAGTTTTGTTCGATTGAAAGTTGAAAATGGGGATATACAACTTAAAAGTTTATTTTCGGAGCATTTCCATCTAAAAGGACAACAGGGAAATTTTCGTATTAGAACTTTACATGGGCATGGAATTGGTATAGAATTATTATTTTTCGTGTTAGATTAATGTCGCTTTTCTTTTTATTAGTGAAATTACATGCTGGCTCGATTAATATTGGCAAGAGAATTATCAATAAAAAAAGAATATTCAATTATTTATTTTTGATTTCTAGGATCAGTTGACGGGAATGTAAATGTTATTTGTGAAGAAGGTGATGCGAAAGTATTTTTTATAGCAACTGATAGATCAAAAATACATGCACGACAAGGTTTGATTTAGTTACATTGTTATTCCTTGTTTTTGTCATTTTTTGTTAAAACTAACATTTGATTCAGGTGATGTTACATTGGGTGTGGTAGATACTGCAAATGTTCGATTGAATCTTGCCGGTAAACGTGTACAAATATCTGAAGAAGTTGAACATTTTCATAGACAAACAGTACACAAAGATGGTATTGTGCGAGTCAAAGGTAGAACTACGAATATGAAATATTTTGATTTAGAATTTGGCTTAATTTAAACATTAGGTTTTATCTCGCATGAATCTGCTGATTCAACAATTGATGTAGATGCATCAAAGGGTACCATCGAACTTAATGTACGTGATTGGTTCTCGACATTGAAGCTTGATCGACATGTTGATCAGTAAAAAATTCCACGTGTCTTATTCTGTGTGTTTTTATTTAATCTGGATTTGGTTTTTTATGACAGATTTCTGCGCTTGCATGATCTTTTTTTTAAATAATAAATAATGAAGAAACTGTGTTAGATATTTTCTATGAAATTTATTCAGATATGAATAGATGTAAATTGTTGATGAACCAATGAAATAATGCTTTTTCTTTTTTGGATTTAGGTCATAAGAGTATTGTAAGCGAAAATAAATATCTAAGGCATTGGACATTTTTTGATTTGATACAATAATTTAAAAATTCATGTAATTTTCTTCAAAAAAAAACTAACAATGGCAACTCAAGATTATTCACTGGTAAGAAGACAATCTTTTTCGAGTTGATCTGTGATAGATGTGTTTTTAGTTGAACATGATTCCATTCGAACATGTCATTCAATATGAAAAATTCAAAGAAATACATGCATATACATCTGATGAAATTATAGAGAACAGGAAATTAGAAAAAAACTTATTTTTATTTACGATATTTAAGAATTCATTTCTTTATGTAACATGTGATTGTTGTATTTTAATGTCTATTTGTATTGTATTCGAATGAATTTCAGTCGACAAAATGAATGATTGATATTAGTCGCTCATTGCAACAGGTCAAGGTATTGAACTAATGAATGAGTTTTGTTACGGTTGATTAGTAATGTATTTCTTTCATCTTATCTTTATTTTGTCTTTCATATGAATAAAAAAAAGCTTCTCAATCAATTTCAATACGATGTCTATTTTAAATGAAAATTTTTTATATCAATTTTTTCGTATTTGAATAAAGACTAATAATATCATGACAAAATTCAGGTAAGAAAAAATAATTTTTTGTATGCCGAGAAAATAAAGTAGATATTTCTTGTTTGTGATCTAGTATACAAACAATTTATAAAAATCCCAAATGGACTGGTCAGACGGTATCAAAGTATATGAAAAACGAAGAACTTTCCTATTAAATAGTCTTTTATTTTTTTTTTATATACTGTGAAGACTTGAACATCTTCAAAGTATAATTGATTTGCGTCGACGTAAAAGTTATAATCATACAAATTCAAAAAACGGAAGAAAACCTGATAATCAAAACGATTCACGTATTGTAATTAATATTAGTGGTTTACGCTTTGAAACATTCAAATCTACACTTGAACGCTATCCAAATACATTAATTGGAAATGTACAACGTCGAGCTTATTTTTATGATAAAATTCGTGATGAATATTTCTTTGATCGACATCGATTATGTTTTGAGTCGATACTTTATTTTTATCAATCTGGACGACTTCGTCGACCAGACAATGTTGCACTTGATACATTTTTAGAAGAGATAACATTTTTCGATTTAGGCGTCGATGCACTTCGACAAGTACGAAAAGATGAAAATGTAGAAGAAGCACAGAAGATTACATTACCGCAGAATCAATTTTGTCGTCATGTATGGGCTAATTTAGAATATCCACAATATTCAATGACGGCAAAAATTATTAATATTTTTTCGGTTATTTTCATATTATTATCTGCATTTGTGCTTGCGTTTGAAACAGTGCCAGGTAATATTGGAGTTGATTATAATCGATCGAAAATTAACATCGGTGGTATTTTGATAACTAGAAGATACGAGATTGAAACATTGAATAAGGTTGTTAGATTGGTTGATTCGACTACTATTGCTGGATTGAACGATGATTTCTAAAAAAAAGAAACGGATAGCAGAAAATAGATTCTGCATTCTAGACGTTAGAGTGCACATTTGTGGAAGACAATTCCTAATCATTGCTCAATGTTATGGTGAGAAATATAAATCTATTCATATGAAGTATACTGTTAGATGCCTTCGCTCTGTGATAAAAGTTGCATAATATAGTTATCTATCAATTAAAATATCATATTTTTGTGTATTGAGTTCCATATTTCAAGTCAGTGAGGCTTTTAGAAACAGATTCATAGTACGGTATATCATTATGGTCATGATTATAATTAGTGTGAACTTTTATAAAGCTTTATTTTTGCAAGAGATTATAATATTACAAAAAGTTTTTGCCACTGAATAGAGCAGAGCAATTACATATATATCCACGCTTTTTTTTGTAATTATTGATTATTTCTAGTTAAGTTCAGGGTAGACTCCCGACATTTTCAATTACATCGGGCTTATTCTAACTTGAATTTATGTGTCAATCACTACTAAAGATTTCTTTTTTGAAATTCTTTGTATCCTTTTCTAAAAACTTCCGACTGGCAGTGTCAGATAGAATAAATTTTTTATTGTTTCTATACTGGATAGGATTCATATTTTGAGAACTAATGATATCCAGAGAAATTTTGTGCTAGAATATTTTAGTGTTATATATTTTACGTTGCTATAGGTTCATTACTTGTTGATAATAGTAATACAACACGCTGTCCATGTCTTCCAAATTTTCACTCACCATTATGTATAATTCAATTAATTTGTATTGGATTTTTTACCGTTGAATTCGTTCTACGTTTGATATCTTGTCCATCTTTCCTTAATTTTATTAAATCAATACCTAATTGGATCGACTTCCTTGCACTTGGTAAATTACATTTAATCTCTTTTCTTTATTTTGTTTTGTTTTAAAATTAATCTAGTTACGGATTATATCTCATTAGCAATTTTTCTTCTTGGTAATCACGGAACATTATGTATGCCAGCAACTTATTCTCAATTAAATATTTTACGAATGTTTCGCTTCATTCGTGTATTCAAACTTTATCGTATATTTCAACATATCAAATCATTACGTGTACTCGGTAGTACATTGAAAGAATCAATACCAGATTTTATAATATTATTATCTTTCTTATCGCTAAGTGGATTTTTATTTGGAGCAGCTATTTATTTTGCTGAACATGATAAAAATTCACAGGTTTTTGACTCAATACCTACAGCAACTTACTACGGTATTATTACACTAACGGCTGTCGGGTAGTTAATGAAAATCTGAGATTTTTCGAATTTTCTTTATTAATTTTTCTTTTTCTCATTCTTTTAAGATATGGCGATATAACTCCCGTGACACCACTTGGACGTGGCCTAGCATGTTTAGCTGCTATTTATGGTGTATCAGTTGTATCAATGCTTGTCTCTGTACTTGTTGATCGATATCAAAGAGTATATGCTCGTAAACATTTGCTCGAGGAAGAATATGCTGAAAATGCAGTTTTAAATGATTCAATGCTAATGTCAAATAATAATGATAAATCTGTAGAGAGTCAGATAGACATGGAAAAGCAATTTGAAAGCATTCCAGAATATTATGCTCAGCCTGAAGTACGACAAGATGATGATCAACCATCTGGTAAGGTGCGATTTATCATTGGTTATTTATCGGACGATGATGATGATGATGATGATGATGGCGATGATGAGGATGATTTGGGCGGAAATGGACATGAAATCATTCACAAAGTTGCTCAAGAATTACTTCATTCAACATCAAATAGATATCGCTCAATCAATAGAAACAATCAATAATTTCAATTATTTATTGTTTGGTCGTTTGTATACAATGAGTCAGATAAAAATAAATAGATTTTTCACTGTAAAATAAATGCAGTAAAATAAAATATTTAACAGATATTAGATTTAATTCTCACTAGTTATTGCTTCAGTTTCTAAAAAAGGAAATTATATACACTATTAACTAAATCATTCGAAAAATGTCTCCATAGATGTGACTATCGCTCGAGAAGAATCTGAACAACAAATGATCAGCTCCGCTTCTGTCTGCTATCAGAAGTGAGTACTGAACATGTGTGAATTTACGGTGTATTTGATAACAAAATAATGTTATAATCAGCTTAAAAAGTAAAAAAGGTTTATGAACATAGATAAAGATATGCATACGTAAGTGTAAGCTTATTAGGTTATTTTATGATTATATGTTATGCTGCAATAGTCTATTATCGCAAAAGTAGAGTGATCGCGATATATTAAAGTTCTCATGAATAATTCATTACTAGACATTAGTGACATCTAGAATTCATATATATTTTATTATTAAAAATTTTGAAAAAATCTAAAAACTCTCTAAGTTTTTGACTTATTTCATGAGAAAATCTAAGAGAGATATCCTTTCAAGTCTTTTGTTACACATGAACAATTGTACTACGAGTGAAGGTTTCTTTGATTTTTACTGGTTGTTTGTACTTTATCAAGATTTACGATAGACTTTTCCGCACTTAAACTTTTCAATACTTTCTTAATGTTCACATGTTTTCTTCGTCAATCGATGGCTGCAATTATACTGGATATATCTTAATTTTTCTCTATCATTCACTTTAATTGTGCACACCCTTTCTCGTGATAGTGTCGTATTGTGTAATTAATTTGTACAAAAATTATTTCTGATTTCAATTAAAATGTATCAATCGCAAAGAGAACCTCAAGTTTTTTTTCGAATGAAATAATTTTTCTGTTGATGAACTCATTATTGATTTATATTAATTAGTAGACTCATATAATTGTCTCACTGTTGTAAAAATATTAATAAGTTCATCGATTCGATTGAATTACTTTAAACTCTTTTCTTTCATAATTTCGAATGAAATGAGATTATAAAACACAATATAATTTCATTGCAAAAATTCTCAATTGATTAAAAAAAACACTAACCATATTATTCTTTTTTCCATGTACTTTGAAATACCATAAGTGTACTTGAGTTCTTTTTCTCTGGCCCAAATTGGATCGCCCATTAAATTCTCCTTTTCGTCTGTATTATAGATTAATCGTCATCTGTTATTAATAATTTGGTTATGGCTTTCGGACAAAATTCACGAGGTGGTAGTCGTGGTCGTGGTGGTGGTGGTGGATTCAGAGGAGGTCGAGGCGGTAGTGGTGGTCGCGGCGGTGGACGAGGTAAGAAGAATATTTTAAAATTGCCTAAGTTAATCATAATCAATTTTGTTAGGTCGCGGTGGTAGCGTAGGTTTCGGAAATCGTGGAGGTGATCGGGGTGGTGGTTTCGGTGGTCGTGGAGGTTTCGGAAATCGTGGAGGCGATCGTGGTGGTGGTTTCGGAAGTCGTGGAGGTGATCGCGGAGGTTATCGTGGTAGTAGCCGAGGTGGTAGTCCAGGCGGTAAATTTGGTGGTGGAGGAGATCGAGGCCGTGGCGGCAGACCAAGCGGTGGAAGACCATCAGAACGTAAGTCGTCATTAGTGTAATTTTTTATGTATTTTTATTTTATTTTCCCGATTATTTAGCACGTGAACTCATGAGTGATAGTATTTACGTCGGTCAATTACCTGCTGATATTCAAGAAAGTGACATCAAAAAGCTTTTTCCAAAAGCAAAAACTGTACATGTCACACCCGCTGCAGGACCCCGACCTGGGTTCGTGCTTTGTTATTCTTATCGAAATTTTTCATTTTAAACTTAAACTCTATTTTAGACATGCTTTTATTACATTTCCTGATGATACCTCAGCCGCAGCAGCTGTTAAACAAGGTGCTACATTTAAAAACAATCCACTTAAAGTAGCATTTCAAAATAAACGTGCTGAACCACAAAAACGATCATCCGATGGAGACGATGAATCAGGTTCGTTCATTTATATCTAACCGAGAATATTTTATTGAAACCATATATTTTTTTTATCTAGGTCCTAAATCGAAAAAGCTTAAAGGTGATTCATTTGGTGCTAAAGGAGCGGCAAATAAAGATGGCGTCAAACCAAAAGGCAAGAAACCAGTCGGTTCCGATGATGACGAAGACGATGATGATGAAGAATCCGTAAGTATTTAATTTTGAAAAATAAACAACTGTTGACATAATCGACAATTTTTACATTAATTTAGATGGACTTCGAAGATGATGAGGATGATGATGAAAACGACGATGATGAAGACGACGACGACGATGACGATGAAGAATCAGATGAAGAAGATGAAAAAAAGATTAAAAAAACAGTCGCCAAAATGGTTTCTGGAGGAAAATCAGTAAGTCCAAAATGCTTATAATGAAAAAAAAAGACCTAACCGATTTTATTTTACAAGGATAAAGCTGTAAAACAATCAGCAGGAAAAAATGTCGAAGAAGAAGACGATGATGAAGATGATGATGATGAAGACGATGATGACGAAGATGATGATGATGTAAGTTGTCAATTAAGTTTGAGTTTTTAAAATAGATCTCGAATTGCTTTTCAATAGGATGATGATGATGAAGAAGAAGAAAGTCCAGTTAAATCAAAACAGACTCCGCCTTCATCAGCAAAACCAAAAACACCAAATGCTGCTGCAAATAACAATAAAGGCAAAGCAGCATTAACGAAACCAACTGTCATCGATAATTCACTTAAAAAACCGACCAAACCATCAGATCAAGCAACTACAAAAAAACAAACACCAGCTGAAACCCAAAAACGTTCACTTGATGTTGCTGATAAATCAGGTTAGTTATTTTTCTTAGTTTTCAACGTTAAAATCAAATTATATTCTACTAGGTCCTCAAGCAAAAAAACTCAAGAATGAAACACCAGCGGTTGGTAAAATTGGTTTGAAAGGAAAAGGAAAGAAAGTTGAAGAAGAGGAAGAAGATGATGACGATGATGATGATGATGATGATGAAGTAAGAATTCTATACAAATAATAGTGTTTGATTTCATGTTTCAATTTATTTGTTTTCAGCTTGATTTTGATGAAGATGATGATGATGATGATGACGAAGACGACGATGATGATGATGATGATGAGGATGATGAAGAAGAAGAAACACCCAAAAAACCTGTTGGTAAATCACCCATGACTGGAAAACAAGTAAGATTTATTAATCGATTTGTTTTCAGTAAAATTATTTCAATTTTTAGGCTAAACTTGCTACCAAACCATCACTTGCTGAAGACGATGATGAATCCGTAAGCATATTTTATCATATTCTTGATTTAATTATATCAAAATTATTTTCTTAATAAGGATGATGACGACGACGACGACGACGACGATGATGAAGATGAAAAACCTACAAAAAAAACACCGAAGCCAACTCCTGCTTCGAAACAAGTAAGCAAAATTGAGTAAATTTCTCTCTTAAAATAATCATTTCTATTATCAGACTAAATCTGCGACCAAACCATCGGCTGTTGAAGATGACGAAGATGATGTGAGTTTGTAATATTTTTTTAATTTATTCTCATCTTGTATTTTTACTACAACAGGACGACGATGACGATGAAGACGTAAGTTAAAATAAATTTTTATTTGTTCGAAACAAATTCTTTTTTTTTCTCCCTAATAGGATGATGACGACGACGACGATGATGAAGAATCTTCACCTAAAGCACCACTCAAATCTGCTTTAAAAAAGACACCATCAGTTCCAACTCCAACCAAACAAAAACCGTCATCTACTCCAACCAAAGCAGCACAAATTACAAAACAAGAAACACCTAAATCCAAAGAAGCACCTAAAAAACAAGAAACTCCCAAAACACCAGCTGCTGATAAACCACTCAATAAAACACAGCTATTTATTAATTCAATAAAAGAAAGTGTTAGTGTATCAGACATGAAATCACTTTATCCAAAAGCGAAATTAGTTAAAATGCAAAAACGTAAAGTTGGTCCAAATAATAAATTGATTCAGTATGTTTATTTTATATATTTACATTTGTCTTTTTGAATAAAAGTTTTTGTTTTTGCTTCTTCATTTAGATTCGCTTTCGTTACATTTGAAAACGAAGCTGACTGTGCCGATGCATTAAAAGCTCACACACAGATTGGTGGTGCTCCAGTTAACGTTTCCTATGCATTTGCACCCGGAAATAAACAACAAAATAAAGCAAATAATGAATCAAATAAAAAACAAGAACAAAAGCCAGCAAATGGAAATAGTAAACAAGAAAAGAATGGAAAACAAGAAAAAAATGACAAAAAACAAAGTCCACTAAGTGAAAAAACAAATAAAAAAGAGAAAGCTAAAGCTGGTATGCATAAAAAATCAACTTTTAAATCTCTTTTCTCTAGTAAAAGACTTTTATATTTTAGAAACACAGCTTTCAACTAATTCAATTTACGTTGGTCAATTACCCGAACATGTTATTGAAGATGATGTTAAAGCTCTCTTTCCAAAAGCATCTAAAGTTGAATTATTTGCAGCTAAAGCCAAAAATAAAGGTGTTCGACCTGGTTTTGCTTTTGTCACATTTTCCGATGATAATTCAGCTGCTGCTGCTATTAAACTTGGACCATCACTAACAATTAAAAATACGCAATTGAAAGTTGCTTATCAAACTAAGCGAGCAACGCCGGTAGCTGCTGAATAAACAGAAAAATTAAAAAATTAACCACAAAGAACTTGCAGTTGGTCTTTTTTTTGTTTTCCTTTTTTTGCGTACCGAATGCTTTTCTTGTTATGTTTCAATGCTACATGATGTTACCCGTTTGTATTTATCTTCAAATAGTGAAGATAAATTCGCATGTAGACATTAACATTTTGTTTTGTATTCATTCAAACTATGCTCGCTGTTTTTTCTTGTCGTATCTTCTTTATTGAAGATAATTCATTCATAATGAAGCAAAAAAAAAAGAATTTTGAAACTTAAAATTAAGAAGATGATTCTTTGTTTTTGTTAAACAATGGTACACAAGGAAAGAAGCATATTGGATTGAAGTCAATTATGGTAAAAGTGAATTAGTCGATTTCAATCGGAAAGCGTCTCATTTTGAAAAGACTTTTTACTAAGAACAGAAGTATTAGATCGAGTTGAGCAAACTGATAAAGAGATCTCGAATACTTTTATTTTCTATGCCATTACTAATCAAGGAACATAATAGAAAAATCTCTACCAAGAATATATTGTTGATATTTATTCAATAGTTTTATGCAATTGTCTCATATCTAGATGTTGAATTCAAAGTCACAAAGTGCCTTCAGTCTATTTCACAGTTCAATAGATGAAATAGAACGACAAATTTGTTCGTAAAAACGCTCAACGGGACTTTTCAAATACGAACAAAGCGCGTTGACGTTATTTTTCGACAACACTATTTCGAAAGACTTACAATTCGGATAAAATTTGAGGTTGCCTTCTCACGCACCTACGACGTTCATTCAAAAATTAAAAGTATCACAATAAAGATTAAAGAGAACGCTTCTCAGTTTTCGTATTATTTATAAAATTTAAAGGAAAATCTCACAACTCAGATAGCCTGTTGTTATGCTCTTTAAAATAGTTATGTTAAACTAAAGCTCTGACAGTCTTATTACATTTATAAAGATGTTCTCCAGTATATAAAAAAAAGAATTAATTAGTATTATTGACGATGTTATAATATATCGATCCGATAATAGAAATGACGAAAAAGAATTCTAAATTGAAAAGTTGGCCTTATTTCGGCGGCGGTTTCCTGAAGCATCAAAATTATATTTTGATAAGAATTATCTACGCCCATATGTCATAGATAGTGATTCGCGCACAAAACAAAATCATTTATTTGGTGAAATATTTAACCAGTAAACTGACGTACATGAATTGTGACTATTTTAACAGTTTAAATTCCCTCTTATCTACTTAAATCCGATCACGTTTGTCATGGTGATTTTTATCAGGTATTAGTTAAGATACTACAGATGGCTATTCGAAGTCAATAATTATAAGCGGTACTAAAGCTTTTAATGGCTAGAAGTCATGCACATAAAGAGTTTCATGAAACATTTGAATTCTTTCTTTTGCCATACAAAATTACTTTGTTGCAACTTTATATTGTATAGTTCCATGGTTAAGAATTCCTTATTAAACAAAATCATATATGCTTGACTCATATTGACTTTCCCCATACTACAACAATATTTATATCAGATGAGAAACCTACTGAAGTAGAGATGCATTTGTTTTGAGATATGTTGAAACAGTAAGAAACTAATTATTTAAGAACGTTTATCTTTATCTCAACTTTAATTCGCAAAGTAAGCTCTAAATAAGAACCCGATAGTCAATAATTTTGAGCGAATCCTCGAGTCAAACTGCAAATGAACCGAATTCATTATAAAATGAATGCCACAAGTGATCGAAAATAGACTGATTGATTCAAATTCTTCATATCTACGATAGATATCAGATGACAATGCAGAAATTTTACTATTATTGTATTTATTCATAATTGGTATCAAGTAGAGTATAGTAACCGATGACCAAGAGAAAGAAAGAAAAAACAAAGTAAAGTGTAACAAAAAGAAAAGAAAAACAAACAAACATAAAAAATATAATCATCTGACCACATGAGAAAGAATTATATCTCGACACTGTTTTGATCTATCTTAACTTTGCCCGAACCAATTTGTTCCAATTGAACTATTAATAGCTTGAGGTCGTTTCAATGCAAATGATGTTGTCGATCGTGTATTAGCTGGTTCAATAGGTTTAAATGCTGAAGAAATATTACTATCAATTGGAGTTGGTCGAGGCGGAAGAAGATGATTTAAAAATGGTAATGAATGATGCTGCTGAGATTTTGTTGACAATTCATTTTTAGATTGATTTTCTTGTTGTTGAAACACTTTAAAGTCTGTGTTTAAATTTTGATGATTTTCAAATGAAAGTGATGAAGGAAAAAAATTAAAATCATCATTATCACTAGTTGTAACTGTTCGTAAAAGATTTACTGGCTCAAACAAAGATTGAACAAATGGCGATCGAATATCTAAAATCAAAATAGACATCGTATTTTATAGTGAAATAAAATAAAAATACCATTTTGTATCTGATTCGATACAGGATTGAATGGCGTTGAATGTTGATCTAAAACAAAACACAAGAATTAAAACTTTTTAGAAATAAATTATATCTAACGCCGGTCGAGAAGATCGTTAAATGGTGTTGGTGGTTGTTCGCAAATGGGTTGAAAATCTAAATTGATTTAACGTTGTTTAAAATAAAAACAATGAAAGATTTTATTTTACATTTTTTTCTAGCAGTTGTACATATAGGTGATGCTGGTATATTATTTGATTCATGAGAAACTAAATTATTCGATTTTGGTTGTTGTGATGGTGGTGCTGATAAAGCAGATGAATCATTGGTTGTTGTTGAATAAGATTTAGTATCATATTCAAATTCATCATCTTGTTCAATAATACAATCATAAATACGTTGTGCAAGCGATTCTTCAATTTCTACAAGAATATCATCATCGATGTTATCACTCATTTCCACTGACAATTCTTCTAAATAATCGTTAATCATAGGCCAATATTCGTTTGGTAAATTTGCTGTTGGAGAGTCAAGAAGAAATAATGTATCAGTCTCAGTATTTATAGGTGTTACTGGTTCAATGGACGGTGATGAAGGCAAATTTTGTTCGATTGGATGCAATAGATTTGGAACAGATTCTAATAGAAAAGAAAGATCACTTATTTTTCTTCTTTATATTTATAATTCAATAAAATTACTAGGCTCTATAGGTTTATCTGTTATTGGTGGTAACATTGGTAATGATGCTTGAAGAGGCTTAGATGGTGATGATGATGATGATGGTATTATTGTTGGCTGCCGTCGATGTTGTGAAGACGAATGAAAACGTTCATTCAATGAAAGACGTGGTACTGACATACGTTTGATCGGAGAAGAATGATGGAGATGATGATCATTGGGTCCATTTACATCAGATAAAGTAACACATGTACAATTCGTTTTTTGATCATTTCGAGTTTGTTTGGTTGTTGACGAAATATCATGAAATTCAAAGCGTGGTCTTGCATCTAAACATAATCAATTTCGAAATATAGAAACGCTTAGAAGTTTTTATTCTGATTTACTAACCTCGTTTTTGTACATTTGTTACTGTATCTCGACTTTTATGTTGACGTTGGAAACGTTTCATAAATCGACTTGTATGAGATGAACGTTGTCTAGATATATCAACTGATGATTTTCGTCCATTGGAATATTTTCGGCTAGCTGTAACTGTATGATTATTACTATCATTAGGTTTCGATATATAAGTGCCTTGATGTTGTCGATGGGTATGTGTTATTTGTATTGTTGAATTAATAGGAAGTGGTATATGTTGATAATCATTCGATTTAACTACTGATTTATGTTGTTCTTCAAGATAACGTTTAAATAGTGTCGAATTAGCTCGATCAACATTAGGTAAAGATGAACGCGAACTATCCATTCTAAAATGAAAGTTAATTTAGTTCTTATTGTTTTTGAACTGCAAAATATCCGAATAGACGCCCAGATTACTTGAACTTAGCACTTCTTTACAGTTCCCATTATTTCTTATCCGACCTTTTATATGAGTTTCAATACGTTGGCGATAGATATCAAGTTGAAGATTATTTATTAATAAAAAAAATTTCTCCATTTTATACTCATGAATTTTTTTGTAATTCATCGTCTTCCGTTCAATCGCTATTAATTAAAACTTATATCTTTTAGTTAACTACCAGAAGAATAAATTCTTAATTCATCAAAAACGTTTTCTCGTCGGTATATGACTCAAGTACTAGATTTATATGCCGAGAAACAAACGTTTAATTACGTTCAGTACAAGATAAGACTATCAAACACTTTCTAGAAATATTCTTCCAGAAGTTTAAAGCTTTGTGATTTTCTAAAAACAAACAGTTCGTCATATCAAGCTTGCTGATCCAAAAATCAAAATAGGATATAAATGTACAAACATCAATTTAATGTTTTTTTTTTTTGTAAACAACATATTAGACAGAAAATAAACAGAATGGAAATATTTAAGCAGTCATAGGTACAGCTGCTTGATTATCATTAGAGACAGAGGTGTCTTCGTTTTGTATTTGTTGTTCATTGTTATTTTCAGTTAAATTTAAACTCATTAATCTTTCAACTTCTTGCGGTGCTGTAGCAGCTTCACGATTTGTATGAATACGTTGAGAAATAGTATCAAGATCAGATGAGAATCGAGTGATTGCATCACGAAGACGTTTCAATTCAGTTGAATCAATAGGAGTTTTTTGCGATGCTGACGACGTTGAACTTGATAAACGATTGGATGCATTTGGATCGACTAACTCCATAGTCAAGTCAGCAATGCGCTTAAAAGAACTGCCAGCTTCAAGAAGAATATCAGCAGCTTTCGATGATGTCGACATAGTTCTAAAAAACCCAAAACTGATTTGTTCAAGAGTAAAAGAAAAAAATTGCTTTTAACAAAGGAAACTCTTCGGTTGGTAGATCGCTTTTGTCCAATAGGAATAACGTTGGGATAGATTCATCTGACATCTATGTCGAACGTACTTCATTTGTTTCTAAACAGAGTCAACAAGCAGTTGAATGAAAGAAATAAAAGCAACATACACATGAAGAAAGATTTTGTTTTATGCAAGTTAATTTTTAGATTGATAAATGTCTCCTCCAGCAGCAACAACATCGACTAAGTCAACTAGTGACGGGCAAACTCCTAAAGAAAATGGTTTATCAATGGAAAAAAATCCGCCTGTAACAACATCTCTATTAAATAAGATCGAAAAAGTTGTTGTTCATCCACTTGTGCTGTTAAGTGTTGTGGATCATTTTAATCGTATGGGTAAAATAGGCAATTCACAGCGTGTTGTAGGAGTTTTACTTGGTTCACTTACTAATAAGATTCTTGATGTTTCAAATAGTTTTGCTTGTAAGATGGCATTTCATGAATTACCTTCGTAATTTTTTCATGTTGTTTATTGTTCTATTTCAGTACCATTTGACGAAGAAGAAAAAGAAAAAGATGTTTGGTTTCTTGATCATGAATATTTAGAAAATATGTATACTATGTTTAGAAAAGTTAATGGTAAAACGAAAGAAAAAAAAAAGATAATGAGGCAGAAAAATTATTTTCATTTAAATTTAAAACTATTTAGCTCGTGAACGTATTGTTGGTTGGTATCATACAGGTCCTAAATTGCATCGTAATGATATTTCAATCAATGAATTAATTCGAGAATATCATCCTGATTCTGTTCTTGTTATTGTTGATGCTAAACCAAAGGATTTAGGTTTACCTACGGAGGCTTATATTGCCGTAGAAGAAATTCATGATGTAAGTAAAAATAAGCGATTCTTTCTAGACTAAATTATGTTTGTCTTTTGTTTAATTTAGGATGGAAGTCCAGCTTCAAAAACATTTGAACATTTACCATCAGAAATTGGCGCCGAAGAAGCTGAAGAAGTTGGCGTTGAACATTTACTTCGGTTAGTTAAAGCAAATTAAGCATGTATCTAGCTATTTAGAGAGGTGTCACTAGTTTAAAATATGCATTATTCGATATTTTCATTGCCATTTCTTTTTACATGCATGTAAATAATAAGGCGTTTAAGATGGGCGTGAATGCCACGAGAGGGTTTAAAAAATTGACTATAGATGATCCTGATACTTATGCTTCAAGCATTAAATTTTATTTTTTTTATCGGTTTCTGATGTCTTAATCATAGTCTATCTCCAATGTGTTCGTCTCGATGCTTTTTTAAACCGTACATCATCTAACAAAAGTTGAACTTATTTTAAAATTAATACGTCCGACAATATTATATACCGATTTAGATATGCTTCGCCATGCGCGATATTTAACCAATAACGAGTTCCTATAATCTTATAGCCCAGGTAAATATCGGATTCTTATGAGCACTATAGATGTATCGATCATCATATAAACTGTTATGGAAGAGATTTTTCTTGAATGTAGATTTGAATTTTGTTAAATGATTACCTGGTTTACCAGATTTTATTGTTTCGCGAATTGATTGCGTGTAAATTCAGGAGAGATGCCTTGTCATATAAATATTACGAAGGATCTGAACGATAATATAATAATTTATATTTCTAAATTAGCATAAGGTTTAAAGAGGGTGCAATAACAACGTTTTTACGACTGAGAATATGTCATTTTAGTCTGTTCTTGGAATTTCACTGCTTCTTAATTACAAAACTTTGAATGTGTTGTGATTTTTCGTTGTTCTATATGAAACAAAAGTCTCATTTTACAATAGATCTATCGTCCAAACTTGTGTTCAAAATAAACACAAACATAATAATGACTTCCAGTATATTTGTATATGTAACAGTAAGAGAATCATTGCGAAACATATAGCAATAATGAAGATAAATTACTTTTTGATGAATGACTTTCATAGTCGTAAACTAGTTATTTATGACACAAGAATTTATTTTTTTTCTTATAGTTTTCGATTCAATATGATAGGAAAGTCACCAAAACATTTTTGTACATGATTTCAAAAATTATTTAATTATTTTTTATTTTAGTGATATTCGAAATGCAACGGTTGGTACTCTTTCTCAACGTATAACAAATCAATTAATGGGTCTTAAAGGTTTAACAAAAAGTTTATATGATGTACGTGCTTATTTGGATAAATTATTAGCAAATAAATTACCATTAAATCATCAAATTTTATCTCATATACAAGATATATTTAATTTACTACCTGATGTAACACAACAAGATTTAATAAAATCAATTTATGTTAAAACAAATGATGAAATGTTACTTGTTTATCTTTCATCATTGATTCGTTCAATTATAGCCTTACATAATTTAATTATGAATAAAATTCAAAATTCTGATGCTGAAAAAGCAGATAGTACGACGCCAAATACAACAACAACAACAACAATAACAGCTGAGAAAAAGCCAGAGAAAGGAAGTGGTGATAAATCAACAACAAATAACAATTCTAGTTAAAAAAAAACTATTATTATTTTTTCTCTCCTTGTTGTTCTTTTATGTTTGCCCATTTTTTGATTTCAATAAATTCGAGCTCAAAAGAGTTATACAGAGCCTCATCGACGATTAGATACTATAGAAATACCATATTGAAATCATTCAACCGTAATAAATCTACCATATCTATCTATGTTTGTTTTTCATATCAATAAATCTGAACCATAAATAGTACACTCCCAAATCTATCCATCATATGAGTCCAATACGAAAATCACTCAACCATTCAAAACAAAAATACCTTTTGCCTTTTCATATTCTAGACAAATACGAAATAAGTCCTATGAAAAAATACTAAATATGCAATTACGTGTACTTACACTTAATATTTGGGGTGTTCATTATATTGCTAAATTTATTAATCGACGTATTGAAGCATTAATTGAACATTTAAAACATTCCGATACTAATTACGATATTGTTGGATTGCAAGAGGTAAACAAATAGAAATAATTAAAGATGTATAGAACTGCTGAATTAACTTCGTTTTTGCTTTTAACTATGTATAGGTTTGGAGTAAAAGGGATTATATTTATTTACGTGATCAATTAAAAACTATATATCCACATAGTTATTATTTTTTAAGTGGTCTTGTTGGTTCCGGATGTTGTATTTTTTCAAAATATCCAATTATTGGTACATATGAACATCGTTATTCATTAAATGGTATGTAGAGTCAGAGGCAAAAATATGTGCCATCCTTATTGGCACTATAATTATTATTTCTAATATTGAGCTGATATTTCAGATGCATTTGTGTCAGAGACAGACAATTCGAAATCAGAGTTGAAGTTAACGCTCAAGTTGCTAGAAAACCTATTATTAGTGAAGGGCGGATGCTTTTGTCGAAGATTTGAATAAATATTTAATTTCATTGAAAGATACGAAGACAGTCTTGATATATTTAAAAAGATTCTCTCTTTGTAATAGTCTGCAGTCACATGTTAATAAATGTAGACATACTACGTATACTATTTTCTTTTATTATTATTATTATTTTAAGGTATGAATAAAAAGTCTAGTATATTCTCCTGAATGAAAACGGTGAGATTATTACTAATCACCAAGCTTTTAAATAGGAAGAATCTCTAATGTAATTATTGCTTTAATTTATTTCTAAAAAGTGACATAGTTTATATTGAATTATCGATAAAGAATCAAATTTATTTCTATTTGCATAGAAAGTGTTACGCGCTCGTAATTGATGCATTATTTCCTTAAATGATTCTTGATCGAAAATGTAAATTGTTTTTCAATGATTTACGAGAAAAGAAAATCTTTGTCGTTCGATAATTAGTTTAACAAAATAAAATGGAACATGGTTAGAAGTTTTTCTTTACTCTAAATTTTACATAGGTTTTCCACATAAAATACAACATGGTGATTGGTTTTGTGGCAAATTAATTGGTCTCTGTAAAATTCTTGTTAATGGGTATATTGTTAACGTATACAATACACATTTACATGCTAATTATCATCATGTGATACCGGAAGATATCTATTTAGGACATCGTATATGTCAAGCGTATGAATTGATACAATTTATTGAAAGTACATCAGGAGCAGATACAACTGATTTTACAATTCTTCTTGGTGATCTCAATTTAACAAACGATGATTTAGGTTTTAAGCTTATTGAAGGTATTCTTCAATTAAATGATGCATTTTATAAACGTATCAATAAAGTAAGTCGACTTAGAAATTGAATAGTAAAAAATTCATATTTATTGTCTAGAATGTTTTTGATCCAACTGTGGGTAATAGTGGTCGAACATGTGATTTACTTGATAATCCGTATGTTAAACCACATCCATATCAAGGTGAAGGGGAACGTATTGATTATATTCTTTATCGTGCACGAAATGGTTTGTTATAATTAATACTCTTAGTGTTTATTTCTATATGTTTAAATTTTAGATAATATGAAATGTATTGAAGCTTATCCAACATTACATAAAGTTCCAAATAGTTCCAATGGACTTCATTATTCTGATCATTTAGCTGTATATGGTTTGTTTGAAATTGATGAAACAATTCCAAGAAAACAAACAAAACCACTTGACAACATGGAAATTGCTGATGAAAAAACCCGGAATAATCTTCGTGCGGCTTGCATTATTGTTGAAGAATCAATTCAACGTTTGCAACGTGATCGAATCTTTTTTGGTCTTGGAGTATTTATACTTGTTCTTATTTTATTTTCATTTAATGGAAATCTAAATTCACATGGTTATTTATTAACAATAGCTACAGTCTTGAAGGATATTCTTTGTCTTATTGGCATATCAATTTCTATTTGGTTTATAGTTTTAGGCAAACCTGCAGAACGAAACGCTTTAAGTTCGATACGAAATGCGATGAATATACGTTTACGTGTACCGCATTTTATTCATTGACACTTTTTTTTTCTTTTTTTTTTTATTGGCGACATTTCTTAGAATAATAATAAAAATTTATTCTAGATGGAAACAAATCGTAGAATCTACTTCATTTTCTTTGGTATCCTATTTACAATAATAATTGATTTATGTTTAAGTTCATCACAGAATGCACTTATTTTCTTAACTTTTACTCGAATAATAGCAATATTTATTTCCTTTTTTTATCGAATTGCTTACGACAATTATGATAAAAATGCCGATTATGATACAGCGAAAACATTCTGGACTCCATTTAAAAATTTATTTGTGATTATTGCAGTCATTGAACAAGCATTTGTTATGTATCAGATCAAATTTTCGTCAAATTTTCTTTCAATATTGTACATTATTCTGCAAGTTGCAATGCCACTTTTTGTTTATTTATGGATTCGACGTATAGAACAAGAAAATCTTAGTTTTTTGCAATATATTTGGTTCGAAATATTCAATACGACAAATGATCATGGTTAGTAATATCTCGAATATTTTTGTTTTGTTTTAAAAGTTGTTGTGAAATACAAACTATGAAATAAAAAAATTAAATTTCTTGTGTTTTACAGCTTAGTCTGAAATGAAATTAGCACCAATCATTTATATGTAAGTGTTACTAAATCAGTGTGCATATGCATGAATTATATATATATATATATATATATATATCTTTGAGTGAATTGCAACTTTTTGGTACATTTTGCGTTTTATCTGTATTTCTCTAATACCTTTTTTCCTCTCAGCCGATTTTGATAATTTCTTCATCAACTATTGATCCCAGTATGTCCCACTGGCACACAAAATTTTAGCTCTCGAGCTCATACAGTCGCTGAATTATAAGGAAAACACGACAACAAAATGTTAGTTTTTACTGACACGTGAGAAGAGAAATGAATTTTTGGACCATAGAACAGCAAGAGAAACAATATTTAAATAAGCTATTTTGTACAGCGTTCAATGCTCTATCGAACTATATTATGGATTTAAATGTTATACTTCATTCTCTCGTTCGTCCAACGTTCACATTATTTGGCAGACACTTTGTATTTTTGTGTAGAATGACGCAAACGTGATTACAGTTCGACTACTGATAAAGCTGATGACGCAGAGATTATACGAAAGGAAAGACAACTCTGTGAGTAACAAAATGGTAAGAAATAACTCTGTGTTGTTACCTTTCCTTATCGATAAAAATAAGAAGACTTTCTGAAAAAAAGGTCATTATACTCACTTTGTAGAATGACAATTTGAAAATTGGATGCTTTATAACTCCTCAACAATTAGTGCGGTTAGGCTTAAATTTTTACTCAAGATATAAACTAGCAAGGTCTATCAATGATAAAAATTCCAGCCTGAATCATCTTCTATTCCGGAGAAACTTACATTATACTGAGATATGTAGAATGACAATTTTTCGCGAGTATTTTCAGTACGGCTCATTCAAAAAAATATTTTCCGGCGTAGTTAAGTGGAAAGCGATCATAGAGTATCATTTGGGAAAAAAATGATGACCTCAAAAGCGAAAATGTTGAAGATGTAGACGGCTTTTTCGAAAAAATTTATTCAGCATAAACATAAAAAAGTGCACTATTGACTAGCTTCCATTTTTATTCAAAAATTCGTACCTAGCACGAATTAGGACATGGTCCCATATAGAATCGTCAACGTGGTTCTCCATCAAAAATGAAAATTGTTTTTTGCGAAATTGCCGTACTCCCCTCCAGGGTTGCCGGTGGATAAAAACAAATTCCATTTTTCGTGACAACCGCATCGACCATTCCATCTATGATCATGTACTGATTCCTGCTATATATAAATTTTGAACTTTCAAAGTGTGGTTGTCTTGGCATGGAATCACCCACAAGTAGAAAAAGTCATACATTTATAAAAGGGCCATATCTCCGTTAATAATCGATCAAGTGTTGGGAATTTGTTTTTGTGTACTACTGGCATAGATTGTGATAAAATGCACTACTCAAAAATTGTATGGGCTCACTTTCATCTGTTCGCGTGAATTGTACCAAAAAGTTGCAATTCACTGAAATATATTCAAATTTATCTTTGACTTTTAGTCATGAATATCATATGAAGAAAAAAACAACAAAGATATGACAATCAGATAAATCGATAGCGTCGAAAAAATGGATGTCATATAATTTGAGTAGAAATTAAAGAAATAGAAGCCCTAAAAAGTAATGTTCATCAATAAATCATTGCATGAAACTTTATTAGAATTAGAGATAACATTTTGAAAAGAAAGAAGTTTGAATGAAATACAATCTTAATTATTCATTATAATTAAAAAGAACAAATTCTTCAACTGATAAGATACTTTTGAAAATAATCTCGATCTTTCATATAGACTTTTTTGTTTTATGAATATAACAGAGACAGAGCTGAATTATTTTGCTAATTTTTTTATAAAATACTATTTCATGATAGTTTTGAAGTTCATATGAAGTCTTTCATTGATTGTCACTATACAGACTATTAAGCGAAATTAAAATATCATTTTTGTTTATGTTCTTCAAGAAAGTCATGGTGCTGAGTTGAATAATATCATAAAGATACAGTATCCCTGCAAATATCAGAATGAAGGACTCAAAGCTCTATGAAGAGTACTTGAATAAAGGCATGGTAATACATGCAATTACGATGATTAAAAAGTAAAATTAAGAAAGCAACGACGTGGATTAAAGAAAGGAAATTGATCTTATTTTGCGTTGAGAGGATTCTGAAGAGTGTCTGTACTTCCTATTGAGAATATAGTTTTATTTTATTTTAATGATACTATACTTAACCTAAACATACTTCTATTTTGATACGTGAGATATAATCTCTTGAGAAAATGAAAATATCTAAAAAATAGATTCAATTAGATGCTTCCACAATATATTATTTATAAGTATTGTATTGAATTACTGATGAGCTTTTGTCTTAGGAATTTAGATGGCATTTTCGTAACGATAATCCGATACGAGTCATCAAAAAGTTTCGACCGATTTCATCAAAGATTATTTCTTTAAATAATATAGTGTCTGCTTTGAACAACCTATAATAATCCTATTATTCTTTTAGAACCTTTAAGAAAATATATTCGATAGTTTAACTAACTATTGTATCGTTTCCGTATAGATCTTCAATCAAAACGTAAAGATGAACTTCATGTACTCAAACGTCTATTTAAATATAGTCTAGACGATTGGAAAATAATTACATTTGGAACAATTCTATTGTTAGGCGCAGCTCTATGTATGTCTTTTACATTATTCATTGAATAAATTGAGCCTTTCCTATTTGTAGCTGAAGTATTTGTACCGTTATATACCGGAAGACTTTTATCAAGTGTTGCATTTAAAGAAGCATGGTTACAATTTCAACACAATCTAATCATGTTTGTCGTTGTAAATTTTTCCGGGTACAAAAGTCTAATAAAATAAATAAAATAAATCGTTCTTTTCATCTTATAGAGGTTTTCTTGGTGGATTTCGTATGGGAATTTTTTCTATATGCATTTCTCGTCTGAATATACGTCTACGAACAAAACTATTTCAATCATATTTAAAACAAGAAATTGGCTTTTTCGATACACATGAAAGTGGAAAATTACTTTCACGTTTGAATCATGATACACAAATAATGAGTTCAACAGTTGCTAATAATATTGCTCAATGCATTGGTGCACTTGTTAGATTTAGTAAGTTAAATGGGGGGCGGGGGGGGGGGGGGGGGGGGGGGGGGGGGGGGGGGGGGGGGGGGGGGGGGGG